CGTATATGTCGGGTTATTAAGAGTCCTAGAAAGAGTTTTCATTTCGCATAATTGTAGTTTTTTTACACAATGGAAATGCACAGTTATAATAAAAAAGATATCTATTAAGAAAAAATTCAAATTTAGCACTTGAATAGATAAAAGATAAAAGTTTACAGAATCTATTAATATTTTCTACAGAAAAATCCCTTCTGAATATACATCTTTTTTCAGTCCGACTGGATTCCTCAAGAAAAAAATTACACAACTGATAGCAATGATCCGTAAAGTATATATCCTTAACTTGAATATTATTTACATCCAAGTTTGAAAATATATTATCAATGCAAGTACTTGAATTACTTGTTATACGGGTAGGAACATTTATGTGAGGTTTTATGTTAAACTCACTTAAGACAACAAATAATGTTTTTGATGGGAATCTAATAAGATATTTATATTTAAGTCGCCCCACACAATATAAAAATAATTGTTCAATTTTTCAATAAATACGTTAAAATCACTATTGGGTGAACGATATACACAAATAATGTAGATTTTTAACTTGCCACTATTGTATTCACTAACACACTTCAAAATGCTTCTCAATTGATTTATTATAAACCAGGGTTCTTAAATTTAACTTGGCCTTTGCAAAAATACAAACACCACCACGTATAAAAGTTTCTCTACAGTAAAAGCTTATTAGATTAAAATTGTCCAGTTTTATAAAATCAATGTCTGATATGGTTACTTGTTAAATTTAATTCAATAAAAATTTATAATTTCAAGTTATCTCTTGTATTTTAAATTTAAATTTAGATCTTTTATGCCAAAAAAAATGTATACCTCCATTTTATAGTTATTTCGGTAATTAATTTGGTCTATATTTGGTCGTTTATTTTTTATTATTAGTCACTATTTCTCGCAACATGGACTGCTGGGAGCCCTGGGGTTCGTTAAACCTGTTCAACTCTTTTATTATTTCTTGTTGATTTCTACTGATTTGTCACTTGGAAAGGTATAAAACACACCCGTAGGCTCGTATTTTGAATTCTTATTTACGCAAAAAGCGAAGTGCAAATATTAAAAACTTATCTGAATATGGCTCCTTGTCCCCTTGTAATTGTTCTCTTCCAGGTTCATGCCGCGATGAACTACCTGTTCAGGTGGGTGGTCCCGTGACTCCGAAAGGAGGGGTGGCAGTTCACTTCGCGCTTTTAAACTTTTAGATTAGGATTTAAATGCACTGTATACTTGTTTTTAGCTCAGAGCGGGGAAACTATCAGATCTCTACCGTAGAAGCGTTGATTTTGACTTAACACTTATTAAATTTATCATATTAAAACTTTACATTTCTTTTCAATATTTATTTCATTTTAAAGTTTCATATTCATATCTCCTTTTTAAAAAACTCCTTTAATTTGCTAAATTTTATATTTTAATACAACCAATTTTGACAAATTTTTTAAGTCTTTTCGAACATGACTTGTAAGTTGAATTAATGATTAAATAAAGTTTTTTCCACCGGGACACAAAAAAATAAAATGTTGTGTGCTAAGAAAGCCACATGTAAGATTATCCGTTGTAATGTATCTAAAGTGCTATCTTGATGCCATTTTTTTCGGTTTTTGTCATTTTTGTAATTTAAATTTTTTTTGATTTGTACAAAATTTATTTAAAAGTAATTAACAAATCAAACAATTTAAAAATAAAAAAATGACAAATATGGTTACAAAATTGAATCAAGAGCCAACCTCAAGGACTGCCTTCAGGTCTTTATAAAGTACAGCACAGCGAATGTTTAATTTATATTTGTTGATTGTTAATTTTTTCAAATGTTTTATGGTTTAATTATTTTTGGTTTTTGTTAAATAATTATAAGTTTTATTATTAATGGATTTATTTTGTTTTTTATTTGATTTATTTTATTGTTTAATATTAATTAATATTAATAGGATTTTTAATCGCTATCTACAATTATCTGACAATTAATGCTATGATATAATTGCAATGTGCGAGCAATCAATCGCCCCTAAACATCTGGGAAAGTTATATTTTTCCATGAAACCATCAATCTTCTTTTGTCCAAGGTATTAAGGAACATAATCCATTTGGTTAATAGATGATTATTTATAATATTTGTCACTTCATACATTGACTTATGCTTGGTTGGCTAGTTGCAAATGCCGAAGTTAATTGATAACTACATGTGCCGAAAAAATGCAAACATGTTAAAAAAAATTTCTACTCCCACCTTTAAAACGCCCTTTATCGCTCGTGCCTAAATTAAATTCGTGTATAAAATGGCGTTTATCAAACTTAATACATAATATACTATTAAGAGCACTGGTATTGCAGTGTTTTTTTTTCTGGTTATTTTATGTGTTGCCCAATCATATATTTTATTATCCTCGAAACATCTTTATTAATACAAAACATGCTTAAAAATATCCTGGGGGAAATTAAAATGGATCACGCATATCCCTTTTAAATAAAAGGATTTTCATGTATTTTAATGGATAAATAAGTTAATGTACCTATATAAATAAAAAGATTATTTTATTATTTTATTTTAAAAGTATTTGTTTAAGGTTTTTGTGATTTTATATATGAATTTGTATATAAATAAAAAGATTATTTTATTATTTTATTTTAAAAGTATTTGTTTAAGGTTTTTGTGATTTTATATATGAATTTGTATTGATATATCTAAAGGTATATTCCATGCCTGCTAGATAGAAAATAAAAACATGAAATTTAACCCCATTAATTTACACAATTGTATGTCAAGGACACAAAATCAATATTAATCAGAGATCTTAAAAAATATAAATTATACGAGGTATGTTCAGAAAATAACGGGAATTGTTAAATTTTCTTTATTATGTTGGTATACATGCCCCCGAAGTATGATAAAAACTTTAGCTGTTTTCATTGTTTAAAATGAAATAAATTCTGTAAAATGTTAACAAAGGTCTATGTGAGTCTGCTATAAGTAAAACAAGAGTTTACAAGTGGTATAAGAGTTTCCAAGATGGCCGTGAAGACGTTGAAGATGACGAACGCCCCGAACGCACAAGCACATTAACAACCGATAAAAACATGGAAAAAGTGGAATAAATGGTTATAAAACATTAGAGAAGTCGCTGATGATGTTGGTATATCGATTGGCTCATCCCATGAATTTTTTTCGAATGTTTTGGGTATGAAACGCGTGGCAACAAAATTTGTTCTAAAATTGTTAAATTTTGAACAAAATTTTTGGCCAAAAACAATACTGTAATGATGCCCCAGCCTCCATATTCGCCAGACATGCCTCTGTCTGACTTTTTCCTATTCCCCAAAATAAAGAGAACCTTAAAGGGCCGTCGTTTTGCAAGCATAGATGACATTAAAAGCGCATCGCTAAAAGAACTAAAGGCTATCCCAAAGTTGAGTTTTAGAAGTGTTTCGAGTATTGAAAGAAGAGCTGACACATGTGCATAATATTGAAGGCGACAACATTAATGTAGACGAATAAATAAATATTTTTTTCAAAAACGAAAATTCCCGATATTTTCTGAACACACCTCGTATTATTTATTTTATCTTTTAATTTTAATTAAATTTTTTTATATTTGTACAATTTTTTAAACGGGAATAAAAATATAATTTTTTATCATCTAATACACAGTTAAAAATTTTTGGTAAAAAACAACACCAAAAGTGGTCTATATAGGTCCACACTAGAAATGGTATATCTAACCACATACAATTTGGTAAATTTTACCCTTTTTAATTGGTTAAAATCTACACGCACTATTCGTACAAAAAACTCGTAACAGTGTAAAAATCATCAAATATAATACACTCTTAGGGGTATACCCCTTTTATAAAAGCAACATTGGTAAAAGAACTCCATTCATGAATGGAGTAGAAAATGCTCAATTTGGTGTAATTTACTACACATGTAGGTGTTACGTGGGTGTTTTAATATTAAACACAGCATGTAATGTAAAATAAAGTATATTTTATATTACTTACAAACTATTAGATATGAATACAAATAGGCTTTGGCATAAAATTGAAAAAAAAATGATTAACACTACTTAGGTGTATTCTTATACCCAAGCAGTGTTAATAATTTTTTTTATTTGAATGAAAAGTAGTACTTAATATTTTAAGTTTTTTCCAGTTTGTGCAAAACCATATTTAGCTTATATAGGTATATAAGTTAAATATGATTTTTCACTATCTCAAAAAACTTAAAATTTTACTAAATTTCATATTTCACTTAAAAATCACAGGTAAAAAAAACATGTTATATCAAAAACATAAGTTGCATCCACTGTCACATTGCAATATTTTTGACCAATTCTAGTGTATAAATTAACACCAAATGATTTTACCACTCCATTTGGTAACTTTACACCGAAATATTTTTTACTGTGTAATAAAAAATTATATTTCTATTATAATCTAAATATTTCTATTATAATCATTATTATAATGAATATTACATGGTCAAAAATGTATACCAATAACTGATTTTTTTTACTTAAAAAACTACATTCTATAGAATTCTATATAATTTAACAACCACTCTCTAACAATAAATAAGTTAAAATGACTTATGTTTCTCGTCAACAGCAATTTGTATCCCGAAGACATTTAGCAGTCAATTCCTATGTAAAATTGTCTGCTAAATCCGAAAATATCGTCAAAAGTAATAAATGTGAAACAGTTTTTAAGATATAGTCAATTTTTCATATAATATGAAATTTAGGATATCTCAAAAACTGATCTACTTTTATAATCTTTACCTATTCATTTTTAGAGAGCATATTTTATAAAAATGTATTAATTTTTTTAACCTTGAATTATACAATATAATGACAACGAAATTAAAGTAATAAAAAATACATTTCCTGATTTCTATAAGAAAAAACATTAATTTAAATGTAACCAATTCAATTATTTAAAAATGAAATAATCATTAAAGCATTAAGTTAAGTAAGCAAAAAATATCTATTTCTTACCAGTAAAAGTAATATAGTTTAATTCCCGATAATCCATAATTTCAAAGGAAACTAAAATTTGAGCAATTATTCCGGAAAGAGCTCGCCCTGCCAATATTGCAGCCCTGGTGTGGGAAGTGACCAACTGGTAATGTTCCTTGTCGACTTTGGCATAAATATATGTGTAATATGCCACCTCGGTAGCACAAAATGTTCCATACAAAACCTAAAAAATAAAAAATCAAAATGTATCCCACAATTTTATTATAAGGCTGTTTCATATAACAGGACAATTTAAAATGTTTTGTTGTTTGCTTTAGTTTACTCATCATGTACCTTATTTAACTCTTAAAAAAACATTTATTTTTTAATAAATATATATATATTATATTTATTATTATTTATTATTATATATAATAGAAACGCGTTCTTAATTCGTACTGCGTTTCTGTCATTTATTTAAAGGGCAAAAGAAAGGAATAAACGCGTTTATTCCTAGTTACGACTGATTATAACACTATAATAGTTTTACAAACTTTTTTTCCTAACATTAAGTACCTACTTCAGCTTAGTTTAATTTTGGGCAGCTGATTTCAAAAATGTCACTAGTTCTGAGACGTCTAGGATTTAAAATAATTTCGTAATAAAATGCTCTGCTCAATCACCTCAAAATGTAAGATTTTTGTTGGTATTTTAATTATTTATTAAATTATTTTGGCTTAAATTTATCTTGAATGTACTAAAGTAATTGGTATACGGCAAATAAATCATAATTATCTTAACAATATGACATTTTAAATACTAAAACTAAAATTTTATGTATTTTATGTAAAAAAACAACCATTATTTTTTATCCAAATTAAGCCCTCAAAATTTAATGCATTGCATATTTTTGCTTTTTTCTACCTTAAATTTATTAAATCGTATCAAATATCAAATTGGATTATAGTATTATTGTGCTTAATCCTCATCATCGTCGTACATCTTTTGCTGCAAATTCCAGCAAATGTCTCCTAGCAATGAATCCACCTTCTTTCCGCAATACCCATAGATATCTACCAATGCTCTAGATTTGCAGTTACTTGGTGAAATCGTTCTCCATGTTCATCAGTTCGGCAAATTTATCAGGATGAAAAAAAAAGAAAATGTTTTTTAAATGACATATTAACGCTAATTCTTTGCAAAACTAAAAGCATTTTTTCAATGAATTGGCGCCAAGAACATTTTTAATGACAGGTTTAACACTGCCATATGCGACAAGCATTTTTGAATTCTTCATCTTTCATTAAACGGCGTATATCAGGTCCATTTAATATTCCTGCAAAATTAAAGTAGTAGGTATATCTCATAAAATTTTGTAATGAAATATTGCGTTGTTTTTTTTGGGCAAGGTACCGCAACAAAACAAAACAAATTTACAACGACGACATAAATGTTCGTCTCCTTTCTCTTTTGCTGCCACTTCCAATACCACTTCCATTTCCTGCTCTTTTTTCATTTTTGGTTCTTAAAATCACTTTCAAGTAAAAATACAATTTAAAGTTTAAATTTTAAATGTCAATAATTAATAGATGCACTTTAGTGTGCTTGAACGATAAAGTAGATAAAGGCGCCTTCAATTCGATATTAAATTTTAATAAGACTTAATAAATAGGATTCGAGATTAAATTTGAGGGTACTTTAGGCATGATGTGAATAAAAAACTATCAAATAATAGTCGAAGAGTAATGCTTATTCCGAAACCCATTTACTTTGTAGCCTTTTCAATTTAATTTGGTATTTAATAAAGCACTTCTCTGCAGAAAAGTGCTTTATTAAATATCCCTTATAAAATACTACTATAGTACCTATACGGCTACAATGGAACAAACAAAATTTCTATTTGACATTTATTCACCAATGACTTTGTATGGAGTCCCTGCATATTTTTGACAAAAAACGTCAAAAATATACTGAACATCCAAAATAGATTTAAGGCAAAATAATTTAATAATCAAAATATTAACAAAAAACTTACATTTTGAGATAATTAGGCAGAGCATAATAAAGAAAATTGTATGACATAATAAAGAAAATTGTATGACAACCGGACCCTCCGAACCCGCGAAATTTAACAATTCCCGTTATTTTCTGAACACACCTCGTATAGGCCAACCCAACCCAACTGAATCTGCAAGATACATTGGTACCTACTGGATTTATTAATAATATTTATTTAATTTTAAATTATACTTAGAACAATATACGGTTTTGCCACTCTACAGAGTGTCTTAAACTTATAGTAAAAAACATCTTTTTGTTAGGGTTAAACCTGTATATTATAAACGTACGTGTATTTTTTAGTCATATTTAAATTGTGTGCGATTTTCAATTAATGTATCTACAATATTCTTTAATATTTGTTTAAATCCGAAATCAAATAAAAAAGTTATTTGCGATTGAAATTCATCGAAAATTTGTGTGGATCGATTATTTAGCCTGTGAGTGCATTTCTAATAGAAATTTTCTATAGCACATACAAATGCACATTGATGCCTTTCTGTGTATTTAAGCATATTTATTGTTGTAATTTGTATATTTTGTTTTAGCTGTAAGTATGCAAACAATAAATATTATTATTATTATTATTAACTAATCCTATAATTTAGATAAACAATGAAAATATTTTTATTGGTATACTTATAAACATTTTGTTTGCAGTTTATTATGTTAGTACGGTTTTTATGATGTAGGTACTTAAGCAATTTTAACAGTGGTTTTTAATTTGCTGTTAATTTGGAAACTTTTTAAAAATGACTCAAATCGGGTAAACAAAATATATCATCGTCCTTCAGTTATTTTCAATAACACTTTTGGTTTATTCAGGTTAGCGTAAAAGCAAATTATATATATATATATAATATATATATATATATATATATAATTTGCTTTTATATTATATATATATATATATATGGGTGAATCTCACGAAATGTCCCCCGATGGTGTTACCCCGTGATATTTAATAAAACTAAATGAGTTTGACCTACACTTTTATTGTGTTTTGATCTTTCATAATTAAGTAGATATTACGGCTCAGGTTCCAGATTTTTAACCGCAATTAATTATTTTTTACAATGTTTTAAAAGTCTCAGACATATCCTCCGTGACTGTTACTCTTTCTAGCTTTACTCTATAAGTTTAAATTAATATTTATTAAATTTTTTAAGTACAAAAATAAACACTCTTGATAAATGACTTATCTTTCTCTCAATATTTGCACGTTCTACGCAAATTACTATGTATTATAATTCAATAATTGTACGATACCTAATAAAATAACATTATTTTGACAAAAAACATTTTATTTAAATATAAAATATTTTGAACGAAAGAAAGTTTAAAACTTAAGTGTTTTAAATCAGAACATACAAAAATTGTTAGACCTTAATCATTTATTTACATATGTAGTACCTAAACAGAAAAGTCGAAAATGTCGAGATCCCATTTTATTTTATACATCAAAATTTTGGGGAAGGATTTTCTTTCTTTTAATAAAAATAATAGTATATTATGTATCAAGTTTGATAAACGGCATTTTGACACCTGTCAACCAAATTAAAACTAACTTTAGCCCGTGACTAAAAATCTGTTGCTAACTTCAGCCCGTGACTAAAACGCCATAAAGCCACAACTTTTCAATGTGTATTTAAAAGGTCACTTATTGTCATGGAAGCGTGTACAATAATAGTCGTTTAAAAGTTAAAAGTAGAAAAAAAAAGTTAAAAGTGTCCCTTTTTTGAGAAATAAGTAAAAATATGTGACTACAAACCTGTTGCTAATTTCAGCCCGTGACTAAAACGACATAAAGCCACAACTTTTCAATGTGTATTTAAAAGGTCACTTATTGTCATGGAAGCGTGTACAATAAGTAGTCGTTTTAAAGATAAAAGTAGAAAAAAAGTTAAAAGTGTCCCTTTTTTGAGAAATAAGTAAAAATATTTTTTAAATCGATTTTAATGTTAAATTTTGACATTTAGTATGGGTAGGTAGAATAAGGAAATCAAATTTCCAAACCCATGTATATCTGCTACCCTCCAGTTTGCCAGTTTGCAAAATTAAAGTAGTACCTACATTGATTTAGCAAAATTGATTCACAAAGCGTTGTGTCTTTTTTTACCAAGGACACAACACGAATATAGCTTGAATTATTTACAGCGCGTTGTAAGCCTAAAATATATACTTTTTTTATATCAGGTTAATTTATAAATTAACTATAGTTGTGATATAAATTAAATAATGTAATTAAATATATTGGTGGTCAAAAATACATGCACATGGGTAACCATTTTTTTAATGCATTTTAATTTATTTTTTAATTATTATTATCAGACTTTCCTGTACCTACTATTACTAGAATATAGTAATTATTTTTGTGAATTTTTGGAAATATTCCTACAATGATCCTCTAAAACTTCCAAGCACCATCTAAGAACATCCCTAGTGAATATTCATTGGGAATATTTCATAAAATGATCCTCTACAACTTCCAAGCAACATCTTGGAACATTCTCAGTAAATGTTCTTAATATTTAAAAAACCATAAGTAATTTTTCCTTTCTACAAATTGGTTATATTCCAGGAATATGCGCTATCATCTAGGAATAATCCGCTTCATTCTAGGAATATTCATTGGGAATATTCCATAGAATGATCCTCTAAAACTTACAAGCACCATCTAAGAACATTCCCAGTGAATATTCATTGGGAATATTTCATAAAATGATCCTCTACAACCTCCAAGCAACATCTTGGAACATTCTCAGTAAATGTTCTTTATACTCAAAAAACAATAAGTAATTTTTCCTTTCTACGAATTGGATATATTCCAGGAATATGCGCTATCATCTAGGAATAATCCGCTTCATTCTAGGAATATTCATTGGAAAAATTCCATAGAATGATCCTCTATTAGGACCTCTAAAACTTCCAAGCACCATCTAAGAACATTCCAAGTGCATATTCTTGGGAATATTTCATAGAATGTTCTTCTACAACTTCCAAGCAACATCTTGGAAAATTCTCAGTAAATGTTGTTTATATTCAAAACACAATAAATAATTTTCTCTTTCTACAAATTGGTTATATTCCAGGAATATGCGCTATCATCAGGGAATAAATCCGCTTCATTGTAGGAATATTCATTGGGAGTATTCCATAGAATGGTCCTCTAAAACTTCCAAGCACCATCTAAGAACATTCCCAGTGAATATTTTATAGAATGATCCTCTACAACTTCCAAACAACATCTTGGGACATTCTCAGTAAATGTTCTTTATATTCAAAATACAATAAATAATTTTCTCTTTCTACAAATTGGTTATATTCCAGGAATATGCGCTATCATCTAGGAATAATCCGCATCATTCTAGGAATATTCACTGGGAATATTCCATAGAATGATCCTCTAAAACTTCCAAGCACCATCCAAGAATATTCCCAGTGAATATTCATTGGGAATATTTTATAGAATGATCCTCTACAACTTCCAAGCAACATCTTGGAACATTCTCAGTAAATGCTCTTTATATTCAAAAAACAATATGTAATTTTTCCTTTCTACAAATTGGTTATATTCCAGGAATATGCGCTATCATCTAGGAATAATCCGCTTCATTATAGGAATATTCATTGGAAATATTCCATAGAATGATCCTCTAAAACTTCCAAGCGCCATCTAAGAACATTCCAAGTGAATATTCTTGGGAATATTTCATAGAATGTTCTTCTACAACTTCCAAGCAACATCTTGGAAAATTCTCAGTAAATGTCGTTTATATTTAGAAAACAATAAATAATTTTCTCTTTCTACAAATTGGTTATATTCCAGGAATATGCGCTATCATCTAGGAATAATCCGCTTCATTCTAGGAATATTCATTGTGAATATTCCATAGAATAATCCTCTAAAACTTCCAAGCACCATCTAAGAACATTCCAAGTGAATATTCTTGGGAATATTTCATATAATGTTCTTCTACAACTTCCAAGCAACATCTTGGAAATTTCTCAGTAAATGTCGTTTATATTTAGAAAACAATAAATAATTTTCTCTTTATACAAATTGGTTATATTCCAGGAATATGCGCTATCATCTAGGAATAATCCGCTTCATTGTAGGAATTTTTACTGGGAATATTCCATAGAATGATCCTCTAAAACTTCCAAGCACCATCTAAGAACATTCCCAGTGAATATTCATTGGGAATATTTCATAGAATGATCCTCTACAACTTCCAAGCAACATCTTGGAACATTCTCAGTAAATGTTGTTTATATTCAGAAAACAATAAATAATTTTCTTTCTACAAATTGGTTATATTCCAGGAATATGCGCTATCATCTAGGAAAAAACCGCTTCATTCTAGGAATATTCATTGGGAATATTCCATAAAATGATCCTCTAAAACTTCCAAGCACCATCTAAGAACATTCCCAGTGAATATTCATTGGGAATATTTCATAGAATGATCCTCTACAACTTCCAAGCAACATCTTGGAACATTCTCAGTAAATGTTCTTTATATTCAAAAAACAATAAATAATTTTCTCTTTCTACGAATTGGTTGTATTCCAGGAATATGCGCTATCATCTAGGAATAAACCGCTTCATTCTAGGAATATTCATTGGGAATATAAGTTTAGTTGCAATACCTCTCACCGTTGCTTACGCATATAATAACTATATATACCGATAGGTTAAAAATATCAGTTGGAGATGTGCGTCTGTGATGGCACAGCTAAACAATGATTAGAGTGTAACTAATAATGGCTAGTTAAGTTAAGGTCCTGGGTATAAGTGGCCATAAGGGCTAGGAGTAATCCCCACATTCTCCTAACAATACTTAAGTCTTATGCCGCTACATGAAATATTTTTTATACCATGAGTGGGTTAACTAAAAAGCGGACATTTGATTACGCCAGGAATATTCGTGGGAATAATCCTAATAATATTCCTGACATATGCAGGGAATGGGATTTTGCACTCTTGGTATAAACTACCCAATTTAAATTGTTGCGCAACTGTGTGGAATATGGCGCCAAAAATTAAATTAAAACAACACTTACTTCAAGCACTTGCAGAGCAAATAGAGTTTTTGTCCATAATAAAAGCGCCCAAACGGCGATTGCTGACAATCCACAAACAATTATCAAAGGTTTGTATTTGCACATATCGGTAATTAAAAAAACTATCACTAATTGAGCCAAATACGCGTAAATTCCCACAGGATAAACTTCTTGCGTGACCTGGTCGTCCGTAACGTTTCTCCATTGCTTGTCAATTAAAAACTCGTAGATGAAGGGTTCCGACGGCCTTATTTCCTTCAGGAACCCGAAAAGGCAAAGTATCAACGAGATTTTCAGCCACTCTTTCATTTTTTAAGGTTATGTATTTTTCTCCGAGAGTAAAATTAAAGTTGTTTTCCGCGATGATTTTCACTCGCAGAATTTTTTTCGTTGTGTTTTTTGTGGAGTTTTCTTGGTGACATTTTTGATAATGCTAGCGCGATGTTTAATTTACTACTATTAGTAAAATGTGAAGTGCCGAACATTTTGTTAAGGTAGGTTATTTCTGACCTGCGTGCTTCAATTTATTTATTTTATTAAATAAGAATTAGGTAATACTCGGACAATTTTGAGATAAATATTTTATCTAGTTTTTTTATTCATTATATTTTTTTACATAATTGTTATAGAATTTATTCATTTAATTATTTAAGTCATTTGAAGAAAAAAAGTTGAAGGTTATGTGCTATTTACAACTGTATATTGGGTTGCCTATTACTAGAACACTCCAAACTAAATTATTACATCCAAGACATCCAAGACAAACAACCAAATTTTAGTAGGTACTAAACCTATTTTTTATAACTATTTAATACATTAATTATCGGTATAAACATGTTTAAAATGTAAATTCTATTAATTTTTTTTATATTTATTATTTTTTATATCTATATGTAATTGTAAATTGAAAATGCAAATATTTCCCTTAGGATATTTTAAATGCCTAAAATCAATAATACACATTTAACCTAAATAAAGGTTTATAACATGCTTGTTTAATTTTATTTTGGTACTAGTAGGTTGCATAGTATTTATACAGACGTTTATTTTTAGTAATTTAAAGATAACACTTTAAAAACATTAATCCCGGCGCATTCGCCATTTTCAAAAAATTGTACCATTTAAAATTTAGTACATACTTAGGTATAAAAAGTTTAATTTTATATTTACAATATTAAATTATTTAGGTACATAAATTATAAATTTATAGCGCCTCCTATAAATTATTAAATATTGTCACCTAAATTAGTATTTTAGTTTGTAGATTATTATCGCCACATTTACGCTTACACTACTAGATAAAATTGATAATATTGAATTAAATTAGATAAAATTTACGATGTTCCCTTTAAAAAACCTTAACGTAAATTTTGTTTAATTATAAATATTATACGGGGTGTAACATAAAGGTTGGAGGCCCATTTGATTTACTTTGTAAATATTGTAGTACCTAGCACCAATTTGTGTAAATCCCAACGAACTTGTTTATGATTTTGAAAAATCAATTCATTTAACACAAGCGTTGTATGAAAACATTCGCACACGATGTGCCTGAAAAAAGTTTAACTAAAACATGATATTTACCAAAATCCTAGCTGCTCCTCTTTTCAAAATTTTTTAAAAATTCCTGTTTTTTTTTTTTTAATTTTTGTTTATCTTATAGTCTACCTTTGACAGAATACGATTTTTATAAAATTAGAGTATATTATTGAGGAGACTTAAAGAATACTTTTTAATGCCATTTTGTAACCTGATAAACGTAGAAATATCTAACAAAAATGGGGAAAAATCTTTTTTGCGTGTTATGCCAAAATCATGAATTTACGCTTTTGCTTTATTAAAAGAAGCGATTTTTGGCTAACCCTGTATACATCAAATAATGTGAACAGTATTAAAAAGTATTCTTTAAGTACAAATGTGTACTCTGTCAAAGGTAGACTTTGAAATAAACAAAAATTTTAAAAAAATCATTAATTTTCAAAAAATTTCATAAAGAGGAGCAGCTAGTATTTTGGTAAATATCATTTTTGACACCAAAGGGTCCCGAACAAGAAACTGTAATCAGTTTTTGGCGGCATTTTTATGTGACTTAAACTTCGTTCAGGCACACCGTGCACATACTACCTAGTTAAAAATTAAGTTTTGCGAAAAATTAGCACAGTAGTGTAAATATAAAAAATGGTGGGATAAATTTTGAAAATTTTCCAAACTTGTAATCAAAAAATGTGTTCCCCTACAATTTATGTTATTGAGTCGATGCTCTAGAACGAAACATTGTAAAAGTAAAGCAGCACACGGTGGTCAAAACTTAAGTATAGGACGAACAAAAATGCCAACCAAAACTGATAGCATATTTTGATTATAGACCCTTTTGGTAACTCTAACATGTATTTATCAAAATCCCAGCTGATCATATTTTAAAGTTTTGCAAACTTTTTTGTTTTTCTATTTCTATATATTATTTTGCAATTATTGTACTAAAACTACCTGTACAATTTTAATAAAATTAAGCAAAATAATAATTACTTTACTCCCCAGTATTAATTTATTGAGTCACCTATTATAATAATTATTTTTTACCACTCAAAACAAAACATAACAAAAAAAACGAAGATTAAAATCTTAAATATTTTTTATAACAAAAAATACTGGAAGTTTGTCTATGAAATAATCACAACTTGCAAATTTTGTAAAACAATAATTAAGGTGGTTATGAAAAAAATTGCTATACGTTATAACGAAAGTGACATTTTGCTTTAGTTGTTTATTTAATGTATACTTTATAAAGTTAAAAATAGTATTTTAAAATGAAAATTAAACCGAAATTCAAGTTAAGCCATGAAGAAAATCGAAAGAGGGTATGTGCTGGCTGTGGAGACAAAATTGTTTTTGGTAATCGAAAAATTCAGAGTTTCTGAGAAAATATAAAAATTACAAACGATCACTTTAACTTAAGTGATTCAAAATTACCTACTTCAATTTCGTAAAAACGGTATTTTTGCATAGCCACAATTGCCAAATTTTCAAAATTTTGAAATTGCTAGAGAATTTCGCGGCAGCCAAGAATGTATGTGCTTTATCTGCAAAATGGCAAGATATAAAGGGCATAAAAAATTATTAAGGGAAGAGGACGGACGAACGAACTAAAGTTTTGATATGCTTTTCCTTTCTAGGGGATATCGCTAGATGTAAGAAGCATGTTTGTACAGAGACTGAAGAATTTAAAACTACTGTTTCCATGTTTGATAAATACATTTTTGTGTTACCAAAAGAGTCTATAATCAGATTATGCTATCAGTTTTGGTTGGCATTTTTGTTCGTCATATACTTTAGTTTTGACCACCTTGAGCACTATTATTAAAAAAGTTGATTGTCTTGAAAAAAATTACAAAATTCATTTTAATTTTTTTTTCCTACAATAGGTAAACCGTTTCGGAGTTATAGCACGACGTGTTTTTGATCAAAAAGTTTTTGGATTTTTTTTCATAATCAGTAGGTTTAAGAAAAAAAAGTTTGTCAAAATTTTTCATGCAATATTCGTACATTGGAAGCCAGAATTGGGATTGAATATTACAGATTGCAGCAGTGAAGCTTTATAGAAAAATAAATAAGACATTGATCACATAAAAGTTTATTAATATCTTTAAAAATACATCGATATAATATATCGTTTATACATACATAATAAATATAGATAATATAATTTTTGTTCATAATACTTTTGCAAGTCTTAAATTCTCAATCATAATAACAGTTTTAACCTGTCAATTAAATATTGAAGTCCATTAATTTTACATTGAAAATACATTTAGAGCAAATATTACAAATAAATGAACTTTTAAATTATGTGAGAATATAGTACAGTGCTACTGAGAGATAATCACAGATAACTTTAATTTATAATATTTTTGGTTAACACTTAGGTTGAATTCTGCTAAATGGCTGAAATATGTATTAATATTTATTTATAAGATAATAGATTTAAGAATTTGAAAGAAGTCATAGATAATATTCTAAAACACTTATTTCATATTCTCATATATCAGGGGCGGACCCAGAAACAATGTCAGCTTTTAGGGGATTTCCTCCATTTTGCCCCCTAGATCCGCCACTGCTCACATTGACATAAAGCTTAAAAAACACATTTTATTTGTTATAGGAATGAGGATTATATAGTAAATAGGTTTAACATTAAGATTCGAAGAATAATAAGAATAATATTTTTCATTACTTTTTCAAGCCATTTGCTCGTATTTCGCCTTATTTATGACGCTCGCTAGGCAGCACGAAAGTATAACGCCTAGCAAAGGAAAGAATGCTATACCAACAGCTGCTCCAGCTACCAATCCGATGTTCGAGTTTAAAAAGTCAATGATTTTTTCGTAGCACCCCTAAAAAATAAAAATATGTTTGTTTTTAAAAAATCTGCCTTATAAGACATTATTTCAGTTAAAAATTAATTTAAAAAATATATATAATAAACGAGTATAAAGTTGCATTTGGGCAGTGGACTAGTGTTGTAAATAGAAATATTTTCATGGAAATGGAAATATTAAAAATTTTCGAAATATAATTATATTATTACATTTTTTTTGGGTGTGACCCATGCGGATTTTTAAAAAAAATTGTAAACTTATTCTTCACATTAAAATAATGATTTACTAAATATTTGAGCACTTAATATTAAGTACTTTTCCAGTAATGATTTTTCGAATTTTCACGAAATATACATACGGCTGATTCTACAAAAGTTGGACAACTTGATGTCATTAGTCAATAACTATATTTTAATATTTTTTGTAAATAACAACTCCTGAATCAAATATTTGATTCATTTTATTTTAAAATATATTCAGTTTATCATTTTTTAATTTCACTGCAAACTATAAAACATTAAATAATGTATTTTTCATATTTTATCACAGATTCGAATAATAGCAATTTTTAAAAAATTGATAATCTTTGTACTCACTTTTACCCGTCAGTTCTGTGTCCAATGTTAAAATTCAAAATTCCTGTGAAATATTGATGTTTAAACGTCAAGTCCTCGTTTTAACTCAAGTGTTGGTAAAAAATTACCTACAAAGCCCGCCCTTTGCACGACAGTCATCTTGAAAACAATGTAAGCGGCGAAGTTGTGGTGAATGCACTTACGAGGTGTGTTCAGAAAATATCGAGAATTTTCATTTTTTGAAACAAATATTTATTTATTCGTCTACATTAATGTTGTCGCCTTCAAAATAGTCCCCATTGGATATTATGCACATGTGCCAGTTCTTCTTCCAATACTTGAAACACTTCTAAAACTCGTTCTTTGAGATAGCCTTTAGTTCTTTCAGCGATGCGCTTTTAATGTCATCTATGCTTGCAAAACGACGGCCCTTTAAGGTTCACTTTATTTTTGGGAATAGAAAAAAGTCAGACAAAGGCATGTCTGGCGAATATGGAGGCTGGGTCATCATTACAGTATTGTTTTTGGCCAAAAATTTTGTTAAAAATTTAACAATTTTGAAACAAATTTTGCTGCCACGCGTTTCATACCCAAAACATTTGAAAAAATTTCATGGGGTGAGCCAATCGATATACCAACATCATCAGCGACTTCTCTGATGGTTTATAACCATTTCTTCCACGTTTTCCGTGTTTTTATCGGTTGTTAATGTGCTTGTGCGTTCGGGGCGTTCGTCATCTTCAACGTCTTCACGGCCATCTTGAAAACTCTTATACTACTTGTAAACTCTTGTTTTACTTATGGCAGACTCACTATAGGCCTTTATTTCATTTTATAAGCAAAATTGGATACAAATTCTTTTTGATCCATTTCTTTTAACGAACGAAAATCGCCGAGCTCATAAAACACGTCTAACCTTAGAGGCTGCCACAGACAAAGTAAACAATCAAAACAGCTAATCATACTTCGGGGGCATGTATACCAACATAATAAATAAAATTTTATGACAACCGGACCCTCCGAAGCCGCGAAATTTAACAATTCCCGTTATTTTCTGAACTGCAGTCAAAATTTCAGTACTGTGGTGAGTAGTTATTTTCTTACGTATATATATTTCATTGTAATTTATATAAGGCTATATGTGATTTGTTGATAAGTAGCATCCACTAATAAAAAATATCAGTAAAATACTTAATTCCGAATTATAATCTCAAATTTGTATCCGTGTCGTCAGTTCCATGTTCGATGTTTCGGTTATCTTTTTTTCGCAAACTTCAATTTAAATTCTGCTTGCGCAGAACTTGTTTATTTAATGTCATTATAAACTCATATAAATTTGGTGTGGGTCCCATATCTAATAATTGAGATATCGGTATACCCAAAATCCACCAGCCGCCACTGATGTGTGGTAATATTTGATTTTAAGATATTTAATTTATAATATGCTCAAAGTTTCAATATATTTTATATTTACCAATACATTATGTATTTAATTAGTACCCTGGTATACTCGTCACTTCCCTTGCATTCAAATTTAGAAAACACAGATATTTCAGAAACTGTTTGAAAAAGTGACTGGCCCGGTCTGCAACAGTATATTTATTATATTATCTATGTTCTCATAACAAAATACTATTTAATTTTCTCCGAAAACTATATAAACAAAATGAGGTCAAAAGTTGACCAACTTTTGTAGAATCACCCAAATTTTTTGGATGTAAATAATGTTTTATAAAACTACAAACAGTACTGTTTTTTTTTGTTGGAAAAAATGCATCTTCCCAAAATAAATTAGTAAACTCTTTTTATATTATATTGGCTGTTAGTCGAAATATTTGACTAACTAGTTAATATATTAAATAGTTACAGCTGCAGTTGGCCAGATAATAAAACTTATTATAACATCGAAAAATGACGATGGTGGTGGTAACTCAAAATCTACTAGGCGAAAAAAATTAAATTTGATAAAAATGTTAACATGTAAAATATACTTTATCTACTTTACGTTCATAATGACTTCATTATAACACCGCTTTCGGTGCTGTAATTAGATACTTTATCCCACCCAAAATTTTGATTTTATAGGTTGGCTATACTTTAAACAGCATAATATTTTGCATATTGGTTATAATATTTTTATGATTTTTCTAGTACTTACGAGACTTTTCTGGCAATAAACACCAAAGAAAATCCTTTTTTTTCTTTAACATTAACAGCCGCTTATTGTAAATAAGTAAATTAAGGACGGCATGGTGAATCGATTTTGACATTAACTGTGATACCAACTAAGTAAAATTCGACCAAATTAAATTTAAGGTATAAAATTATTTTTTTTAAGAATTTTTGCAAAATAGATAAAATAGCATAAAGAACTCATGTCATGTCACCTTTTGTCGCACTCATCCATTACAAATTATAAATTGTCCGCGTGCGACAAAATGACGTCTTATGACATTAGTTCTTTAAAAATCATAAAAATAAGAGTTGGTGGGTCTATAACTTTTTAAACATTATTGGTACAACAATTTTGTAGAACATCATCAATAGTTTAGTTTAAAAACCTAAAATATGCATAATTTTTAGAAATTACCATTTTCAAAGTTCTTTAGTAAGTAAAAGTTAGAAACTTGACTCCATGAAATTTTTTGTAGAAAATGTAATGCTTTTTAAGGATAATAAGTCATTTATATGAAAAAAATGGTACACAAAAAGCAGAAAGTAAAAGCGATAAAACATATTATACTATGTTAATCCTAGGGTAAATTTTAAAACTCGATGATGCACCTTTTAAAATTGAAATTAAGGGTCAGAATTTTTATAAAATTTATGTAAACCAACAAACAAAAGTAAAATGATTCAACTCAATCGGGTTAGGTTTTTTACAGCCTATAGGCTGTTAAAATTTACCCTAGGATTAACATAGTATAATATGTTTTATCGCTTTTTTTTTATTGGTCCAAAGTATACAAAAATAAATAGTTACTTCCTATAGGAAGTAACTATTTATTTTTGTATACTTTGGACCAATAAAAAAATTAGACTACTGTCAGATCTACCTCATTAACATCACTTTCTAGTTAATAATTACACTCTGCTCGAATCGGAAACTTTTTTTTTGGTTTTAAACGGTAAATCTATATAATAATCGATTTCCATTTAAATTCAATAAGTTCAGCGTTGATAACAATAAATAAATTATAGACCGAGATAAAAAATATTAACATTCCATAGATATTGTTTTTACTGAATAGCAGCGTTTATACACTGAAAAAAATATTTCTTATATTTAGAACCTGTGTTTAGAACACCTATTATTTTGAAAATATTTTTTTAATTCAAGTCAACTTGCTTTAAAATAAGAATATATATTTCAACTAAAAATATTTAACTTTTTTTAAATTTTGTAGTTTTGGAATTATTCTAATATTAAGAAACATTTCTTGTTTTAAAAAGTTGCATGTTTCAATCCAAATATTAAATATTCTTGAAGAAAATCTTAGTTGGTTTCTTGGTACAATTGTTAATATTTTTTATATCAAGAATAAGATATTCTTATTTTTTTATTTGTTTAATTTTTTTAAATTAAGAATTAGATATTCTTAAATTTTTTTATTCGTTTTAATAAACAGTATTTTCTTTTGCCAAGAATACATATTTTTGAAATCGTGTAGGAGTGGAGATGCTGACCCGTTCCTCTGAAATTTTATGCGTAATCATGCAGTGTTTCTTTCCCTTTGCGAGGGAGAGGGCGTATTTCATTAAAAAAATATTATAAGAATGGTCAGCATCGAAGGAAATTATAGAAAAAAAAGGTAAGTAAGTTGTTATTGATAAACCACCCTTTTTTAAATTTAGCGTCGCATTTACGTGTAGGTAGGTAGGTTTATTGTTTAAATATTTACTAATATGCATTATGGATGCAATTATTTTATTCATAAATAAATAGGCCTTGCAGTGATAAACAAAATATCTTATTTGTTTAACACTCTGATTTGTATGGCTCTATAATTTTAAGTTAATAAACTTAATTTATTTTATGACATTTAAAAAGATTTTGTTTTGAATATAACTTTGTTACACACTTTGGGGTATAACATTAATTTTGATTCATATAGGGTGGAGTTCATTGACAATAGCCCCAAATTATTTTATAAAATTGGTAATTGCTTTTCTACTACGCCTAAAATATTACAAATTATTTAAAATGAAAAATAAATATGTAGATAATAATGATTAAGTTTCCTACGTTAATTTATAATAATGTATACATTTTAGATTTTTTTTGTATTAAAAACAAAATAAATGTGTTTGTTCAACGTTTTGTTTTTTTTATTTTCTAACCTAATTTTTTTTGCTTACTGCACCACCTAGAAACTATTCAACTAGGGAATGCAATCTCGGTATCTTGATTTAAGAAAATTATTGCCTTATTTCAATATCACATGTTTTTGTTTTAAGAAAATATATTCTTCAATTAAGTATCATTTTTATTTAAGATTTTAAAAGAACATATTCTTGCTTTAAATAAATAATTATTTGGTTAAAGAAAATACATTTTCTTACATTAAGAAAATATTCTTGAAGTAAATCAACGTGAATTAAGAAAATACTTTACTATTTTAAAGAATATATTCTCTTCTTTATATATGAGACAAAGATTGTTTTGAGTCAAATAAATTTATTTGATACAAGAATATTTTTTTTCAGTGTAGATAAAATTAATACAAAAACCGTAAAATGAATGATGAAATGCCAAGCGTGCTGTGATGAGTACATACATGCATGAATGATTCCAGATGGCTGTTTATAAGAATATCATTAAATGTATTGCCTTACCAAGAAAAATTACACTGCATTTACTTATTTAAACATTATTTCATCTTTAAGCGTTTTAAAATGGAAGCTTTATAAAATATTTGATTATCTCCTAGGCTGTAAAAATAATTCATACCAATCAGTTAAAGTTTTTTACAACCTGGTCTGTAAAAAAACCGTTAGAACCAATTAAAAAATTTAATAACTTATAACAGGTCTGAGCTAACTATTTATTTAATTTACTTCGGAAAAAATCGTAGCTAAGATTTATATTCTGAATCTTGTTTATATGGGCACTGGTAATATTACCTATAGCCCATTCCATTTAAGAATAAAGCATTGAGTTGAATAGGATTTATTTTAGACCAATCATAACGCATAAAATTGTGGTTTTATTTACTCAGGCCAAAATTTGAAAACCTCTCTGTCTAATACGTTGGATATTTGATTAACTTAGCTCTCGCACACTAAATATTTTCTCATACAAAGTTGCCATTGCTTCTAAAAACAAATTTAAAAACTGACATAATAATATTATACAATAAACCAGCAAGAATTTTTTTATTATTTAAATTATAAAATTATATTATATTAGCTTTTGTTGTCAATTTTTCAAAAATATTTTAATTATAGAAAGAATATATATTTTCAAAAGGTTTGATTCATCGCTCTTTGGCAACATAGCATTCAATTTGTTTTTTTAATGGCTTTATTTGCATCAGCTGTATATTTTGTTAATTTATTGCATGTTCTGTGATTTATTGGCTTTATTCAACGCATTAAAATTAATGAATTGTTACTAATGAACAGGTAAGTGAATTAAAATCGCTTAACATAACCAAAGAAAAATATTTTTATATTTTTGAGAGACAATATTGTTAATAGGGACAATATAAACAATGTGGACAATGTGGAAAACCAACCATCTGTCCTAAAAAACAAATCTGGCCAATATATAGGACGAGGTCAAAGAATAATACTTAATGCGGTAAAAAAACATATTTATAAAGGAAAATCAAATTAAGTGAGGAACAAAAGAAGCCCATAAGAAATAATGAAATACCAAATTTAAGTAAAATCTATTAATTACTTAGTAAGTAATTATGTTATGGAAATAATAATAATAATAATAATAATTATTATTATTATTATTATTATAATAATAACAAATAATAAAAATAGGTTTTGCTTTAAATAAATATGTTTTTATTATTAAAACAAACGTTTTGTGTATATACTAATTGTTTTTCCTTTTTTCTGCCGTAAAGGATGATATATCGTCAACTTACCACCAATTTCTGTGACAAATTTATGGAGAATTAAAAAAAACTTGACTTTAGTATGAAAAAAGGGGTAGGAATAATTTACTAGTCGAAAAAAGTGAAATAGTAATTTGGAGAAAAAAATATACCTATTGATAATATCAGGAGTTCCCGATTACAGGATCAAAAAATATATTACATGGATGAGACTTCAATATTTTTTGTTTATTTTTTTTTTGTAAAATTTATATTTATAATACATTAACAATTAATTTTTTAATTAAAATTAAAAATCTAATACAAATAAATGTTAAAAAATATATTCTAAGGGAATATTAATTATTACGATTTATGTATTTAAATTTAAATTCTATAACCAAGTTGAAATTGGGAGGTCATTTTAACGTGATTCGTCTCTCTAAAATTTTGTATTTTTTTTTATAAAACTTTCATTAATTGCATTTATATTTTATTTAAGGCTTACTTTAGAAAAAAAACTAGATTTAATTTTTTAAATAACTTTTTTCAGTGGTGAAAGTAGGGACCCATTTAGAATGAATGTAAAAAAAATTTACAATAGCTATTTTATTTTCTTGACTGTAACTGATACATTAGGTTAACCCAAATTTAATTAAAATATAAATCGATGGCCTTTTGTATATTTTGTATTTCATTGTTCTATATGTACTCAATAGGCAATAAAAACTTTATTTATTTATATAAATCAATGAATAAATAATAGACAACGCCAATACAATTTTGCTTGGGACTTTTGAGACATTATAACTAGTACCCATATAAACCAGTTTCCTATAAAAATCTGTGATAGGACTTTTTACGAACTCTCTTTAAATAAATTAATCAAAAATGATAAATTTTCATGGTGAAAAAGCAGCCACTAGAATTATTTATCGGGGACATTTAACAGTCAATTTCTATGTAAACTTGTCCGTTGTCAAAATAATAAGAGTAGAACAGAAAAATTGGTAAAGAAAAACTATCTTAGAATTTCTTTAAAAAAATTGTATTTAAAAGGTTATTACCTGGGAATAAATTTGTCTATCGTCACTGCTGTCACAGCCTTCTTGGACGCAGCAAGATGTTGGGATCGGAGATGGAGGTGTTAAATTTAACCAATCGCTGGCCTGGTGATTTCCGCAACAGTGTAACTAGAATGAAAACTAAATTATTAGTTTATAAAATTTTACATAAAAAATATAATTAGATTATAAGATATTTCAATGATACATTAAATTATATCATTACCGACGATTTAAAATGCTGAACAAATTGTTTGGTGTTCTTATGGTGATCAGAACTGGGAGTATCTTGAAAAAAAAGATAACTTAGATAATTAAAGTATCTAAGATACTTTTTAGATATATTGGCAGAAAGTATCTTTAACTAAGTTACTCGGTGAAGTAACTAAGATACATTCAAGTAACTTAGATACTTTAAAGTAACTAAGATACTTTTTAAAGTAACTAAGATACTTTTTAAAGTAACTTAAATACTTTTCAGTGTAACTTGTATACTTTATTAGAGAAAATTGGGGGAATTTCAAAATGACCTACTGTTTATGTTTCACTTCTTCTGTGTAATACGCAAAATAAAAACACCTTTGGTTTTTTATAACACAAGCTCTTTTCTTTATTTTTAACAAGAATATACACTGTAAAAAGCATTTGCGGCGTACAATGCCGTGCACCTAGACCAGGGTTTTCACCAGGATTCCACCCTGACCTAGACCTAGGCCGTGCATCACTCTAGCTTCTCTAAAAAGCCGCTAGCGCCACCGTCTCTTACTGTCAAAAACAAGCGCGAAATTTAAATTTAAAATAAATAAAATGCACAAATACCGACACCTACAATTGTAGGTCATTTTAGTTACTTTTAAGTATGAATAAAAACTATAAAATTATAAAAAATCAACAAGTTATAACTTGTTGATTTTTTATAATTTTATAGTTTTTATTCATACTTAAAAGTAACTTAGTTATTCAAAAGTATCTTACTTTCGGATAGTAATACTTTTTAAAGTATCTTGTAACTAAAGATACTTTTAACTCAAAGTTATTTTAGCTTAGATGGTGATAGCATTTAAATGTTACTTCAGGCTTTTGAAATAACCGATGAGGTGTGAAAATTTTACATGCTGGCTAATTTTATCAAAAACACACTAGGTAAATTTTTGTTTTTAAAAAGTCATGGAAAAAAGTATAAAATTGATTTTGATGATGATGATTTAACATTTAAATCATTTATAAAAATTTAGCTTTTTACCAAAAAATTTACATAGAAATGTATTTTTTCTTTAAATAAAATTATAAATATTTAATTATTATATCTATATTTAAATAAAACGCGGAGGAGAATTGAAACATCAGATTAAAATATTTACCTTTTTTATTTTAGTGCTTGAAAATGGCGAATGTGCCTTTCAAAAATTTTAAATTTAGCAGCAGTAAACAAATAATAGTTATGGATTAATCTCACGAAATGTCCCCCGATGGTGTTACCCCGTGATATTTAATAAAACCAAATGAGTTTCACCTACACTTTTATTGTGTTTTGATCTTTCATAATTAAGTAGATATTATAGCTCAGGTTCCAGATTTTTAAATGCAATTAATTATTTTTTACAATGTTTTAAAAGTCTAAAACCTATCCTCCGTGACTGTTACTCTTTCTAGGGGAACCTATATGTTTTCAAATATCTGAGGTAGTAAAAGCATACTAAAAATAATAAGTAAATTACACATCCAAAGCAATCGAATCAAATATAAAATATTATTAAAAGTTGATTCTATCCTCCGTAAATCTATTTTTGCTTTAAATTTTATGCAACGGATGGCGCTTCAATCATTTTAAATAAGCAAAAACCTCTGTCTACGACATTATAGATGCATGTGATTTTCGAAGGTCAGTTTGAATTTATATGCAGATGAGAGTGTTGCTGTTTTATAATTCAAAAGTTTAAGTTTATTAATTTGCTATTTAAAAACCTATCCACCGTGAATTGTAATATCTCAGTATGTAGATTTTTTTATAAATATTTATGTATGTACAATTGTATTTTTAAAAAATATTAAGGTGTCAAAAGATAATAATAACTTATTTCAAATATACAAAGGGATGTTTAAAAAAAACATACGAAATCCTAACCTCCGTGAAGCTCTAATATTCAAAATGTATGATTTCTTAAAATTCTTGCATAAGTGCAGAACCATTTAACAGTGAAACAACCAAAAATAAAAAATAATCATTTTCACTTGGTGGACATCTCAATATATTCACCCAATATTTGCCTTTAAAACAAATAATGCAGATTGCTACAAATATGCCGTGAGAACTCCCTTCCAATCGACAAATGTCAAGAATTTGTTAAATATTCATCCGCCAATTATAATTGCCTATTTAGTTTTGTGTCGTTTCTTTTCAAATGGCGTTCAGAACGTAGCAATTAAACAATTAACTTTCTCGCACGTTCAGGGAAGTTGTTAAACGTCGAATTAGTTTGAACTATTGTTCTTCAAACAAAAGAACAACAATTCAAATGAATGGGGTTTTACGTTTTTTTTAAATTTGTTTAATGGTTTATTGTTTTATTTCGTAGCAATAAACTGAACTTTAAATAGTACTACCTATAAGTACGTTCAACTGTATCAAAATATTATAAAAATAGCATGTATCAAAATATGTTTGTAATTTTTTAATTTTTGGTTTGAATGAATGAACAACTTTGTATTCAACATTTTTAACATAAACTCCGAGAAAGGGAACCTAAGCATCCAAAAATCGATTTCAGGATTATGATTGTTATAGATTAATTAAAGACTTCTCTTTAATTATCTGAATTAGGAAATAATTTTCTTTGAAAATTTTACATTTAATCACAATTAGGTGATCACGAGTCACAAAGTCACAAAATTTTGAATTTGTTAATTTTTAATAAAACTTGTTTTAACGAACCCTAATATTCCTAATTGCAAAATATTGTTTAAATATGAAAATTCTCCATTAAAACTTAAATTATATAAGATTAATGTTAAAAGAATGTTACTTATTAATTACTCTATATATAGGAGATAACATTGTAAGTAAATTTAATACCAGAAGCCATAATTCTGCCACAATAACGGTTAATGAAGCTTTATTAATTTCTTTTTATAGCAAGTAAGATAAAAATGTGAGGAAAGAGTTAAAGTATGCATACATAAATAAATTAAAAAAGATAATGGAATAGATAACAAACAGTTTAATTGTTTTAGTTTGAATTTAAATAATATTGCCATATACAAAAATACGTTTGCAAATTTTTGTGGGTAATTATTTATTAACAAAAAAAATGTTGACTTATGACCATATACTTCCACACAAATAAAATCATTTCTAACTGTTTCTATTTCGTGGGGTTAAAGTAGGTAAAGTGAAAATATCATTGCCGGTTTAAAAAAAATACTATATTTCTGTCCCTATTTGGGTATAATAAATACTTTTTAATAAATTGTATGAAAAAAAGCATTTAACAATAATAAACACACAAAATGATAATATTTTAGATTTTATAGTGGCATGTTTAAAACAGCGTATTTCTTCTACGATTTTATTATAGACATTCTAATATGTAGATGGTTTTTATAATTAACCATTTTTTTGTTTTCTGTTGTATACCAATTGTTTTGGCATTATTTTTTTCATTTTTATAGAAGCGTTTCGTGGTAAAAAATTAATTGCCTTATGTCGTTTTTAAACGAGCGATTTATTCATAAAAGACACACAGTTTTTGAAAAAGCAAAAGTAGATATTTATAATAAGTAAGTACTCTCCACAACTCAGTAATTAAACTAGCTAAACCCCAAAGTTCCAATAAATTTTTGGTGTTCTGGTCTGCCATTGTATCAACCTCATCGCATGAACATTACTCATTGACTTAGGCGTACAATGCGTTAGCTGTTTTACGTTTCGCACAACTCGGTTATAATGATAGTTATAATTTATCTCCTAAAAGTTAATTTTTGCTTAATATTATAAAGAATATTATATTTTGCAATAACATTCAAATGATGATAATTATTGCATAACATATAGGTAAGTTTATTTATCATAAAATAACAGTTACCAATTTATATTATATTTTCTGATATTTTTCTAAATATTTGGAACAAACTGAACTGAACTGAACAAACCTACATCCACTAACATTAAATCAATAGTCTTTAACTTATCCCAGGTTACTATTAAGAAAACCACATTCTATTATTTAGAATACAATTTTTAAAATAATTTTGGTAATATATTTAGTATATTGCTATACTGTATGTTAGCATTAGGGTGTTTAAAAAAAACAATTATTTTTTTCCAATGGTGTTGAGAAATTAATAGTACATTAAAAACAAAAATTTTGGCGCCTATTTGAGCCCTTAATATTCATATTAAGGTTTGCCTCAATTCATTTGTTGTTTTTCCATTTCAATAACACGGGATTAACTTTGGAATGGTTTGTTTTCGCAACACCCAAGCGAGAGGATGTATAGGAAATTTCACGCTCTACAAAAAACATCTGAAGGTCAAAGTTCTTCAGATCAACCGTTTCAAAGATATCAGCGATCAAAAATAACACTAATAAAAAATTTCAAATATTTTCCAATAAAAGTACAAACAAATATTATATGCCATATTTATAGTATTTTTTATGTAAAATCACTTAAATTCTGTTAACCGGACACTGTAAACTTATTTTTTTGCGAATTAATTTAATACGTAACTCACAAAAATTACAAATACATAAATAATACAATGATATGATTTTTGGGTCTCTTTTATAAGAAATTTATTTTATTTTCTGCTAAATACTAAGAAATTGTATTGAACAATTAATTCTATACCGGGTGTATCTGAGAATAGGCGTAACTTTTTTATTTATAAAGATAGACACATGAAATTTTGCATGGATAATTAGGATATAAAATGCCACTTATAACAGTACAAAATTTTTTGAACTTCCGGTTTCGCCGGAAATGATACCAACTTTTGATTTTTAAATGGAATGCTCTATATATTTTTACATATTTGGAATCCTGAGGAAATTCTGAGTCAGACAGCATCCTCAAATTGACCTTTTGACGTTTTGTCATCAGAAAATGTATCATCATAAAGATCAATCTAGAGTGCTTTGAACTATCTTATTTTCTTTCAATGGATTCACACAATGCCTGAAAAATGCCTTAGAAAGTTGTCATCCAGCAGTCTAAACTTGTCAAAATTCGTTTTTCTCAAATAGTTCAAAGAACTCTAGATTGATCTTTATGATGATGCATTTTCTGATTATAAAAAATTATAAAAAAAATCCCGTCTTATGGAAATGGAAAACCACAAATGAATTAAGGCAAACCTTAATATTAATATTAAGGGCTCAAATAGGCGCCAACATTTTTGTTTTTTAATGTAGGTACTATTAATTTTTCAACACCATTAGAAGAAAAAAATAATTGTTTTATTTTAAACACCCTAGTTAGCATATATGCCTTAAACTTATATTTATTATTATTATTATTCAAATTATTAACTATTAATCAAATTTTTCTTTCTGTGTTCTATCTTGAACAATCTAATATTTTTAAATCGGCTTTTATTGTCTTGTAACTTTAAATATTAATTTCCTTAATTTTTAAAACATTTAATTGACTTAACTCTTTGTTTAGGTTTGTGTAAAAACTTTTACAGATAAAAAGAAACAAAACTGGACATAAAATTGTCACTTTACTTTTTTATTAATTTTAATGTTGAATATAATACACTCACCGGCAAAATAATCGAGCCACACAAATTTTCGATGAATGTCAATCGCAAATAACTTGTTATTTGATGTCGGATTTAAACGAATATTATAGAATATTGTAGATAAATTAATAGACAATCGCTCACATTTTAAAAAATTACTAAAAAATACACGTACGTTTATAATATACAGGTTTAAACAAAAAGATGTTTTTTACCATAAGTTTAAGACACTCTGCAGAGTGGCAAAACCGTATATTATTCTAAATTAAGTTTTATTTATCAAGTCACATCTATCCTTAACAGTTTTGTTTTTGGTTCACCTCGATATATTTATTTTTGTGGAAAATATGGATTTTTAAAAAAACATTGCAATTTCCAATATTTTTCTGTATGAAGAACTAAGGTTGCTATGGTCCACCCATAGGCTATGGAGAATGACAGTGACAGTTTTGTTGAATCATCCCATACTTGGACATGTCATACACGGCTTTCAAAAGCTATCAAATTGTTTTTTAAAAATTAATGTTTAAATTTTGAGGTGTCTTCTTACTTTAAAAAATGTCTCCAACTGATGTTTCCAGAGCCATTAATTTAATACAGTATGGACGGTCACAGTATTACGTGGCAAGTGTTTTAAACGTCACCAGAAGTAAAGTACAAAGGGCAACATCAGTCGGAGGCATATCAATTTTTTAAAGAAAGAAGACACCTCAAAATTAACACATTAATTAATAAAAAACAATTTTATAGCTTTTGAAAGATGTATATGACATGTCCAAGTATGGGATGATTCAACAAAACTGTCACTGTCATCCTCTATAGGCTATGGATGGACCAAAGCAACCTTAGTTCTTCATACAGGAATGTATCGGAAATTGCAATGTTTTTTTTTTAAATCCATATTTTCCACAAAAATAAATATATCAAGGTGAACCAAAAACTGTTAAAAATAGATGTGACTTGATAAATATAACTTAATTTAGAACAATATACGGTTTTGCCACTCTACAGAGTGTCTTAAACTTATGGTAAAAAACATATTTTTGTTTAAACCTGTATATTATAAACGTACGTGTATTTTTTAGTAATTTTTAAAATGTGAGCGATTCTCCATTGATGTATCTACAATATTCTTTAATATTTGTTTAAATCCGAAATCAAATAAAAAAGTTATTTGCGATTGAAATTCATCGAAAATTTGTGTGGATCGATTATTTTGCCTGTGAGTGTAGTAACATGGTTTAAAAAAATAAATAGAATTTAATTCGTTCAACTAGGTCTAAAAATATTAAACATTTCACTCGTCGAAATGTATGAATCAGTACCATGGTACCTAGGTACCTGGTATGTGAAATTATAAATATAAAAATAATAATGTAAATTTTCCGTGATCTCGAACTCTAAATGCTATTGTGTATGTTGGCCATGAGAAAAGTTTATCGACCTTTGGCCATAATATCGCTTATTGCTGAAGAAGAAATTTCTTCGACATCACGGCATAATTCCTTTTATTACAACAACATTAACAACTGCACTGTGTTCGCTATTGAAATTGCATGCATCAAAAGTTATTAACTCACCGTTTTTTGCATTAGATCGAAATTATCGGCCAAATGGGCGGTATCGTTCCTGTAATTGATCATCGCTTGGGTTAGTCCTTTCTCAAATCCTTCGTTTAGTTTGGTCCTGTATGCAAATATGGACACCCCTGCACCCAGCTCCAGGACGAAAATAATTGCCAAAAATGCACCATACTAAAATACATTCATTTAAGTGTAAAAATAGTGGATGATAAAATTTCACTAAAAAAAAAGTTCATATTTAAATATTTTCTTTTAGGAAGCAATACATTTTTAAATGAAAAAATTGAGGACAGTTTTACAGTCTAAATCAGCGGTTCTAAACAGTGGCGGCCCGCCAGGGGAGGCAGGTGAGACAGTGCCTCATCATAGAGGATTAAAAATTAAGTATAATTTAAATATTTCACTTTCTATGATATACTAAAAAAATTTAATATTTGGATTAGATGAATTGTGAAATAGTCTATAAAATTGATTGATTTTATACGTGGAATACCCAGCAACATTTAAATTATTTGAATTTGAAACGACCGCAATTTAAACTAATATTTATAGCTCGATAATTGGCTCAGAAGCATGCCTGAACTAATTTAGACTCACGATTGGCGTTAGCCTTGTTGTCTCGTTCTATACAATGCAATATCAACGTTGTCTCCTTCTCTCGTATCAGCATACGCGAGGCAGGCACGCCTACATCCAAAGAAATAAGCAGGTGTTGTGGCAACACTGTTGCGGAATTTTAGATAAATTATACTTCACACTTTTTTTAAAATTCAATAATAAATGGTATTATTTTTCTTATAATAAATCGATTTAATCGAAATTATATTTCAATTCTAAAATAAACATATTTTAACACTATCGCCATCTTGTAGCCATCACAGTAACCAATAAAATAAATACAGATTCCTTCTTTAGGTTTGTTTTGGTTATAAAATTCTGAACTGTTCAAAGAACAAATCTGTGGTTATTTACGCAATATTTTGTTTATTCTTTTTCTATGAGTTTGTCTATTTTATGATTCTTTTGTAAGTTTAGTTAATTGACTTTGGTGATTTATGTGAATTTAGTCATTATGGATATTACGGTGAGAAATTGTCATTTTTACAATAAAATATATTTTATTGACAAAGTTTTATCAGAACTGTATTGAATCGTGCTTTTTTTATATTTTTCGCCTCTTACATTATTTTGATTTTCTTTATTCAACAGAGAGGTAGAAACTCGACCCTGTCGAATGGTGCAGTCATTTATGTCTCTAGAAACTATTGAAAAAGGGTTCAGTCCAATGGTGCAGCAACTTCGGATTCCTATTCTCTTCAGAGACATAGAAACTCAAGCTTTTCGAATTTTACTGGCAATGAATTTCCTTAATGTGTCCGAGAATTATACAAAAACAGCGCAATGCAATATCGCAACGGTTTCGACTTCTCTTTACTCTACCAAGTTATAGAAACTGGAGTCTATCTAATACTGTTCTAGTCAATATTTCTGAGAGTATAAAAAGAGGGTGTAATTCAATATTGCAAGAAGTTTTGATCTTTTGATGGATGCAAGTAGTTTAAATATTCTCATTTCTGCATATGATTTTGTTGAAAATATGTCCTTTCTTTGGTTCCTTTGTCTGATTTTTATTTACCATAACAACTAAGGTATGTAAAGCACAGAGGATATGATATATATATTTATGTATTATATAAAGTACCTATTTTTGTATTAAAAATTTCAGAGGTAATGTTGAAAAAATGATCGAAATGATATTAAACTTTAATAATTTAGTAATGAGGTCTGTTGGTAGACCCTGCACTATCTCCACTGGTATATGTTAGTTTTATAATATTTAAATCTGGTTGATGAAAAAGTACACACCAGTGCAGGTTATTGTAGCATCTACGAACAAATGAATTAATGGCCCATTGGCAATTATTCCTTTAGGAAAAATATTCAAAACAGCTTAATTAATTAATAAAATGAAAAAAATCACAATCATGTCGTATATAGTTTTTTTTTTTTCAAGCATAAAATAAGTTTCATATTAATACTAGTTTATAAGTGAGCTCCTCTTTTCGAAATTTTTTGAAAAATCTTTTTTATGCATTATGCTTTTTACTATATATATAAAAAAGTGATTTTTGTCTAACCCTGTATAAATCTAAGCATATATATAAAAACAGTTTCTCTCGTTTACAATGTCGGTGTACAAATGTGTACTCTGGCAAAGGTAGACTTTGCTATAAACAAATAATTTTAAAAAAATTGAATTTTTTACAAATTAAAAAAAACAGTTAGGATTTTGGTAAATATATTTTTTAACTTCAACCAATTTTTCGTTCAAAATTGAAAACTACTAAAAAGCCTAAATTAAACAACATTTTAAATACTCTCTAAGCGTTATTTTATTAAATGTTATTACAAATCTATTTTTCTTGTAAAAGGTTAATAATAATGCCATTTTGTAACCTGATAAACCTAGAAATATCTATAAAAAAATTGGGAATAAATATTTTTCGCGTGTTATGCTAAAATCATGAATTTACGCTTTTGCATTATTAAAAATAAGTGATTTTTGGCTAACCCTGTATATATCAAATGATGTGAACAGTATTAAAAAATATTCTCTAAGTCTACTAAATAATATACTCCAATTTTATAAAAATCCGTGTGCAAATGTGTACTCTGTCAAAGAGAAAAACAAAAATTTGAAAAAAAAATCATGAATTTTCGAAAAATTTCGAAAAGAGGAGCAGCTAGAACTTTGGTAAATATCATTTTTAAGTCATCAAAGGGTCCCGAACAAGAAACTACAATCAGTTTTTGGCTGCATTTTTATGTGACTTAAACTTCGTTCAGGCACACCGTTAAACCGTTCGAACGGACGAGCTAGCAGCGAAGCGCGCCGCGTACTGATCAAGCGCACAGCCGGACAAAAAAATTAATATCTCCGGAATGACATATGAAAGGCAAATTTTTGAGTACATCTTATTAAACGGAAACGTTTGCCGCATATTATGACACAAGATTAATTTTTTTTCAGCGTGAAGAACACATACAAAATTTCAATTGTTTATAATAAATGTATGCAAAATTCTTTTATTTAAACAAATTAACCTTAATTAAATGATCATTATATACAGTGGCGGGGGTTTAGAAAACTGTATTCAAACGTGGGGACATCCAATACACTTCTATATTTTTCCGTTTGCTGTGCACTAACTAATTAGGAGTTTGTTACGGGCACATTCTGATTAAATGTGTTTATAGAGGAAACAAACACAGTTTCGTACATTTTTATTACAAATGTATATACATAACAAAGAAATTCTAAATTACCAGAAACGCAAAAATACCAAATTACCAGTCGTCTTTGTTGTCAGAGCGAACCAGGCCAGACTTGGAGTATGATTATCTCCCCAAATTTATTATTAAGGGCGCAATATCTTCGCAATCTAATAACTTGTAACATTGTTTGCACAATAGGTACATTGTTAGAGTATGATAAACACAATGTATAAAATTATTTATAAAAATCTGCAACAAACGATGCATCGCGATACTTACGGACGAAACGTCAAAATTACAAAAGAACGTCAAATATAACAAGACAGTGCCTTAAATATGGTTTCGCGTAAAAATCGAACATTTGAGTTCTAAACATGCTCTGCTACGTCTGCGAACAGCGCCTGTTGCTTGTCCTATTAACTCTTGTTTTTCTTTAAGAACTGCGCCAGTATTAATTATTCGTTGAATTAGTGCCTCTCGATTATTCACTTTAACTTTGTAAACTTCTGTTTTAAACCAACCCCATAAACAAAAATCTAGTGGTGTTAGATCTGGACTTCTTGGAGGCCAACTAATTGGACCTCCGCGACCAATCCAACGCTCTGGAAACATTTCATCCAAGTGTTGCTTGACCTCACGAGCGAAATATGCAGGGGCTCCATCATGCTGATAGTACATTCGTCTTCTTACGTTTACAGGGACATTATCTAGTAATCCTGGCAACTCATTTATTAAAAAATTAAGGTAGTGTTCCCCTGTGAGGCGATTCTCCATGATAAAAGGGCCAATTAAATACAATCATAGCACACCACACATTTACTGAAAACCTGGGCTGAAAATTGGTTTCGACCATAGCATGGGGATTTTCGTCAGACCATACGTGAAAGTTGTGCGTATTATTAATGCCGTCACGGGTAAATGTTGCTTCATCAGTAAAAAGTATACGCGATACAACTCTACGATTGTTAGTTACCCACCGACAAAATTCCACACGTTTAGCATAATCTTCCGGGTGTAGAAACTGTAGTCTTTGTAAATGGTATGGGTTTATACCCTTGCTCGTGAAGTGTGTGTATTACCCGTTTTTGTGAAATGTCCAATTGAGTAGCGTTTCTTCTGGTGCTGGTTGTTGCATCTTCTTCCACTAGATCCAAAATATTTTCCACTTCTAAAGTTTGTCGATCAGCTTTTTCAGATGTTATTTTAGCACTTGGAAGAGTTCCAGTCTCGAAAAGTTTGTTAAAAACTCGAATAAACACGTTTTTGTCAAATTTGAATAAACTTTTGGCATTTTAAAAAAATTTATACTGGAAAATTACAAAAATACCACTGACGCTGACAGTTAGGCCTTTTAAATGTAAACAATATGTATAACTATGGAAACAAAAACTTTGTTTCCATAGTTTTTCAAAGAACATTAGGTAATAATTTATTTTTTTAAATTTTATTTTTTTTTAAATTTCGCTAAAACTTGAAAACAAATAAGAATCGGATAAGAATAGTTGAGTTGTTTAAACTATAAAACCAAAATTTTGGGTGGGGTAAAGTATCTCATTACAGCACCGAAGGCGGTGTTATAATAAAGTCAATATGAACGCAAAATAGATCAAATTAATTTTAAATAATTTTTTACTAAAAATGCGTCAATTTAAAACATATAAACTGTACTGTTAAGTTTAAGGTCCTAGGCCAATACAATTATCAATATTCGATATAGGTGTCATTTCGTTAAAGGAGATATAACACTAATATTATAATAACATATAGGTTATGGTGGCCCAAAAAAAAAGAATATTTTTTTTTTACTCCTCTCTTATAAAAATATGTTAGTTTATTATGCTGTAAGAGCCCTGTCAAAATATCAGCTCGATTAAAAAAATTTTAGGGGTCGCTCAAGATTTTTTAAAATTTTCAAAATCGTCAAAAATTGAATTTTTGTTTTATTTTAATTTTTTTTCTCGTCTCGATATTATTTTTTTGGTTGAAAATAATAAAAATTCTGTAAATTTCAAATCAATATTTTGATTTCTAAAGGTCGCTAAAAGTTCGTTGATATTTATATTCAGAGGTCGCTCAAAAACATTCAAAATACTCTACTTTGAAAGTTAAACAAATCTTGAGCGACCTTTATAAATCAAAATATCGATTTGAAATTTTCAGAATCATTATTATTTTTAAATTAATAATTAATATCGGAACGAGAAAAAAAATTAAAATAAAAAAAAATCCAATTTTTGACGATTTTGGAAATTTTTAAAAATCTTGAGCGACCCCTAAAATTTTTTTAATGGAGCTGATCTTTTGACATTAAACATTAAAAACCAACATATTTTCACAAGAGACGAGAGAAAAAAAATATTCTAATATAGGTATTATGAAAAATAATGAATACTCCAAAGTCATTGACACTATAAAATGTAATTAGAAATTGTAATTTTTAAGATGCATACCTAGCAGTTCATGCGTTTTTTAATTACTTAATTATTTTATCATAAGCATAATTAATTAATTTTTTTTATTTCGTAATTATTATAAAATATTGTGCATTAATAAACATTTTTCGAAACTTTAATTGCCAGTTCCGTTAAATTCTTAAAATAAAAGTTTCTGAGTAAAAGATCAACAATACATATTTTGTATAATATTTTTTGCTTACCACATACAGCAGTACTGGTTGTCCCTTGACAGTGCAACAGCAAGCGAAAGATCCAATAATTATTATTAAAGATCCAGTACCGATTAGTACGTATGGAGCAGTTCCGCTAAATTCGGTACTCATCTCCATGTATTTGTAAAGTTCTATTTCCATCCATACTCCAATGGCCAAAATAACTATTCCAGAAATCTAAAGAAAAAATGGTTTTTAATACAAAATTTATGTATTGAATGAATACCATTTAAAAGATATTCAAGATGGACGTTTGAAGAATTACAAAAAAAATTTTAAATTAAATTTGTAACTGTATGAATTTAAGGCTCTACAGAAAATGTCTTATGTGTTTAATTGATTACTCTAACCGTTGAGAAGATATTCGTATCCGTACGCATTGATATTCGGATACGAATATCTTCTTAACGGTTAGAGTAATCAATTAAACACATAAAATCTTTTCTGTAGGTTTTTGTAGTTAATTTTGACAGGAAGGAAATATTGGAAAATGTGTTGGATATTTAAAGCAATTTAGTTGAATTTTAGTTTTTTATTTTTGGGTTTTAAAAAAGTGCTTGATAAAAAATGGATAAAATAAAAACCTCAACTACTATTTTTATTGTGCTCATAATTATTTGTTTAGCTGCTTGAAAAGCTTCTGTAAGCAAAAAAAAATAATTTTGTCGTCATACCTCTTCTATCCTTAAAAAAAACAAACTGTAAGGACGGAATGGGGTGGGTATACTGTTTAAAATATCTGTGCTGTAAAGAGTAATCTTAAAATGGTGTCAAAATCCAACACCAAGTGGTGTTAATATAACACCATGAATTATGGTTGAAAATGTTATATACAGCAAACACCAAAACGGTGTTTATCTAAAAATATTTGAGAAGTGCACCTACACAGAAAAAAAGGAATAGTTCATTTAACTAAATTAATTTGGTTGACCCATAAGTATTTATTTTTGTATTTTTTTTATTTTTATCAACTGTGGAAAGGTTAATATAAACAAAGATTAGTCTGACGGTACTAAACCAGATAGTTATTTTTTTTTTAATTGGTTAAATTAACCCAGAAAACTTTAGTGAAACCAACCCGCTGTACACAGTAAAAAAAGATGCTTTCAGTCAAATACTGTAGGTTTAAACCAAAGCATTCATTGTTTTAAATAGCCACAAATAAATTATCTATTAGACTCAAGATAAGTTTATATTTGTAATTTAAATATATCATGATCTTAGAAAAAGTAAATGCGCGCTTTAAATTAAATGCATGTTATGACTTAGTTTAAAACTAATATATTCTTAAATGGAAAAGTTGGGCTTCTTTATGTAAATATATAATGACTTTGTCGTAAGTATTGGATATTTTTTATAGAAAACTACGATATATTTAATTTAAAAATATATTAAATTTGACGCAAAAATAATGTTTTTTGGTTAAAATTTAACATAATATGGTTGATTTAAATGTATAATATTTTTGTTGGAAGAAATTCATGCTTTCATATTAAGGCAACGATGTGTTTAATTTAAATAATTTTTATACTTACTTTAAGGTCAAATTTAGATTTAAAGCAAAAATGTAATATTTTTTAATAAATCCTTTTATATAGGCTTTATTTAAATTAAAATGTTTATTTACACACAAAATGTACATACATAATGTAGTTTAAAATAATGTAACAAGTTAATTTAAGTAAGAATGTACCTTATACACTTACATATATAAATATAGTAATATTATATTAGTTAAAATAAGCATTTTAATAAGTTAATCCTTCTGTTTATTGTTTGGTAATTGTTGTTAAATAGTTGCTCGAAGGACCATAAAACGATGCTTGTGTTTGTTTGATGTTGTTGTATTGTTGATTAAAACCACAATAGTGTATGGTTTTTAAGTAGATATTTATTTACACATAACTTTTAAGTTTAAAAACTAAAACTATTTAAACAAGTGAAATAAAAACTAGATAATTGGCGATCAATTTGGGTAGTCGATACTGCCCATGTGTTTCAATGCTGCTTAATTGAGTAAATGTCGCGATTGTCGTCCTACAGTTCGGGTGGTTTTAACCCCCTCGCTACTAGACATATGATTGGCTTGCCTCTAAAGTGGGAGTGGCAATATAAGCCTGCTTAAATTATACTTAAAACTATACATTTACGTTATAAAGAATTAAAAATTGAAACTTTGCTTTAACACATTCTTTGCAGAATTAATTTAAAAACATTACATTTTTGCCTACAGTCTAGTAGATTAAGTCTACAGTAGATAACAGCTTTAAGTTCCTTTAGCTTGAATATATTACCATGATTTAAATTGTTCAAGAACTCCACTAAGTAGGTATGTTTTATTTTTTAAAATAAAGAAATAATACATTAAATAATTAAAAATCCATATTTATTTAATTATAATTATTTTAGTACAAATAATATAAATTTACAAGAGCATCATGAAACTAATCCTAAAATAACAAAAAATATTAAAAATATTATTCGCATATAAAATGGAACAAAAGATAAACCTTCGTATTTAAAATTAAACAAAAATAAACAATACGGTATCTTATAAAATATAAGATATTATACCGTATTTTAAATATAACATATTACGATATTAATAATAATAATTTTAAAAGCAAAACAATAACAATACACTTATTACTATTATTATTAATAACATATTACCTACCTTTAAAAACAAGGATTAGATCTTCCAAATTACATTGTTCTAATAGTTCTTCCATATTTTTGCACAAACTTTTATAAACTACACCAGAGGAAACACATAAACGAAATGGCGGCTAAAAAGAATACCGGCACCGATACCGAAGCGAAACAGTTTCTGGTAACCCATTGGTTCCATAAGTCACGTGATACTAACATTTCATCAGTTTCTGGTAACCCATTGGTTGCATAAGTCACGTGCTACTAAAATCTCGCGTTAAAATATTTTAAACATACCATATATTTAAAATAAAATTATATTTTTAAATCAATTATACATATTATTTGTTTGAAGAATTAAAATTTTAGTTCAAATCAAAAATATTACTTTGTCTTAAAACTCTTGGTATTTTATTATGAAATAAATCATATACTTAAATCAAAAATAAAATTGTATTAGATTAAATACCTTTATATTCTTAAAATCGAAGAAAAATATTAGTTAAATCAAATATTTCAATATTTAGCTAAAGAAGCTTTTATTTGATAACGAAGATTTTTTATTTCTTGGAAAAAGAAAATTGCAAAGCTTAATTGAAAGATATATTTTTAAACTAAATAATTGATTATTTCACTCAAAAATATATTTCCAATTATAGCAATTTTCTTAAATTAAGAATATTAGTTTTTACTGTGTATGGTTTACTTTACTAAATATGTTGTTTGTAAAATAACAGTTACTTCAACCTAAAGCACTCTGTTAAAACGATTAAAACAATTTGCCGTGCATTCCCGGTTGCATAGTGTGTACCGATCGCGGCAAAGGCGGTGTGGATCACGTGATGTTCTTAAATCTCGCCTCTGTTGACTTACATGAAGAGTATATAAGCTCAGGTAGTCCTTTGCTTTGGTGACACTACAAGTTGTTCGATACTAAAGAGACCTTAAATAGGTGGAAACAGCTGTCATTACTTGTATTTTAAGTGCACTAAAAACATTATCTCTAGCGAGTTGAAGGTTCCATTTTCTGGAATAATACCACTGGTAATTTACTAGTAATGCGTCAAGGAACTTCCTGTTTCCTTTTTTTTTCCTTTTTTCTGTGTAGTATGATTTAATTTGACCATAAACACATAATATTTAACACTGAAAAGGAGTTCAATTTACACCAGGTAAAATTTATTTTAATACTATGTGAAAGTTAAATTAACACTATTTAAGTATTTGAATTTACACCGGACCAACGAACCATATTTAACACCATTTTGGTTTGTATCGATATAGACCATGTATTGTGTTAATTTGGTGTTAAAATGGTCATGAAATTTTGAACAGTGTATTTTGAAAAAAATAAATAAATAAAATTATGAATTTCTGCTAATCAAATTTTTTTTATTGATGCTTACACAGTAAAAAAGTATTTGTTAATTTTAAAAAAATAATAACCAGATTTTATAAATAAAATAAAGTAAATTTAATCTGCTTTAAATATTTTTATAAAACCTTTTAATAAAAATTGTTTATTTGAGAAAATATTGCATGTTATAGTAGTTTACGCCCTTGATGCATACATTACATTAAAATAGGTTTGGCAAAAATCCAATGTGCCTCAGGTTTCCTTTTAAATACCAAACAATGGTAATTTTTATAAACTTCAATTTTGTTCTTTTTTCTATCACACATTCCACATAAGTTTGAGATCAGTAGAGCTACTTAGCTCTACCTACTACTTATCACTTCAAAAACGGCATTTTCCTTATTTTAAATCGTCTCAGTCAATAAACTTTAATTAAAAATGAAATAAGTGGATAATGCTCAACTGTTCTTAATTGAGTTTTTTTTAATTTTATGGTATTAAGTTTATGCATTAATTCAAGAAGATTATAAACATTTAGTTAATATAATGAGACTTATTGTTTATCCATGTAATCTTATTGTTTCTTAATATAAGTAGTAGGTAGTATTTTGACCTAATTTAGAAATAAGTTTAATTATTTATACAGGCCACAAATTATAAATAAACACACCGGCTAGGGGGGCCCCGATTGGCTTCGACATGCGTAAGCAAAAAACATGTTAAAAAAATGAGGCATGAAATTAAATAAATAAATAAATAATATTATTATTTAATTGTTTAAACTTCGATTTATTAAATTAATTAATTAATTTTTCTGAATACCCTCCTGTTCCAACGAGGCCGTGAACTCATACGAATTGTTTCTGCCCGCACCTTTTCGCTATGCGTTGTCTGAGGCGCAGTCTGCGCATATTGTTCTGTGCTCTGCGCCGCATACTGAGTCTGCTTTGCGTATTATTATCATAGGTTACATTAATAGCAATTTAGAAATATTTATTAGCGTTACAATTATTTCAAATGACTTGCCTTTATTTTAAAATAGAAAACTTTTAAAAGATGTTGAAGAACGGTAAATGACTAAAACCAGACCAAATTCTAAAATTTGCCTGTACCTAAAAAGCTATGTTTATATATTATTTAAAAAAATTATAAAAAAATGCTTTTCCCTTATAAGGGCCCCTACCAGATTTTTGATACGGGCCCTCTCGAGGCTAGATACGACACTGAATATAATATTAATTTATACGTAATTTAAATAATATAAGTTTCACTTTAAAGGTTGTATTATATTACCTATCAGCAATTCCACATGAATAGTAATAATAGTTTATTTTGATTTTTTATTGTGGTTTTAAATTTAAGAATTGTAAAAGAAATTGACCAAATAAAAACTTATTTTCTCGTTTCTAATTTATTAAATCACTTTGGCTTACAAATATGGTTTAACAAGATAGTTAACAATCCTCAATCAATACATCTTTTATTAAAGAATGTTGAAAGATTTATAAATAAAATCTTGATAAATTACTTCGTCATAGCTTTCCATATGGTAGGTACTTATAAGATTAGCACAAAAAATTGACTTAATAAAATTAATTTTCTTACCCAAAAGACAAAATTAAAGACCATCAGTAGACTTTTCATGCACGCCATTGCGGCAACAGTTTGTAGATGTTTTCCCATTGTTGTAATATTAATTTTCTAAAAACTTCCTATCGTACGTTATTCACTTGAGTTAAAATTGACGGACACTTTATAGTTGCAATAATTGGACGAGAGATATGTGTGTGTTTTTTCAAAGTCACTTAAGTGGTCAGTGCGAAAATTGCGTTGGTTAGTGGCCAACACATTTAACTATACGAGTATAGTCGGCTAAGGGAGAGCGTTCGCTAGCGAGGTTTACATGCTTTAATAAAATCGATCGTTAGGGAAGATGTGCTGCGCAAAACCAACAATACACCTTTTGAAATATTTAAATTTTATAAAAAAATAATTACTTTAAGTTTGTGTAAAAATGGGGAATGCACAGTAAACAAATATTTGTTAATTTTAACCAAATGTAATTATATAACAAACATTTTATAGGAAGTTGACTAAAAAAGCATGTGTTAATTTTTTTGTTAATAAACAAAAAAATTAACACATACCTACATAAATGAACTTAAAACCATACACACAATTAAATAACATAATTCTAAAATTATCAAATTATAAAGATATTTGGTACAATATAATTTATCAGTACTACTAAAATCAATAAACAGCTGTTTCCCTTTATTGGAACATCAGTACCGAGTTGCTGTATGGTGCGGAACACAAACGAAATTATGATTTCTCGTCCTTATAAAAGTTTTGAAATCATTCACTGCGGTGAGGCGAAAGTAAGTGGTGCCATCTAACGTCTTAAACATATAACATAAAGAACATGTCAAAAGACGGTAGATGGCACCACTTACTTTCGTCTCACCGCAGTAAATGATTCCAAAACCTATATAAGGACGAGGAATCATAATTTCGTTTGTGTTCCGAACCATACAGTTAGTTAAACTTGTTAATGCATATTCTAAATGGGAAATATTTTGATTGACTGCCTGAAATTACGTACTTTTTAACGAAATAATTTGTTAATCATTAACAAAATAATCTGTAACCTTTAAAATTAACAAAATGCTTACAAAATGCATATTACCTTTACAAAACTTTCGGTAAACTAATATTTTAAAAATATTTTCCTTTGTTAAAATAATTACAAACCCTTGTTTTCTACAAAAAATAATGTTAAAATTTTACAAAATAAAATTAACAAACTACAAACTCACGTTAACAAATCTGATTTTTATAACAGTGTACCCTTTTGGTACAGAAAAAGTGCCCAAATATTTTTTCCCACCTTTTAGGAAAAATATAACTTTACGGACAATAACTATTGTCATTGTTAAGGAAAATAACTATTGCCAGGCTTCAGGAAGTTGCCAGGCTCCCTAAAGCTCGCATTTACTTCTATTTTAATAGCCTGTTTACAGTGATATTTTTATAAAAATGTCACTTTACCGTCTAGGTCTAAATATACTATTTCACAATACTATTAATACTATTAATGGCTATTAATAGCTAAACAGTTAATGGTTTTATTGATTATTAATATTATTGAAATGAAATAAAAACAGGTTATTATATTATTAGGTAATTTAAATAATATAAAAAAATTAAAAATACTATTAAACCAGTTTTAGTTATACAATATATATAAATATTAATAGTATAGTAATATTTACAGTTAAATCTGCTTCTTCCTTTAATAATATCTATTTATAACAATTATTTTTAAATAAATAGTGCTAATTAAAAATACCAATTTTAAATCAATTTGTATAAATTATATTTGTGTAGGTAAAGTATACTAATTAAATAAGACCTAAGTATGGCGTCTACCTTATTATAATTTACTGTAACTGATTAATTATGTGTAGACAGACAAGTCTATATAATTATAATTATAAAAAGTGTAAATACGTGTAAAAGTATAACATTTTATTTTTTTAATTATCTATAGGTAATTTATATAATTCTTTATTTGTTTAACATTTTCTACCACTAACTAATAAATTTAAAAATACTATATCTTGCGCGATATAAAATGTTAATTAATTAATGAATTATTACCTTATTATTAATTGTGTTTATTGCAATGCTCTAGCTAAATTATGAATTAATATTTTTTATAATTAAAATATTTACAAACTAAATATTACTAATATGATATTAGGTATATTAAAATAAAAATGCAAACAGAAGAGAAAAGTATATTCAGTAAATTTAAATAAATAAAATAAACACAAGAAAAGCAAAAAAATAACGTAAATATGGCATAGATAAATTTCCTTACAAATTATTTTAAAAATAAGGTTTTTGCTTATCGATGCATCGCAATGTGGCAAAACTTAATGATCTATATTGTATGTAGTTCAGTAAAAACATTAAACTAGTTTAACTGTTTTTAAACAATTACAATACAATTACTAATAACACCAACACCAACAATTAAATTAATGTTAATGGTTCATGCAATAAAACAATAAAAATAGCATTGTTATTTTCGTGATTTAATTTTATTTTGGTTATTTTAAAATTTTCCAATCCTAAAATGATTTATCTAATTTTAATGTCCCATTCTTACGAAAATTATGGTAGCAGTTAATAATTTTTATGAGTAGATTAATATTTTACGAGCAATTAGGTAAACATGTTCATAATATAATAATGAATAATAAATAACAAATTACGTGTTATTGCTTTAATTTTAAAGCATGTACAATATACAGTGTACATATGTTGCCGGACCGAATTAATTTAATGTCTTTTTAAAAACAATTTATTTTATCTCCACGCGGTTTATAATATAAACTTTATTGTTGTCAACATTCGATAAAGAAATACCTTGTTATGGCCTAGGCCGATAAAAAATTTTATGAGGCAAGTAATTAGTTCGATTTTTTCTCGCTAGGGGTATTGTTTTGACAAATTAATCCTATTCTAAGAAATTAACGTACTAAACTGGTTTAATTTATTTATAATAAGCACTAATTTGTTTGTTTTACTGTTAATGTTTAATATTTTTCATTAAATTATTGTAAAATTAAATATGAATAATAAAACAAAAAGTGAGGATAGGCAACCAAGAAAACGCACGATTCTTTTTCTATGATTTAAATTATCTTTAAGTTTTAATTTGCTTTAAGTTTTCAGTGAAATTAAATGTTAAACACAGCTTAAACATTCCAAACTACCTATTTTTTAAATAAAAATCCAAACAAATTGAAATTAGATACCTACCTATTTATTAAACAATTAATTGAATTAAATGTAAAAGCAAAAATCCATTTCTACTTAAATCATGTTGCTAGGTATTGTCAAACTATTACTGCTTCTAAAAGCAATAATAATTATTGTACATTTAATGTAATCTTTAGCTAATAAATAAATAAGATTCTAAAAAAGTGAGGTTAGGCCGCTTTGATGTTGAATTAAATTGACCTATATAAAGTGCTTTGAAGATAAAATGTTGTATGCCATTCGGCCAAGAAGTGCCTTTTTTGTGCTTCGCTCAATTGAGCTTAGCACAAAAAGCCTTACTTCTTAACCTAATGACATAAATAACTATTATAACAAAAACACTTACAAATATTATTAAAGAATAGCACTTAAAAATAAATATAAAAGAATAATTATTTTAATTTTAACATTAAACAATAATAATAATAATAATAATAAACCAATTTATTTAACATCAACAGTCATTGCCTAATTACAGATGAGAATAATATAATAAATAGTAATAAATAATAAAAAACAAAAATAAACATAATAAAAAAAATAATAATGTTTATCTTAAGCTTATTCTGTTATTTTGGCAAGACTATTTAACCTTTGTCTTTGATTTTATTAAACCCTTGGCTTTTGATATTATAAAATTAAGTATATAAAATTTGTAACATATTAAAAAAAATAACGATCTAAAATATTTATTCCAAGTGGTGTAACAGCAATTTATAATAATATGTTTCGGCGCATACAAGGTAAAACTATTGTCATAATGATAATGTTTCTCTTGCCTTTTAAAGCCCTATTGCTAAACAACAATTGCGAGCTAGATAGCGTGGTTCCGGTATGATGGAACCATCTCGGAAATAGCTGCCCATAATGAAGGGATCGATGAAATTACATACATACGTGTGTACAGCCGTAAGCGTTAGCTGCACATTATTTATAAAGATAATTTTGCATCAAGAAACGTTATATTGATTAAGGTTAATTAGTTATTTTTAAAGTGTACGTGTTGATTTAGTTTTTTTAATTAGGCAGTGTAAGGAAATACGCAGGATGATCTCGGTGAGTGAGACATAATTGTACCTACACAATTTCAAAATACAACCTTATTTAACGGTATTCTTAGAAATATGATATAATGTGGTTTAAAAATTATTTCATTTTTAAGTAGGTATGAAAGTGAACAATTTTAAGAATATAATAAAAAAAATATAAGGGTGATTCTACAAAAGTTGGGCAACTTTCGGAGAAAATTAAACAGTATTTTGTTATGAGAACATAGATAATATAATAAATATACTGTTCCAGACCGGGCCAGTCACTTTTTCAAACAGTTTCTGAAATATCTGTGTTTTCTAAATTTGAATGCAAGGGAAGTGACGAGTATAACAGGGTACTAATTAAATACATAATTTATTGGAAAATATAAGATTTATTGCAACTTTGAGCATATTATGCATTAAATATCTTAAAATCGACTAATACCACACATCAGTGGCGGCTGGTGGATTTTGGGTATCCCGATATCTCAATTATTAGATATGGGACCCACACCAAATTTATATGAGTTTATAATGACATTAAATAAACAAGTTCTGCGCAAGCAGAATTTAAATTGAAGTTTTAGAAAAAAAGAACATGGAACTGACGACACGGTACTGATGAATGGGATACAAATTTGAGATTATAATTCGGAATTAAGAATTTTACTGATATTTTTTATTAGTGGATGCTACTTATCAACAAATCACATATAGCCTTATATAAATTACAATGAAATATATAACTACTCACCACAGTACTGAAATTTTGACTGGAACTATACGTGCATTCAGCACAACTTCGCCGCTTGCATTGTTTTCAAAATGACTGTCTTGCAAAGGGCGGGCTCTGTAGGTAATTTTTTACCAACGCTTAAGTTAAAACGAGGACTTGACGTTTAAACTTAAATATTTCGCAGGAATTTTGAATTTTAACATTGGACTCAGAACTGACGGGTAAAAGTGAGTACACTCATTATCAATTTTTAAAAAAATTATAATATACTAAAATATTTACAAAAAATATTAAATAGCTACTCTATATATAGATTGACTGATGACATCAAGTTGTCCAACTTTTGTAGAACCACCCATAACTATTATCTTAGGAAAAATGGAAATGGTAGAACTATAGTATACGGTCTAAAGCAAAAGAATATTAATTTATTTTCTTTTTTGATATAATTTTAACACTGTTAAAAATAAAAAAAAAAACATAAAAATGCATATTTGCGTGACAGCTGAATGAATCACAATAAAATATCGTTTAAACATAACATTTATTTGTACAAATTAGCATAAAATTAAAGTGCGGTGTACCTAGTCGATATATCCTAATAAGATTTTTTTTTGTGTATAAAATAAAAAATTATATTTTATCAAATATTTTTAGGTAATAATACACTATAGTGTGTTAAGTTACTTTACACTCTTTAAAATATCTGTGGTGTAAAGAGTAATCTTAAAATGGTGTCAAAATCCAACACCAAGTGGTGTTAATATAACACCATGAATTATGGTTAAAAATGTTATATACAGCAAACACCAAAACGGTGTTTATCTAAAAATATTTGAGAAGTGCACCTACACAGAAAAAAAGGAATAGTTCATTTAACTATATTAATTTAGTTGACCCATAAGTATTTATTTTTGTATTTTTTTTATTTTTATAACTATGGGAAGGTTAATATAAACAAAGATTAGTCTGGCGGTACTAAACCAGATAGTTATTTTTTTTTTAAATTGGTTAAATTAACCCAGAAAACTTTAGTGAAACCAACCCGCTGTATGGTTCACTTTACTAAATATGTTGTTTGTAAAATAAGAGTTACTTCAACCTGAAGCACTCTGTTAAAACGATTAAAACAATTTGCCGTGCATTCCCGGTTGCATAGTGTGTACCGATCGCGGCAAAGGCGGTGTGGATCACGTGATGTTCTTAAATCTCGCCACTGTTGACTTACATGAAGAATATATAAGCTCAGGTAGTCCTTTGCTTTGGTGTGACACTACAAGTTGTTCGATACTAAAGAGACCTTAAACAGGTGGAAACAGCTGTCAATACTTGAAGTATTTTAAGTTAGTGAAACGCACTAGAAACATTATCTCTAGCGAGTTGAAGGTTCCATTTTCTGGAATAATACCACTGGTAATATACTAGTAATGCGTCAAGGAACTTCCTGTTTCCTTTTTTTTCCTTTTTTCTGTGTAGTATGATTTAATTTGACCACAAACACATAATATTTAACACTGAAAAGGAGTTCAATTTACACCAGGTAAAATTTATTTTAATACTGTGTGAAAGTTAAATTAACACCATTTTAGTATTTGAATTTACACCGGACCAACGAACCATATTTAACACCATTTTGGTTTGTATCGAATCGATACTATCGATATAGACCATGTATGGTGTTAATTTGGTGTTAAAATGGTCATGAAATTTTGAACAGTGTATGCTAAAATGCATTAAATTGGGAAAAAGAAAGGTTAACACCGTTTGACAGATGTAAAAACTTAATTAAGTTTTTACATCTGTCAAACGGTGTTAACCTTTCTTTAATTAATTAAACCCGTCTGATAGATCAGATTGGTATAAAGTAACGATACCTACCTCATATATGCTAATAATAATATAATATATATAATATAATAATATAAGCTAATAAAGCTTACTGTAATATATTATGTTATGTTTTAAACATCCCATAAAGGCAGATATTATTTACAATCCTAAAGCATAAAGACATTAGCAAAGTGTTGACAAAAACACAATAAAAGCAAATACAAACATTCTCATAGAAATGACTGCCGCAAACAACAAAAGGAAAAAGAATAGGCATACCATAAAAAAGAGAAAAATATTCCATAACGGAATAGAATTACAGGAAGTGCGCGACTCAGGTGGGGGCCTTTGGATGGTAGAGATTGCGATGAAGAAACTTCAGTGAAAAGCCGGTTACTGCTCTTGGTGGTACTTGCAAGGTATCAGTACCGAGTTTTTTTACATCGCGTAAGATTTAAATAAAACTGTGGTCGACAGCGATTTTGGAGGTGATAGTGCATGAAATGGTTTTAAATTTTTGTGGTTAATCTTTTGGTTTTGTGATCTTCAATATTTTTGCAAAATGCAAGTTTTGGAGCTGCACTTGGCGGATTATGTACGTTTTAAATTTTATTTGACAACATAATTATGTTAAAACAATCCTAAATATACCCTATTTATTTCAATTATCTTTCTAAAATTGAATTAGTCAAAAATGACTAATTTATTAGTTATTATAATATTAAATGGAAAATTAACTATATCTCAAAAACTGTTCTATTTTTTTTTAAGTTTTGACGACATTTTCGGATTCAGAGGACAATTTTACATAAGAATTGTCTGTTAAATTTTGGGATACCATGGTTAACCATAGTACAAGTGGCCACTAATAACTATTAAATTAGTCATTTTTAACTAATTCATTTTTAGAGAAATAATTAAGAATATTTTACATTAAATGAATAGCAAAGTTATTTTTTTTAAAGACTAATACACAAATTTATAAAAACAAAACACTGTTTTTTTAAGTTTCTTGTTATTATTTTAATTTTAACACAGTAGCTTTTACAAAAAAGATTTTTTCAAAATTGAATTTCTTTTATATTATTTTTGAAAACGCGACGTGAAACTTAAAAAACAGTGATTTGTTTTAACACATTTATATATTAATGTATACATTAGTGACATGGAGTTTTATCAAGTAAAGGTCGAAACAATAAAATATAAAAAATGGCTAATTCACAATTATTTATATATATGGGTGAATATATTGAGATGTCCCCCAAGTGAAAATGATTATATTTTATTTTTGGTTGTTTCACTGAATTTATGATTTTAAGAAATCATACAGTTGGAATATTAGAGCTTCACGGAGGTTAGGATTTAGTATGTTTTTTTTAAACATCCCTTTGTATATTTGAAATAAGTTGTTGTATCTTTTGACACCTTAATATTTTTTAAAAATACAATTGTACATACATACATATTTATAAAAAAAAATCTACTTACTGAGATATTACACTTCACGGTGGATAGGTTTTTAAATAGCAAATTAATAAACTTAAACTTTTGAATTATAAAACAGCAACACTCTCATCTGCATATAAATTCTAACTGAGCTTCAGGAATCACATGCATCTATAATGTCGTAAACAGAGGTTTTTGCTTATTTAAAATGATTAAAGCGCCATCCTTTGTAGAAAATTTAAAGCAAAAACAGATTTACGGAGGATAGAATCAATTTTTGGAACACCTACATAAATGGTTATAAAAATTATTTTTTAAAATTTTTAATAATATTTTATATTTGATTCGATTGCTTTGGATGTGTTTAATTTACTTAGTGAACTGATATTGTAGTATGCTTTTACTACCTCAGATATTTGAAAACATATAGGTTAACCTAGACAGAGTAACAGTCACGGAGGATAGGTTTTAGACTTTTAAATCATTGTAAAAAATAATTAATTGTGGTTAAAAATCTGGAACCTGAGCTGTAATATCTACTTGATTATGAAAGATCAAAACACAATAAAAGTGTAGGTCGAACTCATTTAATTTTATTAAATATCACGGGGTAACACCATCAGGGGACATTTCGTGAGATTCACCCATATATAATATATAGAGAACTAAAAAAAACAAACTTACTGCCACTTTCGGTTCAACCGGTAGTTATAAATAATATAGAAAAATAGATCACATTGCGCTATAGCAGCAACCAAAAATGCACTTAATAACACATAATACATATTTTTAAACTCGGGTAAAAGTAAAAAAGAGAAATTATATGTAAAATGTTATTCTTGTTCTTACATTCTTAATACATTTTCTTGGCAAGTCAAACTCGTTTTATTAATTAAAAAGTACATGTTTATTACAAGGTATGTAGTACAGTACTACTGACTCAATGTTATAAATATTAAACACTTTTGTAAATGAAATCTACATTTTTCATACAATCGGTATCTTTACGCGAATTACAATTTTAATTTTGTTATTAAAATCTAAAGTTCAATAATTATTCTTAAACCTAAGATATTGTTATAGTCAAAAACATTTGGAGAGCCAACATGTTGGAGTCAATTTTTAAAGTATAATTTTTTTATGAAAACAAATTAAATGCACAGTATTTTATTTTAATATCAAATACCTAATATTCGTTCAGTTTTACCTAAGCAAATTAATTTTTAGCGCATATAAAATCCCTCCAAAAATAATATTTATGCTCGTTAAGTAAAAAATTATTCAGGACTACCAGACTAGACTAGACTAGATAACTAACTAAAAATTATAAACCTAATTGGTCTATTAAAATATAAGTATATTTACTTTAATTTTAATTAATAATAATAAAATAATGATCAATTACCCTAATTATTTAATTACTTTGGGTAATTTTTAATGCCAATTAAAATAAAGTAAACTTATTTTATACATGGTACAAATAACATTCGTGGCAAATTGCTTACTTAATGATTTATAAATTCGGAGTAATTTTTTAATGATACGGAAGCATTTTTAATAAAATTACTTTACCGGCTGTAATTAAATTTGCACACGGTATTTTTAATAGCTTTAACTGTAAATAACTTCATTTAAATTATTAATATTATTTTATTTTTTAAATTATACTTGTCCAAATAAATACAATTAGAAGAACAATTATTTAATTTAACTTTTTAACTAATTATTAGCAAAACAAATATCGTAAATTATTTCGAAATCGATTATTATTTTTATGACGGGTATTAAGTTTTTATTAATTGTCAATAGACAATTAATAATCAGTTACTAAAATTCCTTTTGCTTGGTCGATTTGAGATGGAATGACCCATATACAAAAATAAGATCTTATTTAAATAAAAATTGAACAACAAAAAACAAATAAAAAACTAACAAATTATTAATTCGAACGACTAACGATTTTAATTTATTGTCATATTAAAGTGGCTATGATTTAAATAAAAAAAGTGTCAAATTAATATTGTGGAGTTGTTTTATAATGGTTTCTAATTTACCATGTTAAAAATGGCCCGTGGTAAGGCAGCTTCTAAGGAAACTCGAAAAATTGTAATAAAACAGTACCATTATATTTTAAATTTAAATAATACTTCTAGAATGAGTAAATATTTCTGAAAATTGGTATCGTCCGAAAATTAAGTTGTTAATCAATATTATTTAAATAATAAAAAATAAATATTACAAATCATTTTTTCTCCATGTTTGCTTTTAACAGCTCTTGTCTCGTTAAATTATTTAGATTTTCAAGACCAGAGTTTCGATTAAGTTAACTTTTTTGTTTTGTGCATTTTTTAATAAAAAAATATGGTCATTAATAAATAAATATTAAAAAAATCAAAAGTACTAAACAGGTATTATATTTACCATTTTAGACAAGCATTTAAGCATTTTAGGCAAGGTTTAGGTATTTTAGGCATTTTTTTAAGTCAAAAATGTCAAAAAGCAAAATTGATGTTGGGTTAAAATTGCACAAAAAAATGTCCAAAACACATTTTGAAAATTTGACAGTAGGAATTTTGCGTACAATCCAGGCTTTAATAACAATAATTTATAAAGGTCGCTTAAAATGATTAGAAAAATGGTTTAAAAATAATAAGCGACCTAAATATTTATTTTATATAAAATATTAATAATAATTATTATTATAAAATATTAATATATATTAATATTTTGACTTTAAATTTTAGTATGCGACCTACATAAACAAGTTTAAACTAGTGGAAAATCAAAGATTAAAAAAAAATGGTCTTAGTTGGTTTTCAGAATTCTTGAGCGACCTCTAAGAATTTTTTGTTTCAGTTGAGGATTCTTCAAATTATAAAAAAAATTTCATGTGAACTCAAAACAAAATCAAAAAAAATTTCCCATCCTATTATCGTAATTTCTCATAATTTTATTTTTAAACAAGTTTTAAAATAATATTAACAATTGTTTTTATTTAAATGTTCTATTTACTCACCTCGTCAAAGTTTTTTGTTTTGAGTGCGTTCCACCAACTTCAAATACCGACAGACAGCTGTTTCGACCTATATTAGGTCTCATCAGTGTCGGGCAACTTGGTGTAGTGAAACACACCCAAAACAAAGGACTACTTCTGCTTATATACTGCGCTGACAAGTCAACAGAGGCGAGATGTAAGAACATCACGTGATCCACACATCCTAACGATGTTTAATTCTTTCTTATAAATATTAACAGTAATGGGTCAAGAGAGTTTCTAGAAGAAACTAAAAGAATTGAATGTTTATATTTACTATAGTATACTTTTAGTTATTTTGTATAGCATTCTGTAAAAAAATATAGCAAACTTATTAAAAGTAAATTCATCTTAACTTTACTAAAACCAAGTCTAGGAAACGATTTTAAATAAGTTGCCTTAAAACTAAACTGCGGAATGTGTCGCAAAACGACATAACTTTTTTGTTTTTTAAACGATTTTATTTTGGTCTGTAGGTAATGTCTGCTAGCCTCATCCTCTGGCAATGGGGTAGTTAAATTTTTTCTGACCTATACTTTTTATGGTTTTATTCAAGGCGTTTTGTAATTTTAAACATTTCTGTGAAATCGGAATTTCAATTGAGTTTACCGTTTTCGAGATATTTACAAAACAAAATCTCCTAATTACGTCACTAGGCTATTGACAACGTTGCCAGCTTTTTCTATGCTTGCCAGTGTGTTTAGTTTAAGATTCTTACGATAGATGGCGCCACGTTATAATATTCTAGTTGAGAAGAAGAAGAAGAATTGATTTTTTGACGTTTCTTTTTTTCGGGTTGTTTTTTTTTAAATTTAGATTATTGAAAATCAATGTTACTGTTATGTTATTTGTAATTGATATTAGATAAGTGATTTATTAATAACGGACTCCAAAGCAGAGGAATCTTGTGGAATGGTTGGTTACATTGAACATTGGAGCTTTTAAACAAATAAAGTAAGTACCTATAATTATAATCATATTTTGTCGTAAATGCATTTCATTAGTATAATGCCTAGTTCTTTATATTCTTTTAGATATATTATTATTTTTTGTAAATTTATTTCATTCATTTTCAGCTTTATTTTGCCACTTTTTTCTATGAAATATATTAAACTCTGCTTTAGACAGTTATTAGGTACCTATTTATTACATTTTATTAGGTTTCACACGGTGTTTCAATGTGTAAACCTATCAATAAAACTTTTAATTTCAGAATTTTCTTTAACCTCCTCTTCTTCTTCTTTCACTCAACTGACAGTGACAGTATTTGTACATAACCTCTTCGGGTATTTTCTGACATAACCGAATGAAATCATTAACAAAACAACTTGACAACAGGGTAATTTTCAACCAATAGAAATCTTAGAATGTTGGTCACATGGCGGGGTTTGTGACGTCATAAAAATTTATATTTTTTGTAAATATCTCGAAAACGGTAAACTCAATTGAAATTCTGATTTCACAGAAATGTTTAATATTACAAAACGCCTTGAATAAAACCATAAAAAGTATAGGTCAGAAAAAATTTAACTACCCCATTCATACTATAGATCTGAAGCTCACGGTTCTTCAAGTAAATTTCCTACAGTTTTATATGTTAAACGGTAAAAAATTTCAATAACTTCATCCAAGCCCCGTTTGTAAAAAAATAATTTTTTTATCGTTTTTACTTTAAAATAATAAAGTATTATGTCTTACCTTGAGAAGATTTCAAATTTTTCGAATTTAAATCTTAGCAACGAAAATATAATTTTTTTCCAAAAGAGTACATTTAAGGGTTTTTGGCAATATCTACACTCAGTCATTTAAGAACAAGAAGATAAAATGGTGAAAGATTGTTCATTGAATAATTTTGAACAAACGACAAGCAACAAACTTAATATTATCTGAAAATTAAATTTGACAACTGAATCACAATCAGGAGGTCAAAATTATAAAGAAAACATGTCACGAACGTAAATATCGGTTGCTTGTCGCTTGTTTAGAATTATTTAAGGAACATTCTCTCACCGTCTTATCTTCTTGTTCCTAAAAAGGCTGAGTGTATTGCCTATAAAAAAGCCTTAAATGTAGGTACTCTTTTGGAAAAAAAATCATATTTTCGTTGCTAAGATTCCAATTCGAAAAATTTGACAAACGTTTCAAGGTAAGACATAATACTTCATTATTTCAAAGTAAAAACGAGAAAAAAATATTTTTGTTACAAACGGGGCTTGGATGAAGTTATTGAAATTTTTCACCGTTTAACATATCACCCTGTAGGAAATTTACTTGAAGAACCGTGAGCTTCAAATCTATAGCATGAATTGCCAGAGGATGAGGCTAGCAGACAACACAGGCCAAAATAAAATAGTTCAAGAAACAAAAAAGTTATGTCGTTTTGAAAAAGAACGAACTTTTTGGTCGCGACACATTGAGTCATACAATTCTATAGCGTAATTAATTCTTAAGATGTCTAAATAATAGCAATGTCTCTTTTAAAATAACATTTATTTATTAATGTATTCAAATATTTTTTATTATTTCTTTACAGGATGAGTCGTACAAAAATGGAACGAACGCAGTTTTGGATATCGCTTTTAGGAAAGTTAACAAAAATTTTACCGCATTTCAAATATGGAGAGTAGAGGTATGTGATATTTCTTGATAATATATTTACATTATATAAGTAGTACATACATCTTGTGATCTATAGTCGCACACAATATTTTATTCAACTACCGCAAGGAATTTAATTTAATTTGATATATAATCTGACATCTGACAACTGTCAAACATTTGTAGCCTTACTTTTTCCAATTTTAACTTAAAGTCAACTTTATTCTGTGGGCAATATGCTATTTCGCCCACGGGTTAATTAAAACATAAAAATCAGGAAGTACATGTATATTAGGGTGTCCGTTATTTACAAACTTGTTTTTTTGTTCGCAGCGCCCCCTATTTTTAGTTTATGACCTAATTAAAAAATATAAAAAAAATTATTTTAAAGTTATTTAAGGTTAAAATTGAACTTATAGTAATTTTTTCGATTTTTTTACTTGTGACTGCAAAATCATTATTTTTATGAAAATAAATTGTTAATTTTTAAAAATATGTGATTTTATTGTATTATTGAAAAAGTAAAAATTATTAAAAAGAGATAAGTGAAAATTATTGACAAGAGATTCCGATAAATTAAAAATTTTTTATTACATTAAAAGAATCTGGTACTATAGTTTTACTCAAAGTTAGTACGATTACTTTTTTTACATTATATTTTTATTTCTGTGAAATTTTACAAAATTTTATACAATGCAAAATTTCAGCTATGGCAAATGACGTAGAAATTCTTTTAACAATTATTTTTACGAAAAAATTAAATTTGTAGTTATGCATGCGCACTAAAGTATGATTTAGTACTTTGACCACAGAAGGCAGAAGTCGCACTTCACAGATTTCGTGTCGCAAAGTTGAAGTTTGAAGTAGATCAATCACCCATCGTCTGTGGCATTTTTTATATAATAGTATAGGTATTATGTATCAAGTTTTATAAACGCGATTTTAGTTTAGTTTTATTAGGCATGAGCAAAGCTTATTAAAAACGAGTGTCTAGATAGGTTTATAAAACGAGTTGCATACTAAGTATATCTACTTTATCTACGACGAACACAAAAAAGAATTTAAAGTCAATTATATTTGTTGACATCTGTCAAATGTCAACGGAATTAACCTCACTTTTCTCTAATATATAATAAAGCTAATTTCAGCCCGTGACTAAAATGCCCAAAAGCCACTACTTATTGCCAACTTCAGCCCGTGACTAAAGCGCCATAAAGTCACAGCTCGTCAATGTAAAAGTAGATAATAGTATATTATGTATCAAGTTTGATAAACGCCATTTTATACACGAATTTAATTTGCACGATCGAGCTTGCGAGCGAGTGCTTAAGTTAATGAGTGTATAGAAAAGTTTATAAACGAGGTGCATACTATACTTTTTCTACGACAAATACTTATTATTATCTTAAAATGATTTAAATCAAAAATTTGTATAGAGCGCCATCTATGAAACAACAGGGGAAACTGTCAAATGTCACATTTTTACATTTTATAAACACAATTATAAAGGTTATAAATCGAAATGTATTTCTTGAAAATTGACAGTTTTTCACAGTGAAAGTAAAGAAAATGTTTTTTGAGCACTTTACAGTGGAGTCCGTGCCCGAATTTAAGTTATAGTTTACTGCCGGCGAAATTAAAAGGTCAGTACAATGTTCATATAAACTTTTCAAATATTGGCGTTGAGAAACTATTTAATACTTTTGTATTTTTGTATTGAGATAATAAAATAATTTTCACATTTAGTATTATTTTACAAGAAAGGCACTTTATTTTAACGATTGTATGACTTTTGACAACTGTCAACTAACTTAAAACTAACTTCAGCCCGTGACTAAAAACCTGTTGCTAACTTCAGCCCGTGACTAAAGCGCCATAAAGCCACAACTTGTCAATGTGTGTTTAAAAGGTAACTTAGTGTCATGGAAACATGTACGATAAAGGGCGTTTTAAAGGTGGGAGTAGAAAAAATAAATTAGGTTTATTAACTTAAAATTATAGAGCTATACAAATCAGAGTGTTAAACACATAAGATATTTGGTTATCACTGCAAAGCCTATTTATTTATGAATAAAATTATTTTTAGGCATCCTTAATGCATATTAGTAAATATTTAAACAATAAACCTACCTACCTACATGTAAATGCGACGCTAAATTTAAAAAAGTGGTATATCAATAACAACTCACTTACCTTCAATTTTTTTTTTAATTTCCTTCGATGCTGACCACTCTTCTAATAATTTTTTAATGAAATACGCCCTTCCTCACAAAGAGAAAGAACACTGAATGATTAGGCATAACATTTCAGAGGAACGTGTCGGCATCTCCACTCCTACACGATTTCAAAAATATGTATTCTTGGCAAAAGAAAATACTGTTAAAACAAATAAAAAAATAAGAATATCTTATTCTTGATATAAAAAAATATTAACAATTGTACCAAGAAACCAACTAAGATTTCCTTCAAGAATATTTAATATTTGGATTGAAACATGCAACTTTATTAGAATATTTCCAAAACTACAAAATTCTTTCTTAAAGAAGTTAAATATTTTTAGTTGAAATATATATTCTTATTTTAAAGCAAGTTGACTTGAATTAAAAAAAATATTTTCAAGATGATAGGTATTCTATAATATATATACATATTATATAAGAATTCTTTTTTTTTTTCAGTGTAGATTTATGTTAAATCCATTTGCTCAAAAATTGCATGCAACGTTGGTTTAAATACTGAAAAATTGTTGTTGTAACTTTTTTTTTATTTTAGAATATGTCGATTGTTGCCCTACCAAAAGATCAATATGGAATATTTTATGATACTGATTCTTACATTATATACGCATCCTCACTATGCGATCAACCAGCAAGCATAGATACCGTGGTAAGTTAAAAAAATTAAACATCTTAATGATTTTCATAAATCATTAGAGGAAATTGGCCTGATTTTCAATAGTTTTCTTATACATGGGTACCAACGGTATACCACGTTATAGAGGGGGTTATTTTAAGTAAAACAAAATAAAATATAAACACAATTTTTTGAATACAATCGCATTATTAGTTATTAAGATATTAGGGTGGATTTATGAAAATTTGTTTTATTTATTACCTAACAAGTATTTTAAGCATACCTACATGTGTAAAAAGTATTAATTTTTGTTACAATTATTTATTAAAACAATTATAAAACGCCGTCGTAACATAACTACAATTGGGTCAGTTAAATTGTTAAAATACGGTATTATTTTAATAAAAACATTTTCTAGTCATCGTTATAAAGTGTTAGTAAACTAAAATTCCCTTTATGCTCCTTCAACTGTAGCGTAACTTGTTTGTAAAAAATATCGTAGCGTAACAAATTGCAATTTACTGCTAAGCTACGTTATCCGTAATAATTTTTTTGCTTTATATTTAATGAAAATATTGATTGTTATCTAGCACTTCATTAAAAATTAATATTAATTAAACCGTATGTATTAAATTAAATGCTTTGATACAGGGTACTATATTATAATAGAATGTGAAAAAAATATTTAAAAAAATTCCATATTTCCATAAAATCTTGTATAAATATAATTTTGTATTCTAGCCCAAAGAAATCAAGGGTGCTACTTTAGAATATCACATTCACTTTTGGTTGGGAGCAAATACGAACCCAGAAAAATCCGGGGTGGCTGCTTATAAATCGGTGGAGTTGGATGCCTTTTTAAATTCACAAACAATCCAGCATAGAGAAACACAAGGAAATGAAAGTTCCAGATTCTTGAGCTATTTTAAAAACGGATTTAAGTAAGTTACTTAGTGGAAATTGTTTTAATCTTATCCTAAGATGATATTTATGTTCTAAAATGCGGATCTACTTTCTAGCATAAAATTATGTATTTGCCATTCATTTTGCAAATAGACTAAGCAACAAAAATAATGCACCTCCTCAAAATTTTGCCACACTTTGATGATATGAACTTTGTTCGTTAAGTTTTATTCAAAATATTTTTTCAATTTTAATATCTTATGTAGTTTTTTAAAGAATTAGCTTTAAACTCTAATAGTGCTCATGTAGCTGGTCGATATCAATATTATTAAAATTCCATAATCGTTTGGAGTTGGATTAAACAGTTCAAATAGTAAAACAGTTGGTGCAAAATTGAGGGTACACTGAAAAAAAATATTCTTGTATCAAATAAATTTATTTGATTCAAAATTCAAAACAATCAAACTTTGATTGTTTAAAAGCAAGAATATATAATTTTTGAAATAAGGCAGCAATATTTAGTTAATTCAAGAGAATGTATTTTCTTTAACCAAATAATTAGTTGTTTTTCTTAAAACAAAAACATTTGATAATGAAATAAGACAATAATTTTCTTAAATCAAGATGTTTTCCGTAACCCAATATTTTTTTTTATTAATAGATACAAGATTTAAAACAATGCAAGAAGTATCGTTAAAAATAAAATGTATCTTAATTTTAAGCTACTTTTAGCAATGTTTCAAAAAATCTATCATTTTGTATTTAAAATCAATACAATTTTAAATAATGATACGTCTATTAACCAAAAATTATTTATTTTAATCTTTATATTTAGGAATATTACTGCAAAAGAAACAAAATTTAAAATTCTAAACACTTGAAGGGGACTGGAGTAATTTTAAATATCCTGTAATTTTTTCAGTATTGTTGTCTAAACTTAAACAAAACTTTATATTTAAATACTTACGGATTATTCAAAATTGAGCCAAACTTACTGAAGGGCCAAAGTATCCGTTGTATCGTTTCTAGGTACTGCAGTAAGCAAAAAAATTTAAGTTAGAAAATAAAAAAACAAACGTTGGACAAACACATTTATTTTGTTTTTAATACAAGAAAAATCTAAAATGTATACATTATTATAAATTAACGTAGGGAACTTAATCATTATTATCGACATATTTTTTATTTTAAATAATTTGTAATATTTTAGGCATAGTAGAAAAGCAATTACCAATTTTATAAAATAATTTAGGGCTATTGCCAATGAACTCCACCCTATATGAATCAAAATTAATGTTATACCCCAAAGTATATAACAAAATTACTTCTAAAACAAAATCTTTTTAAATGTCATAAAATAAATTAGGTTTATTAACTTAAAATTATAAAGCCATACAAATAAGATATTTTGGTTATTACTGCAAAGCCTATTTATTTATGAATAAAATAATTTTAAGGCATCCTTAAATCATATTAGTAAATATTTAAATAATAAACCTACACGTAAATGCGACGCTAAATTTAAAAAAGGGTGGTATATCAATAACAACTTACTTCCCTTACTTTTTTTTATAATATCCTTCGATGCTGCCACTTTTCTAATAATTTTTAAATGAAATACGCCCTCTCCCTCACAAAGAGAAAGAAACACTGCATGATTAGGCATAAAATTTCAGAGGAACGTGTCGGCTTCTCCACTCCTACACGATTTCAAAAGTATGTATTCTTGGCAAAAGAAAATACTGTTTATTAAAAAATATTACGAACTAAGATTTCCTTCAAGAATATTTAATATTTGGATTGAAACATGCAACTTTTTAAAACAAGAAATGTTACTTAATATTAGAATATTTCCAAAACTACAAAATTCTTTTTTAAATAAGTAAATATTTTTAGTTTAAATATATTATTATTATTTTAAAGCAAGTTGACTTGAATTAAAAAAATATTTTCAAGATATAAGAAATCTTTTCTTTCAGTGTAGGTCAGTCAAGACAAATGTCCTATTTTCCCTGTAAGAATTGTATTCTAAAATATTCGTATTGGGTATAGTAAAAATATCAGAAACAAAGATTAGGTATGTGGCCAAGAAAAAAAGGTAAATTTTGCAAAAAAAGAACGGGTAGAGAAGTGAGTAAATAAATAAGTTAATGCTGGGTGCACATGTTAGAAAGTCCAAATTTTATTGTCGTCAAAATTTTACTGTTTCCTGAAGTTCCCCCAGTTGTAAAACATCCTGTATTATTTAATTGCCTAATATAAAATATTGGCCAATTAATTCTTAACCCGTTAACCATAAAATTATTTGAGTGCCATTAAGAAGATATAAATAAAATAATAACACCTTTTGTTTGTAGAGTACTTAAGTCGGAATTAATATTAAACGGTAACAAATCTCAACCAAAACTGTATAAAGTAAATGGTAAAAGAACACCCGTTTTGACCGAAATAAATAATGTTTCGTGGGAGCATTTTAATAGTTCTGAAGTGTTTATTTTAAAAACAGAAAAATGTCTTTTTGTATGGATCGGACGAGCTGCAGCTTCCATAGAAAAGATGCACGCAACAAAAGTAAAAATACTAACAACCTTAAAGTGTTTGGTGTTTATTTAATACATATATATTTTAGATTTGTTTGGAAATGAAGGAGAGTCTAAAAATATCAAACATCGTGTTTGTGGATGATGGTTATGAGAAAACTATGGATGATAGTTATAAAAACGAGATTAACAAATATTTACCATTGGATAAAAGGCATATTTTGCCTGAAAGTTCCATGGAAGAAGCTACTACTTTAAGCGGTAGAAACAATATAAGGCTTTACAAATGTTCAGAGAACAATGGAAAATATAGGGTTACAGAGTTAAGAAGCGGACCATTTTTACAAGGAGACTTGAACCCAGATGTGAGCGAAATAAAATATACTTTATAAATCATTATATATATTATATGAATATTATACAAGTTAATTTTCGGCTGTTCTTTCACTATGATAGTTTTAGAAACTTTTTTTCCTAACATTAACTACTCCATCTTAGTTTAACTAATATTGGGCCGCTGATTTCAAAAATGTAATTAGTTTTTCTCTAGGACGTCTAGGGTTTAAAATAATTTCGTGATAAAATGCTCTGCTCAATCACCTCAAAATGTAAGTTTTTTGTTGGTATTTTAATTATTTATTAAATTATTTTTGCTTAAATTTATCTTGAATGTACTAAAGTAATTTGTATACGGCAAATAGATCATATTTATCTTAACAATATGACATTTTAAATACTAAAACTAAAATTTTAATGTATTTTATTTGACTATTTCCCTCGTCTTAATTTCCACCAATCACAAACGCGTAATTTTGAATTACAAATGGTTTCTAGGTGAAAAAACTGTGTGACAGCACCTGTCAGCAGTTTTTTCGAGTTTACCCGCGGCAAAACTTGACAGCTGTTGTCAACAAAAATTGCAATTTATATTTTAATTGTTAACTGTTACTCATGAAATAGTCTTGTCAAATACCATTCGGGCATGTAATTTTTCCTGTGAAAAAAATCGAAAAAACACAATGCTAAGTAATATTTTTTAACAAGAAGCATTCGTGCAGGTGCAAAAATCCTCCTCTTCGACTCGGATTTTTGTTGCCACCAGCACTCATGCTTTTTGTTAAAATATCACTTAGCAACGTGTTTTTTCGATTCTTTTCGGAAAAATTAAATGCCCTTATGATATTACTTACGAAAAAACAACAATTATTTGACATTTTTTGTCGTTTATTTTAATTATTAAATTGAAAGGGCAACAAAGTAAACAAGTTTCAGTATATTAAGCCTCAAGCCCTCAAAATTTAATGCATTGCATAATTTTGCTTTTTTCTACCTTAAATTTATTAAATCGTATCAAATATCAAATTGGATTATAGTATTATTGTGCTTAATCCTCATCATAGTCGTACATCTTTTGCTGCAAATTCCAGCAAATGTCTCCTAGCAATGAATCCAACTTAAAGAATTCTTTCCGCTATACTCATAGATATCTACCAATGCTCTAGATTTGCAGTTACTTGATGAAATCGGTCTCCATGTTCATCAGTTCGGCAAATTTATCATTATGAAATATTTTAAATTACATATTAACGCTAATTCTTTGCAAAACGGAAAGCATTTTTTTAATGAATTAATTAAATTGGCGCCAATTTTAGGCCCGATATGAACCAAGAACATTTTCAATGACAGCTTTAACACTGCCATATGCGACAAGCTCGTCAACTTTGAGAGCATTTTTGAATGCTTGATCTTTCATTGAACGTCGTAGATCAGGTCCATTTAATTTTCCTGCAAAATTAAAGTGGTACCTAGATATATCTCATACAATTTTGTAATGAAATATTGGGTTGGTTTTTCTTGGGCGTAAAGGTACCGCAACAAAAAAACAAAACAAATTTACAACGACGACATAAATTTTTGTCTCCTTTCTCTTTCTCTGCCACTTCCATTTCCTGCTCTTTTTTCATTTTTGGTTCTTAAAATCATTTTCAAGTAAAAATACAATTTAAAGTTTAAATTTTAAATGTTAGTAATTAATAGATGCACTTTAGTGTGCTTGAACAATAAAGTAGATAAAAGGGCCTTTATACTTCAATTCGATATTAAATTTTGATAAGACTTAATAAATAAGATTCGAGATTAAGTTTTTGGGAACTTTAGGCATGATGTGAATAAAAACATATCAAATAATAGACGAAGAGTAATGTTTATACCGAAACCCATTTACTTTGTTGCCTTTTCAATATTTAATTAATTTAAAAAAACGACACAAAAATTTAAAAAAATGATAATTTTTAACAAAAAAAACATTATAATTTTAGTTTTGGTATTTAATAAAGCACTTCTCTGCAGAAAAGTGTTTTATAAAATATCCCTTATAATACTACTATAGCATTGAGTAAGATGTTACTCAATGACTATAGTATAGGTACTGCTACAATGGAACAAACAAAATTTCTATTTGACATTTATCTACCGATGACTTTGTATGGAGTTTAAGGCAAAATAATTTAATAAATAATCAAAATATTAACAAAAACTTTACATTTTGAGATAATTGGGCAGAGCATTTTATTACGCAATTATTTCGAATCCTAGACGTCCTGGAGCAAAACGAGTGGCATTTCTGAAATCAGCTGCCCAATATTAGGTAATATAGGTGGGCGTACTCAATGTTAGTAATTCGAACTCTCATAGTGTTATTATTTATTGCAATTAATTTTTTCAAAAAAATCAAAACCAGCTTATACAGTACACAAATTGACAGCTGACAACAGACCATAGATAACAAAGCCAGACAACCAAGACAGCTATTAATTTGCATACACTTTCAGACATGTTTGCCAATATAACAAAAAAATTAACATTACCCAAGAAAAACTAATATACTCTAAACACAATCAGATGATTTACCCATTGTATGGAATAAATAACTGTTCAATATCAACTTAATCTGTCCAAATGAAAAAACAATATAAATTATTTTTATTCAAGGGTTAATTTTTATTTGTGATAGGATGTTTATATTGTCGACCAAGAGTCTTATGGTATCTGGGTATGGGTCGGTAAAAGAGCCAACGATAAAGAAAGGTCCGAAGCTTTAAGAAACGCCAGAGGATTTGTAAAAAAGAAAAAATACCCCAGCTATACCAAAGTAACCAGAGTTCTCGATGGACACGAGCCCATGGAATTCAAAATGCTGTTTCCATTTTGGAAGAGCGAATCACCAATAAAAGGTAGGTACTAAAATTTAGCGTTATTGCATTTTATTATGAAATACAGTAAGCTTATTAATGAACTTAAATATTAATGTTATGTATATTTAAGTTAACGGTCAAATTAAGTAATAACAATATAAGAGAGCATGATGCCACGGGTAATATTTTTATTTTATTTTCATATTTATCATTTGAGATCTCTCATAACACAATCATAAACGGTTTTGGACCCAAATAGATACTGATAATGGCGGAGACAAGAACACAGCAAACTGATAAATAACTGTATAGGACGACTCCCTGTTTGAATACTAAATCTTAAAGTTTTATCAGAACTGTATTGAATTGTGCTTTGTTTTCATATTTTTCGCCTCTATACCTATGCACGACTATATTTAAAGTCAAACTTAATGGTGCCTTACAAGATACATTATTTTTATTTTTTATATTCAACAGAGAGGTAGAAACTCGACCCTGTCGAATGGTGCAGCCATTTATGTCTCTAGAAATTATTGAAAAAGGGTTCAGTCCAATGGTGCAGCAACTTCGGATTTCTATCCTCTTCAGAGACATAGAAACTCAAGCATTTCGAATTTTACTGGCTATGATTTTCGTTAATGTCTCCGAGAATTATACAAAAACAGCGCAATCCAATATCGCAACGGTTTCGACTTCTCTTTACTCTACCAAGTTATAGAAACTGGAGTCTATCTAATACTGTTCTAGTCAATATTTCTGAGAGTGTAAAAAGAGGGTGTAATTCAATATTGCAAGAAGTTTTGATCTTTTGATGGATGCAAGTAGTTTGAATTTTCTCATTTCTGCATATGATTTTGTTGAAAATAGTTCCTTTCTTTGGTTCCTTTGTCTGATTTTTATTTACCGTAACAACTCATATATGTAAAGTACAGAAATATGATGTAAAGTATATTTATGTATTATATAAAGTACCTATATTTGTATTAAAAATTTCAGAGGTTATATTGAAAAAATGATCGATTTGCTATTAAACTTTAATAATTTAGTAATCAGGTCTGTTGGTAGACCCTGCACATATCCACTGGTAGTTTTATGTTAGTTCAGCAATATTTAAATCTGGTTGATTAAAAAGTACACACCAGTGCAGGTATTGTAGCATCTACGAACAAATGAATTAATGGCCCATTGGCAATTATTCCGTTAGGAAAAATATTCAACACAGCCTAATTAATTAATAAAATGAAAAAAGCACAATCATGTCGTTTTTCAAGCTTAAAATAATTTTCATATTAATACTAGATACTATCTAGTAGATAGTTAAAAAGTGAAATTACGACCTCTATACTGTGGAGAGTATTGAAAAACTGACGAATACAACTCTATACCGTGGCGAGGGTTTAGAAAACTGTATTCAAACGTGGCGTCATCCAATACACTTCTATATTTTTCCGTTTGCTGTGAACCTGTTACTTTCTAAAAAAGATGTTTATACAAAATAAAAATAACTCCAAATATATGTAATAACACTTTAACACATTTCTTTAGCAAACAAACCAAAGATGTTGGTATCCAAATTCGATGCAGAAACATTGGAAGATCGGCCTCTTCTTGCCGCTGAAGTCCAGTTAATCGACGATGGCTCTGGCAGCACCACCATATGGAGGGTGAAACAAAACAATATTGTCGAGCTACCCAAGGAACGTCATGGTTTCTTTTTTTCCGGGGATTGTTACATAATTTTGTACAGCTATCAACCAACTGCTGAGTTGAAGCATTTGCTTTACTGCTGGCTGGTAAGACAAAAAATATTGAATTTAAAAACTGTTGCCACTTGGTGTATTTCCTGGCAACAGGTTTTTGAAATTCTGTAGAATTATTTTTAATTTATTCTTACTCTCTTGTGATTAGTTACTACTAAAAATGATAATTCATAAAACGCTTTATACTTTATATTGTGAATGGTGTACTGTATTTGCAATACCTGAATTACAGCTATGATCAAATAAATGATTGTCTTACTTTTATTTTTGCAAACCTGCTTAAAATTAGTTTAAACATAAGAAATTATTGAATTAAATTTTTATTTAATTGTAGCCACAATGAATCTTAATGAAAAACTATCATTGACATAAATAAAGTTTTGGTTTCTAATGAATGGCTACATTAAATGCAATCAAAGCTCTAATTCCTTTAAATATGTTTATTCTTGTGCAAATATTAGTTGTATAATAAATTAATATGAACTTTAAATAAAATGAATTCTGGACACTGCTTCTGGTAGTCTTGTGTACACAGGTTTTTCGATCCATAAAATGAAATTGTTCTGTTTTCTGTAGAAACTATTAGGAACCCACTAGAAGTGTTGGTGATATTAGGCTCTAAGAAAGTTGCTGACCCATCACTAGCAACAGTTACTGTACTAGATGTGCAGGATCTGTCTGCCATGGCACATGGATATTCTAAAACGAAATAGGAATTTTATCTTATGTATTTAGTATCATGATGGTACTGAAAGACTATGATAAGTTTTTTTATAAATTAATAAAAACTTCGTCTATTTAAGAAAAATACCGAATATCAAGATAAACTGTGTCCATGGTATATACCTATATGAGTACACATTTACCTTTTTGTTATCATTTAGATGTAATTGAGTAATTAAATTACATGGCGGACATTCGGGATTAGGGAGTACAACCCCCAAGAAATTAGCAAATATAACAAACAACCAAACACTACCTACACCAGAGATAACCCATACACTTACATCAATCGGCGTCACCAGAAATACCGATTAATCAGTTGATCACATAATGTGATTCACATTTAACTACACGCACGTGTGGTGTGGCAGGGGATGCCCTGGCGCGTTTTTCTGACTTTAGGCAATCATTAAATTGAATATAGACCGCATTGAAAAAATGGGAATGATAATTGGACAAATAACAAGTATTTTTCAAGACAGTGAAAACATTGGTATTCACTGTAAGACAGTAATATCTTACTATACCTTAGGTTCCATTGGAATAAAAATCATGAACATTAAAAGAAACAAAGACTATTCTTATTTCGTCTAATTTTAATTTTTGGTTGAAGCATTATAACTTTTAATATAAATCAATTTTATATTTAATTAAATATTGTTAATTTTACCTTGATCAGATAAACTTTGAATACAATCATTACCCTCAATTGCACATATTTGATTTTATTGGAGAAATGAAAAACAATCAATTATAGCATTGTTATTAGAGTCAACCCTTTGTTATACTTTCATATTTTTATTTATAAAGGGTTCCCACGCCACCCAAGAGGATATAAATTGCACCACTCATAAAGTAAGCGAAATAGATGATGAGCTAGGCCATCTAGGATTTCAAGCAAGAATAATCCAAGGGCGAGAAACGGCTCATTTCTTGCAAATATTTGGAGGAAAATTTATAACTTTTAAAGGAAAAGGAACTGACTTTGATGGTAACATAAATAAATATACCTAAAAAACATAATTCAATTATATATTTGTATAATTCTAGAATCTGGAAGAAATCTAAAAAATCCATCTCAATACATGTTGCAAATATTTGGATCCACTTTATATAGCAGCAAAGGTGTTCAAGTGGTGGCTAAAGCTTTATCTTTAAATTCGAATTACTGTTTCGTAATGAAAAGAGGCAAAAGAGCGCATGTCTGGTGCGGAAATTATTCGACAGGCGACCAAAGGGAAATGGCAAAACTTTTTGCTGGCAAAGATTTTGAACTTGTATTGGAAGGTAATAAAAAATAGTAAAACCTTGAAGAGAGTTTCTAACGGTTTTATTTTAGGAAAGGAAAAAGATGATTTCTTTTCTTTAATAGGAGGTAAAACTGCCTATAATACGCAGCTAATGAAAAATGACTATGATGCTAGAACACCAAGACTTTTTAACTGTAACACTAACACAAATAACTTTAAAGGTAAAGTATAAATAGACAGAGATGTCAAAAAAAAAACTTTTAAATTTTAAATACATATTAATGTATATAATAGTTCTTGTTGTACGCCATTTACTATAGTATTTATTTTTATAGTACTTATACACAGTAAACAATATTTTTTAGTTGAAGAACTAATGTATTTCACCCAAAAAGATCTAATCCCAGAAAACATTATGCTCCTAGATTTACAAGATTGTTTATACATCTGGATAGGTAAACTGAGTTCCAGAGAAGACCAAAGGTTGAGTATTAAGATGGCTATAGAATATCTTCAATCAGGTGCGGTTTATAATAAATAATTAATAATACTTTACATACGTATGATTTTAACTTTCAGACCCTGCTGGTAGGGATATGAATATAGCCATAATAAACGTTAAACAAGGAAAGGAACCGCCTACATTTACAGGACTTTTTCCTGCTTGGGATAAAAAATTTTGGAAGGTGAGTTTATCAAAATGCAAAAAACATGTCTTAAGATAACTGTTTCATAACTGGTGACAAAAAATGAAATCTCATATAGCAATTTAATTTTTAAATATAAAATTTAGAATATACAGCTTGTTCATACTAAACCCGAATATATCTATATATATATGGGACGTGGCCTCGCCTCCCTCCAAGGCGCATCACAGTTGCTTGTGTGATAAACGACATGGCGAAAGGTCGAGCAGGTAAGACGACTTAAAAAATTAAATGATAATAATGCAAAAAATCTCATTAGCGATGCAGTCTATTTGCTTAGCTACTGTGTCGCGCGTTGGAGGGAGGCGAGGCCACGCCCCATATATATATAGATATATTCGGTTTTAGTATAAACAAGCTGTATAATTCTTTGGTTCAAAATTAAGACATTTTTAAAAACGATTATTTATTGGGCTATGGTTTTATTTTGTTTGTTTTATTACTTTTATGTCTACAGGGTGTCCCAAAAATAGTATGCAGGAAGAAAAAATAATTTATTTTCGGGAACAATATGTGCCTACTTACCTATTTTTTATTAATATTTCTTAAGAAACAATTGTTAAATATATTAAATTGAATTTAAATTTGTAACTTCATTTTTATTCGAAATCTGTGCATTTTGTTCAACGAACTCAAATAAAAATTATAAATTTTGTTGTTATTTTTAAATTGAGCATAAAAATTTAAGCATACAAAATTTCATTATTTTATATCGAACCGTTTCGGAAATAATAAAAAAAAACATCTTCAGGTCCTTAAGGACCTAAAGCCTTAAGGACCTTAAGGACCTAAGCCCCTAAATTTAGGGGCCGATAAGAAGATTTTCTATTTTTGTCTTTAGAAACCACGTGTAAAGTATTGCACACTATTTTCGGGACATCCTGTAGAGAATAATATACTATAATACCTACTAGTATATACTATAGTATATATACTATAATATAATATATATACTATATAATATAGTATATATACTATATAATTTTCCATATGAGATTTGATTTTGCGACACCGGTTAATAAATACTATTTTAGCATTATAAGTCGTTTGGAAAAATCAGACATGATATTGAAATATCAAGCAATAATATTAATGGTAAAGCAACTAATGGCTACACCCAAGAAAAATCTGGACATAGCGATTTTGACCAGTTTGATAAATACCCCATTAATATTCTAAAAGAACCAAATGAGAAACTGCCTGCAAGGATTGATCCTTTAAACAAGGAGGTAGGTACACCTAGATGTTATAACGTTATAGCTATTAAGCTATATAGCTTGAGCCAGCCATAGTCGTAACTCCTGTAAAATGTCATTTTTTGTCCCAGTTTCGGTTTTTGGATTTTTCCGGATGGAGGCTAAAAAGAATTTAATTTAAACAGTAGTTATGTCTGGTTTTAGACAAGTTAAAATTTAAATCCCTAAAACCAAGACCCTTCCCAAGCAGCATTTTTGGTTCCAAAAACCATTACCAAAGTGGTGATAACTTTAAATTAGTTAAGCTACAGCTACCTACTTTAATTTTTACCCAAGAAGGTAAAGTAAATTTAATTTGTAGCAGTTACTTTCGGTTGCTACATAAAGATTACATTATAATAATTATTATTTTTACTTTGTAGTTCCTTTGCAAGTTAAAATCTGGAACATGAGTTAAAAACTACAAAGATAATAACTTAAAAGATATTATTTTAGTATTTGGAACGTTTATGGTACTATCCAAAACTACAGTAAAGTAAATTAAGGTGGAAAAAAACTTTAAAGTAGCGAAATCTACTTCAAACGAAAATGCTTCTTATCGGCCATTTTTTACTGTACGGTACCACGTGGTAATGTAAATAATAAATTATTTTAATTGTTTGTAAATGGTTGTTTACTTTTTAATAAATAGTAATTTTGTTGGTAATAGACGGTATAATAATTAAATAAAAAATTAATAATAAATATTAAGATTTTTTATTTATAAACATTATTAAATAAATAATTTGTTTATAATTACGTAAATATTGATGAACCGCATTTATTTTAGAAAAACTAAATTCATAAGTTCAAAAGTAAAATTTAAAGGGTTTATAAATTTACCTGCCTAATTAAACATTATATTGTTATTATATAGTTATAAACTACCAGTACATATTTAATAAACGACGACATTGAAAAGCCAAGTCCGTAGTGGTTCCATTTAAAAAAGGAGGGATAGTATAATCTAATATAAGTTTGACAAAGACAGTTAATATAGAAGTAAAAACAAATAAATAAAAGTAATTATAACGCTTTAGCAACGATATTGGAACGTTCTAGTAACGTAGCAGCTACGTTCCAAATAATAATTGTTCCCCACTTTAGTCGTAACTTAGTAATGAAAGAGACCGTCGCACACCACTTTAAAGTTTCTTCAATAGTCCCATATACGTAACAAATACTTAAATTGTTGCTTGGGTTGTCTCTGCCTAAAACTGTTTTATTGATTTAAATTTTAATTTGCCTTTCGCTTCATCGAAACAAGTACAATAATATTGTTCCTACTTAATGTTAACTAATGAAATGGCTGCAATGTACCTACATACGAGGTGTGTTCAGAAAATAATGGGAATTGTTAAATTTCGCGGGTTCGGAGGGTCCGGTTGTCATAAAATTTTCTTTATTATGTTGGTATATATGCCCCTGAAGTATGATAAAAACTTTAGCTGTTTTCATTGTTTACTTTGTCTGTGGCAGCCGCTAAGGTTAGACGTGTTTTATGAGCTCGGCGATTTTTCGTTCGTTAAAAGAAATGGATCAAAGAATTTGTATCCAATTTTGCTTAAAAAATTAAATAAATTCTGTGAAATGTTAACAAAGGCCTATAGCGAGTCTGCTATAGGTAAAACAAGAGTTTACAAGTGGTATAAGAGTTTCCAAGATGGCCGTGAAGACGTTAAAGATGACGAACGCCCCGAACGCACAAGCACATTAACAACCGATAAAAACATGGAAAAAGTGGAAGAAATGGTTATAAACCATCAGAGAAGTCGCTGATGATGTTGGTATATCGATTGGCTCATCCCATGAAACTTTTTCGAATGTTTTGGGTATGAAACGCGTGGCAGCAAAATTTGTTCTAAATTGTTAAATTTTGAACAACATTTTTGGCCAAAAACAATACTGTAATTGTGCCCCAGCCTCCATATTCGCCAGACATGCCTCTGTCTGACTTTTTCCTATTCCCAAAAATAAAGAGAACCTTAAAGGGCCGTCGTTTTGCAAGCATAGATGACATTAAAAGCGCATCGCTGAAAGAACTAAAGGCTATCCCAAAGATCGAGTTTTAGAAGTGTTTCGAGTATTGGAAGAAGAGCTGGCACATGTGCATAATATCCAATGGGGACTTTTTGAAGGCGACAGACGAATAAATAATTATTTATTCGTCTATTTAAATATTTGTTTCAAAAAACGAAAATTCCCGATATTTTCTGAACACACCTCGTATTGTTCTCAAAACGTCCCGACAACATTTATAAAACATATTTGTAATGTGGAAAGCATAGAATGACTAAAGTCATAAGGCCTATACTTAATTAATTGGTTGATAATTTATTAATGAGTTGTAAAGTAAATCTAAATTTTTATATTATGTTATAGTTTTACCTAATATAAATATACATAGTATATAGTATAGGTACCTACTCATAAAATTTTTACTTTAAATTTAGTTTTTATTTATAGACTATAAAACCGAATTGTATTATATACTAATAGACAATTTTCAACTGTCAGGATGGCCGAGCGGTCTAAGGCGCCAGACTCAAGGTTACCTTGCCTACTCTGTAGGTTTCGAGCGTTCTGGTCCACTTTGTGGGCGTGGGTTCGAATCCCACTTCTGACAATACTTTTTTTATTTTTTTTTTAATATATATTATTTATTTATTTTCAGTTGCATTTAACACACGACGATTTTGTTTCGCTTTTTAAAATGAAATATGTCGATTTTGAAAAATTACCAAAATGGAAACGACAAGAAATGAAGAAAACATGTGGGTTGTTTTAGTTTTAGATGTTTAAGTATATTATTTTTAATATTATTCAGGCAAAAAGACCTTCGTCTATAATGATTGTCTACCAATATAGATTTTTACTATTGTATTAAATATTTATTATCAAAATGTATTTTATTTTGTCCTTCAAAACCGTACAACGTAATATTTTAAAAAAATACTATTTACATACATAAAATATTTATAAAAAAATCTACTTACTGGGATATTACACTTCACGGTGAATAGGTTTTTAAATAGCAAATTAAAAAACTTAAACTTTTGAATTATAAAACAGCAACACTTTTTTCTGCATATAAATTCTAACTGACCTTCAGGAATCACATGCATCTATTATGTCGTAAACAGAGGTTTTTGCTTATTTAAAATGATTAAAGCGCCATCCGTTGCATAAAATTTAAAGCAAAAACAGATTCACGGAGGATAGAATCAATTTTTGTAATACCTACATAAATGGTTATAAAAATTATTTCTTTTAATTTTTAATAATATTTTATATTTGATTCGATTGCTTTGGATGTGTTTAATTTACTTAGTGAACTGATATTTTTAATATGCTTTTACTACCTTAGATATTTGAAAACATAGGTTAACCTAGAAAAAGTAACAGTCACGGAGAATAGGTTTTAGACTTTTAAAACATTGTAAAAAATATTTAATTGCGGTTAAAAATCTGGAACCTGAGCTGTAATATCTACTTAATTATGAAAGATCAAAACACAATAAAAGTTTAGTTCAAACTCATTTAGTTTTATTAAATATCACGGGGTAACATTTTGTGAGATTCACCCAATTACATTGTAAAATTAAGTCTTTGCATAAAATATAATAAATTATTGAGCAACATGTGGGATAAAATGACAAATGAAACATCAATTTTAATAAATTAAATAAATTTATTGTAAAGTCAATTTTGGTGTCCAATTTGTATACATACATAAGGCAAAATCTTATCATTAAAATGTTCCTAAATATGTTGGTGTCAACAATAATACAAAGGTATTATTTAAGGCACACAATAATACAAAAAACTGTACTTACATGAAGGAGCAATAAATAGATTACATGTTTTGTACATTAAAAAAAGCATTTACAACTTAAATCAAAACTTAAAATGCAAAAATACAGTTTAAAAATTAACCAAATAAAATAACTTTCTGTATAATAACATAAAAAATTTATAAATTATTTTTGCATTTTAAGACATTTTGTAGGAATGTCTTGAAATTAAACTACAACCAAGACATCTTGGTATTCTGGATAGATCAAAATTATTTACTTCAGACTCAAAATTTAAGGATGGCGGATTTAAGTAACAAACATGCTTGGATAAAATTGAGCAAATTATATCACATTATTAATGTCTGAATTAAACAATTTGATTTTAACAGCTAAAAACAAAAAATACACTGGTTAATTTTAGCACCAAATTAGAGCAATGGTTAATTTCAACATTTAGCAACCTAAGAGAATAAAGTTTAATATTAGTGTTATATTAAATAAAAATAAATATGTACAAAAATTAATAATGACTAAAGTATTATTATACAATTTACAAATTAATTAAAAACAAAATAGCGGGTTTTTGGTTGGGTAATGGAAAACTAACGAAATTAAATTTAAACTTGATTATATAACTGTAGGAACTTAATTAATTAATAAGACTTTAACAAAAATAATATTTAACAAAAAGAGTTTGGTTCCTAATAATTCTCCATAGCCTATCACTTGTCAATTGGCTCAAAGCTTAGAAAACACAATTCAATTAGGCACCTACTCCTAATTAAACAATTTAAAATATTTAAGATGCAAGGCCATGATAAAATATACTATCAAATCCATAACAGTAATGTTACATTAATATCACAAAGTGTAACAATTATTTTGATTGGTGATGAAATATGAAGCGTTTCAGATTAAGTTCCGATTTAAGAAAGTGTCTTAACCAATTTTTAAAGTCATTTGCCGCCCATCGAAGAGTTTGCAGGTAAAGTGGCTGAACGCTGTTGAACGTTCAAATATGGCTTCAAACTAGACCTTGTCGATTCCCTGTTAAAAAACACATCCTTTTTATAATTATTATTTTTTGCTTTTAAGGACAATCTATTGTTTAAGGTAGTATCTCCATTTAGAGAGTTTTCATAGAATGTCTTCAAATTTAATATATAAATTTGTATTTTTATAAAAACAAAACTAAATATTCAATGTTTAAGCTATCAACATTATCCTATTTTATTTCTCAAGATTAGGAAACTCAACGCTTAAATGCTTATATAGTTACGTTAGTGTGTGTATTTTATCGAAGGGATCATGGTGAATTATTGTGTTTTTAATTGTAAATAAAATTCAAGAACTAAATCGTTGCAATTTCATGTTTTGCCAAAGGATCCAATTCGGTAAGTACATTTGTTGGTGCAGAATTAACTAATGATAACTTTACCTAATATAATTCATATTTAAGTTTGGACATTTTTAAGAAATTAGTAAAAAATAATTTTTGCACAAACATAACCTTAAAATCAACCATTTTTATGTTTGAGTTCTCTAAAAAACGCCGACAATTGTATTTTAAACAACAAAATATACCCACGAATTCATGGCAACATAATATTATATATAATACATAATATAATGGTATTTTACCGTTGAGTGGAGACTTTCTTAATCAACGCTTTTAATAATGCTACATGCTGTTTAAATTTAGACTACTTATTTGTTTGAAATGTTTACACTTCTCACGTTAAAATGTGTATTTATTGTATATAATAGGTACAATTTAAATTTACAGAGACTGTATGCAATTTATTTCTTCATTCAGATTAACACTGTTTATTGGAAAACCGGTAAAAACTCAACCCAGGATTTCCTCTCGAAATACACCCAACAACACAACAAATCGAGCCACGTTTTTTCCCGATATTTTTTAACATTTTCCGGCTTTATTCTCAAAAACACTCGTTTGTAACATAAGCGTTTGACAGCTGATTATTAAAAGTTATACTTTTGTTACGATGATAACAACCGAGTGGTGGCGCTACTAGTGATACTTCTTTAGTGTATTGTTTTCTACTACATTGAACTACTGAATTTGCTGTCACCACCTACTAGTATTTATTTATAAAACTCTTCAAATGGAGATACTACCTTAACATCTTAAAATAAGGAAATTATTTAGTTTTTCTAAGCCATTACATACAAAAAGGCCATTTTAAGTATGAAAATAAAAATATTTCAAATTATTGAGCATTATTACTGAGTTTGGAAAAATTTGAAAAAGCTTTGTTTTAATCATAAGTTGAAATATACCAGTAATAATTTAAAATAGTTTTGAAACAAACTGTCTTAAAATACATTTGACAACCATTAAAATAAATTTAAATTACAGAAAAGTTGCGTAATTACATGCCTGTTAACATTGAATTTATAAATTCAAAAAAATCCAGCGGTTCTCAAAATATTTGAAGAAAAAACCTTTCAAAACAAAAATTGTTTTAAGTTTTTTATTCCTGAGAATTTTGAAACAAAGTATGTTTTACATGTAAACATACACATTTTGTGTATTTTTACATGTGAAACTTACTTTTTTTTTATTTCCAGAAATAACGATTTTTTATCAAATTTTTTAATTTCATTTTAATGCGCGTCAAAATTAACGTATAAGTAAACAAATTTTAACTTTAAAACGCCTTTACCAATCTATATAAAATTTTGGATAAATAGTATATTATGTATCAAGTTTGATAAACGCCATTTTATACACGAATTTAATTTAGGCACGAGCGAGCTTGCGAGGTGCATACTATACTTTTTCTACGACAAATACTTATTATTATCTTAAAATGATTTAAATCAAAAATTTGTATAGAGCGCCATCTATGAAACAATAGGGGAATCTGTGTGTCACCGTGAAATGTCACATTTTGAAATTTTATAAACACAGATTATAAAGGTTATAAATCGAAATGTATTTCTTGAAAATGGACAGTTTTTGAGTGAAAGTAAAGAAAATGTTTTATGAGGACTTTACAGTGGAGTCCGTGCCAGAATTTAAGTTATAGATTACTGCCGGCGAAATTAAAAGGTCAGTACAATGTTCATATAAACTTTTCAAATATTGGCGTTGAGAAACTATTTAATACTTTTGTATTTTTGTATTGAGATAATAAAATAATTTTCACATTTAGTATTATTTTACAAGAAAGGCACTTTATTTTAACGATTGTATGACATTTGACAACTGTCAACTAACTTAAAACTAACTTCAGCCCGTGACTAAAAACCTGTTGCCAACTTCAGCCCGTGACTAAAGCGCCATAAAGCCACAACTTGTCAATGTGTATTTAAAAGGTCACTTAGTGTCATGGAAAGATGTACGATAAAGGGCGTTTTAAAGGTGGGAGTAGAAAAAATACTTTTTGTTACTGTTCCTTTGATTTGTACAAAATTTTTAGGATATACTAACAAAAATACGGTCTTTAACACCATATTTTTAATTTACTTAAAAAAAATTCTCTAAAAGTTATTTTTAGAACGTTTTTTTATTATTTAATTAAAGGACTTTAAAAATATTTTTTTTTAAACCCTCAAACACGTAAACTGAGATATAAGTTAAAGTATTTTTATACAAAATTTCATAAAGATTGGTAAAGGCGTTTTAGAGTTAACATTTTTTTACTTATTATGCGTTAACTTTTGACGGGCAGTGTAGAAGGGTACTTGGTGCACCCTGTATATTTTTAATTTTAAAAATCTTATAAAATAGTGCCCATGAAAAAATAATTACATGAAATCTAAAGAGATGGGACTAAATTTTAAAAGTTAGCTTATTTACTTGTCAAACTAAGGCATGGTTGTCACATGTGAATCGTTATCATCGTGACTGTAATAATAAAGAAATGTAAATTTATTATTTCCACATTTTTTGCATCCACTTAGACAACCTAAAAACTAAAATTAAAACCAAGCAATACTAATCCTAATCTAAAATTTGAACATTCACTAAACTAGTCCTAAAGCATTTCACAAGCAAATGTTTGTAAAGCAGAGCTAAAATACTCACCAAGGTTGCAAATATCTAACTAAAACAAAGCAGTAGCAAGGAAATAAAGAGGAGAACTAATGGAGAAAAAACAGTTAAAATTAAACCCCAATGAACTTTATACAGTTTATTTAAACGCAATAAAAAAATACAAAAATACGTTTGTCTGTTAATAAATCCAAGCAACATTCTTACAAGAATAAAATCAACCAAATATTAAAGCTCAACTTTGAAATTTTCTACAAATTACGAAAATCCTAGTCGATGCAAGAAAATCGAGCTTTGATAGATGGCACATGAGAGGATTTTGAAATTTTTTATATCACATTATTAAAAAACTAGAAATTATAGTGTTAATAATAATAATAAAATAATAAAAAGAACTGAATATAGCATTCAACATAAAAAGTTCTTAAATTCAATAAATACATGCGGCCGGGTAAATAATAAATAAACTATTGATAAAGCAAAGTCTTAAATACGTTATCAACAAATGTGTTGAAATAACAATAGTTAAAGTATATAATTTACAAAAGAAACATAATTAATCAGCAAGAGGAGATGTTTATAGAATATATTATAATATATTATGAAGTAGGTATCACATAAAAAAAATAAATGTTTAATGAAAATAAATAATTTTAATTGTGTCAAATAATATGTTGATGAATATAAGGTTTAAATATTATAGCAGAATTTTTAAACCAAAGCTAGGAAACTGCATGGATAAAGGGCACCCAGGATATTTTATTTTAATAAAAGTAGAGAAGGATGAGCACTTTTAAAAACGATTATAAATGCTCTTAAACCACTCAAAAGTATTCAAAGTTCTACACTGCGCGTCAAAATTAATGCATAAAGTAAAAAAGGTCTAAAACGCCTTTACCAATCTTTATGAAATTTTGTATAGGAATACTTCAACTTATATCTCAGTTTACGTGTTTGAGGGTTTTTCGAGAAAATATTTCTGAAAGCCCTTTTATTTAATTAGAAAAAAAACGTTCGAAAAATTATTGATTATTTTGCTGAAAAGTGGTCATTTTTGAAGACTTTGAAGCGCTGTATTTTCGTTACTGTTCGTTCGATTTGTACAACATTTTCAGGGTATACTTACAAAAATACTGTATTTCACTGCATATTTTTTATTTACTTAAAAAAATTCCCTATAAGTTTTTTTTCAAACGTTTTTTTATTATTAAATAAAAGGGCTTTAAGGATATTTTTTCGAAAAACCCTTGAACACGAAAACTGAGATATAAGTTAAAGTATTTTTATCCAAAATTTCATAAAGAATAATAAAGGCGTTTTAGAGTTAGAATTTTTTTACTTAATATGCGTTAATTTTGACGCGCAGTGTATTAATAATGCTCGAAAACTGCTTATACTTGAATTTGGCGCCAAAACTAAAAAGCGGGATTATAACATACCCAACAAATTGTTTACATCCAATTTCCAACTGGAAAAGCGCTCGAGCAACTGTCATCTCCAATAGTACATGTTATAAACAAGAATTTTAGTTAAAAATTCTTGTCCATTAAATAAAAAAATGCGTTGGATATGTGATGTCAGTTTAATTTTTACATTAGTTAAAACAAAGATACTTTTCAAAAGCCATAAAGAGTTGTTCTACTAATACTTGTACTGGTGATATAAAATTTAAAAAGGTTAAAATTTTTAAGGGTTAAAAATTTGTTTTCTTTAAATAATCCATGGTTTTTGATCAAAGTATTTAAAAAATATCAGAGCTCTATGGCACGCCGTTTTAACATTTATTAAATAATTTTTTAATTTAAAAGTTTATTGGTTTAAAATTTTCCTAACTAAAAATTTTAGGTTTACATTTATAAATTTATAATATTTTTATCTATCATGTTTTAAAAGACAATTTTACTAGCCAACAGTTTACTTCTGTATTAAACAATATTATTTTCTATCAATGTTTGCAAAAATGTCTAACTATCATTTTTTAATAAAAATAATTTCTCAAGTATAATTTATTTGGGTGGCATTTTGTTAACTTAAATTAATATTTTATAAAATTATTGAGATTAATTTGGTAAAGTTAAATTTTTTAGTATTTACAAATAGTATCAAGCCATTTAAAATAAAAACACATATAAAACATTTTCTACCAAAATAGTTTAAAAAGTTAAATTTTTGTAAACTCTATTGATAATCAAAAAATATTTTAAATATAAAATGCAACTGTAAAAGTTCAAGTTTAAAAAAATTAATTTTTAAAAAATGGAATTTTAATATTTTATTCTTCAAAATTATTGGTTTGAATTTGTAAAGAGTCATTTAAATGATAGTCGATAAATTTTCAAAACAAAAATTTAAACATTACATTTAAATGTTAGTTTTAAATTTTAAAGTGGTAATTTTTGCATGTAAAATTTATCGACTATCATTTAAATGACTCTTTACAAATTTAAACCAATAACTTTTATTTTTAACAATTTTAAATTGATACATTTTTAAGACAAAATTTATAACTTTACATTTTAAGTTACAAAGTGTAAACGTAGCTTTAGTAGAAGGCACAGTGTTGCCAAATCGTGCTTGCTCCATAAATATTTGACTCGTTTTACAAATTATCGTAATGAAATGTTTCTTTATTACATACATTTAATAATAGAACAACAACATTTTTAGTGCCTATTGTACTAAGTTAATTCGACAATTAAAAAACATCAACGGATCAAACTGGCTGCATCGTGGCTCCGATCCCACACTCTTGTGCCTTCCATTAAAGGTACGTTTACACTTTGTAATTTAAAAATTATCGACTTACATTTAAATGTAAAGTTATAAATTTTGTCTTAAAAATATATCACTTTAAAATTGTTAAAAATAAAAAAATTTGGTTTAAATTTGTAGAGAGTCATTTAAATGATAGTCGATAAATTTTTAATCCAAAAATTAATACTTTAAAATTTAAAACTTACATTTAATGTAAAGTGAGAATTTTTGTATTATAAATTTATCAACTATCATTTAAATGACTCTTTAAAAATTTAAACCAATAATTTTGTAGAATAAAATATTACAACCAAATCTTCTAAAAATCAATATTTTTAAACATACATTTTTACTGTTGCATTTTATATTTAAAATATTTTTTGACCATCAATTGTTTTGAGTTTAAAAAAATATAACGTTATAAATTTCTGTTAAAACATAATTTAAGTGCTAAACTTTAATCTTTAAACTTTTATCTGATAAATGCTAAAACGGCGTGCCATAGAGCTCGCGGTATTAACTTAAATGCATTTCAAAAATTGTGCAAAAATTTTGTCTTTGTAATATTTGAACAATCGTACAAATATTTACGATGGAAAATTGAATAAATAAATCTTACAATGAATATACACTCCCGTGGAAAATAATCGATCCACACAAATTTTCGATGAATTTCAATCGCAAATAACTTTTTTATTTGATGTCGGATTTAAACGAATATTAAAGAATATTGTAGATAAATTAATGGACATTCGCTCACATTTTAAAAAAATACTAAAAAATAGACGTACGTTCATAATATACAGGTTTAAACAAAAATATGTTTTTTTACCATAAGTTTAAGAGACTCTGTAGAGTGGCAAAACCGTATATTGTTCTAAATTAAGTTTTATTTATCAAGTCGCATCTATTCTTAACAGTTTTGTTCTTGGTTCACCTCGATATATTTATTTTTGTGGAAAATATGGATTTTTAAAAAAAAACATTGCAATTTCCAATATGTTTCTGTATGAAGAACTAAGGTTGCTATGGTCCATCCATAGCCTATGGAGAATGACAGTGACAGTTTTGTTGGCAACATCAGATGTTGCCCTTTGTACTTTACTTATGACGTTTAAAACACTTGCCACGTAATACTATGACCGTCCATCCTGGATTAAATTAATAGCTCTGGCAACATCAGTCGGAGACATATCCATTTTATAAAGTAAGAAGACACCTCAAAATTTAAACATTAATTTGCAAAAAACAATTTGATAGCGTTTGAAAGCCGTGTGTCCAAGTATGGGATGATAAAACTTAATTTAGAATAATATACGGTTTTGCCACTCTACAGAGTGTCTTAAACTTATGGTAAAAAACATATTTTTGTTTAAACCTGTATATTATAAACGTACGTCTATTTTTTAGTATTATTTTAAAATGTGAGCGATTATCCATTAATTTATCTACAATATTCTTTAATATTCGTTTAAATCCGACATCAAATAAAAAAGTTATTTGCGATTGAAATTCATCGAAAATTTGTGTGGATCGATTATTTTGCACGTGAGTGTATTTGAACAAGCTTACAAATATTTACGATGAAAAATTGAAAAAATAAATCTTACAATGAATATAGTTAAAAAATAATCTTTATTTTCTCAAAAAGGCAAAATTCAATAGTTTTAGAAAATGTCATTTAGGATGGGGGTGTTCAAAAGCAGTACAAAGCTGGATTTTAAGTTTTCTTCACAAATTTGTTTACTTTACGTCTTATTTTATTTTAAAACTGTATTATTGCGACTTGGGGAATTTTTGTAATCAGCAAATTCCTATACACGTTCTGCTACAGCATGCCTCAAAAAACTAGCAAAGGAAAAAAACAACGGAAAATAACGGGAAAACGATCACATTTTGTCTTACCTGGGCGAAATCTTGGCCGAGTCTATGGCATTCGAATTGTTCGCTTTGAACCCGCACTTCTGAATCTTTTTGCTGAGCCGCGTAACCCACAGCTTTTGATCTTCGTTCGATGCCGCCAGCAGCAGCAATTCTTTGGCATATGACGGGTCGTAGTGCAGCTTGCACGGCGGCACCAAGTCGTTCTTTTCTATGTGGTCCTTGTGGATTTTTGTCCGACATCCTAAAACAATCAAAAATTAACCTATTTTTTTAGTATACAGTGTGTATTAAAACGAATAGATACACTAAAATAAAACAAGTGCCAAACCCCGCCCACTGTGGTAGGGATTGAATTTGTTTGCTTGCCCTAGCATTGTCGTATGATCTGTGCGCAGTGTTGCCAGCGTCAGTACGTTTGTACCGAATTCAGTACTTTCGAATTAAAAAAAGTACGCAAGTACCTCGTTGATGGTTTTCGGTACGTTTTCCAGTTTTAGATTTTTTTTCCTTTATTTAAATAAAAATTAAAGAAAAAATTAAGTTTAGGTTATTTTAGTATCCTGGTATTTTAAGTTTTAAACTGTTGTCTACTTAGTGTTGACATAAGGTTTGTTCCAAGTTCGCCAAGAACCGCTCATAGGAATAATAGGAATTATTAAAGCCAAATACCTCAATCTTTGTTAAAAAAGAAAATTAATTATCGATAGGTAGACTATTTTTTAATTTTACCAACAATATTGTTTTTTTTTCAAAGTTTTTTTGTATAGGTATAATAATAATTATCTATTTTGTTTTTTTGATGTTTATAGTTTATTTATGTGCATGTGTTTATTAATAAAGTACAAAATAAAATTACCTTCATGTAAGTTTAATATTTATTTTTCAAAATTGGAGGAAAACCCAAAGTCAGTATGTTATCTTTCAAATTCAATACGTTTTTATTGCCATTTCAGTACTTTAATTTTTCTACTACTGGCAACACTGTCTGTGCGTCAGTTTAAGAAGTGCACTGAGACTTTGCGTACGTCTTTGTAAGAATAAAAAAGTATTTTCTCAAATAAAATGGTTTTTACCCGTGAGGAAAAATACCAAATTATGGTATGGCATCACACTGGTAGATCGTTGCCATATTATTGTTTCCTAAAAGGGTTGTTTTTCTTATTTTTTAATATTAAAAGTAAGAAAATTAACTAAATCAAATTATTTTTGACATATTATTAATATTTTTGTTATTTTTAAAGTTTCAAACAAATAAAATTGAACTATTAAATAATTATAATCGTTCTCTTCTGATTTAAAACAAGCTTGCAACTATGGTTCGTAATTACGAATGGCTTGGTTTAAACCACGCCCAATTAAAGTTTGTTTCTTTTTCTCTGATCAGAATATAATTTGTCATCCTTGTCTCCAGCCTTACTTTCTTGATTCTATACAGTCTGTATTAAATTTTGCAATGGTTTTACAAAATATTTGACAGCCTTAATATTAAATTGGGATGCTGAATTTTTAAAATTTATTTAAGATTTTAGTTTGAAAAACGTTTGAACACAAGCTTGCGGAAATTGAAATATTAAAGTGTGGTAAAAACTTACTTTTGCACTCGAGGGCCGGCGGCGGCCTGAACATGTGCCACATCGGCTTGGGGCAGACCTCGCAGGTGGTCGGCATGTGGTAGGAGATGATGAAGAACTCGTGTCCCTTGTGCGACACCGACAGCGGCTGCTTGTCGTCGTAGTTCTTGAGCGAGCTCACGTCCAACGTGCTGTTCTGGTGGTGCTCGTCCGGCTTGCGGGCCTCGCCCTCCCCTGCGTACAGCAGCTGGAAGATGCGCGGTATGTCTTTCGAATCGGCGCGGATCACGTCGCCCTGCGTCACCGATCGCACGTGGAACACTTTGCTGAACGAACAAAACCATAAGTCAGTTTTTATACTTTACATTTGGTACGGTCTCGATAACACTTTAAACACGAATCCCTTGAAAAGAGTTTTCCTTTACTAATTTTCAAAATTTCCACAACCAAGCATAATATCAAAGATTATCTGGTGATCTGTCTAATAAATTTAAAGGTAGGTAAATATACCATATAAAAAGAATATACGCAAACTGCAGTTTTAGTGATTTTTTACACTTTTCAAAGCTTTTAAACATACGGATTTTTGAATTAAAAAAAATAATCCTGGTATAGATTCTTTGGGAAATTTTATGCTCTACAAGAATCCGCGACGTAAAAATTTTCATCTCAAACGGTTCAAAAGTTATAGTCTTTTTAATGAAAAAAGATTTTTTTAAGTGTTATTTCAATGGAAATGGAAATTTTGCCTTACAGGGAAATTTTTTGCTCGGTATGTAGGTTCATTTTAACCCATAAATCCGATAGGTTAGTTTTTTTTGGCTCACCCTAATAAACATATATCAAAAAATGCCCCCTAACGGAGCTACGCCCCCCTAAATAGGAGCTTAAGAGCATCATTTTTTTAAAACTATTCCTAGAGGGTTGAACATGAAGACATGAATTTTGGGGACTTTGGTAATTTTGACATTCTGAATCTGGATCTATAATCAAAACTGTTAAAATTTAATCATAGGCGTAACATTTGACGGGGCAAATTTACAAAAACAGCCCCAACTTTTTGCAGAGTGAGTATTTTAATGTTTTGTTATAAAATTATGAAAATGTATAGTTTTTCACGAAAAATAGGTACTCTTGCTTTGAATCGCTCAGATGCACCATTTTCGAGAAAATTGCAATTTAAATTACTATGCTTAGCATAATTTCTAATATTTTCATTAAAAGGCTTTGGGACAAAAGTGACGTTTGGGTTATTTGCTGACTTTACATTTATTTTTATAGTTTAGATAATTTTTTTGGCTTGATTTTTGTTATTTTTTATTATGGAGAGATTTTCCAAATTTTAACACAAAATTTTAACGAAAATATGAGATGTGTATGCTATGCAGAGTAATTTATAAATGCATTTTTCTCTAAACTGGTGCATCTGAGCGATTCAAATCAAGACTACCTATTTTGCTTAAAAAACTATAAGTTTTCATAATTTCATAAAAAAAATTAAAATATTATCTCAGAAAAAAGTTGGGGCTATTTTTATAACTTTTCCCCCCCAAATGTTACGCCTATGATTAAATTTTAACAGTTTTGATCTTAGATCTTGATTCAGCATCTAAAAATTACCAAAGTGCCAAAATTTCATTTCTTCATGTTTAACGCTCTAGGAATAGTTTAAAAAAAAAACTATTCTCTTAGGATCCTATTCAGGGGGCCGTAGCTCCGTTAGGGGGCATTTTTTAATACATGTTTATTTAACCAAAAAGTGTTACTTTTCTATGAAGAATGCACTGTTTAAGTTTGGCCCCCTAATTTCGGGACTCCCTGTATATATTTTTTAAACTTCTAATTTAAGCAAGGATAGGTAGTTGGTAATGTTGCTATAGGTCTTTATTAAACTAAAAAAAAATACCAAATACATTGATAATGGTATTCTCTTTAAAAATCTTGCTTTCATCGAAAGAAAATCGATTTTTTAGCCAAAAATCGGATATTTTTAAAATTCAAAGTGATACAGCATGATCAATTTTTGCCCGATTTAAATAAAATTTACATTATTTGTAGCTATTTATCTACTTTCTAGTATTAAAATTTCAATGCAATCAAAAATTGAATGATAGTAGTGCTGCCGTGCAAAGCTAAACCCCCGTATCTGCAATATAATAATTTTCATTTTTATTTTGTCCTTTATTATTTAATATTACAGATACGGGGGTTTAGCTTAGCACGACAGAGTGTATGATAGTAGAGTATTGAGAGCAGCAGCAGATACTCTACTCATACTCTCATACACTAAAACTAATAGAAAAAAAACAATAATATTTTTGACATCTTCTTATTAGACATACTTAAATCAGGTCTAAAATCCTAGGCACAAACATTGTCCACTTAAATAGGCTCTATGAATATTAATAGCTATTCACGGAGTTTATTTAAGTGGTAACCAACTTTGGTTGATTTTATTGCCATGTTGCCAATTTTTATTTGATTTCATTGAAATTTTATCAAAATAAAGTAGATAAATAGAGCTACAATAGGGTATATAATTTTATTTAAATCGGGCAAAAATTGATCATGCTTTATCACTTTGAATTTTAAAAATTTCCGAATTTTGTCTAAAAAAATCGATTTTATTTCGATGAAAGCAAGATTTTTAAAGAGAATACCATTATCAATGTATATGGTATTTTTTTACAGTTTAATAAAGACCCATAGCAATATTACCAACTATCCTTGCTTAAATCAGAAGTTTAAAAAAATATATATAATTTGAATGTGCGCATATAAAAAAAATGATTTTTTGTCTACATCGCAAAAACAAGAGCTGATTGAGCAAAATGATGGTCATTTTTGGAATCGGCGTACTCAAATTACCCTAAAAAAGTTGTTGTCTACGGTAGACAGTCTACCCTGCACCAAAATGGTTGTCAACCAGTGTTATTCTTTATATCATTGATTAAGAAACTTAACGATTAAATACTTATATAAGTATATGTATAGTTACGTTAGTGTGTGTATTTTATTGTAACCAGCATGCCCCAGGGATCATGGTGAATTATTGTTTTTAATTTTAAATAAAATTCAAGAACTAAATCGTTGCATTTTCATGTTTTGCCAAAGGATCCAATTCGGTAAGTATATTTGTTGATGCAGAATTAACTAATAATAACTTTACCTAAAATAATTTATATTTTTGTTTGGACATTTTTAAGAAATTAGTACAAAATAATTTTTGCACAAACATAACCTTAAAATCAACCATTTTTATGTTTGAATTCTCTAAAAAACGCCGACAACTACATTGTAAACAACAAAATATACCTACAAATTCATGGCAACATAATATTACATATAATACATAATATAATGGTATTTTACTGTTGAGTGGAGACTTTAAAGAATTCTTAGTCAACGCTTTTAATAATGCTAAATGCTGTTTAAATTTAGACGACTTATTTGTTTGACGATTTTTACTGAATTGAAATGTTTACACTTTTCACGTTAATCATTACTAAAATGTGTATTTATTGTATCTAATAGGTACAATTTATATTTACAGAGACAGTATGCAATTTATTTATTCATTCAGATTAACACTGTTTATTGGAAAACCGGTAAAAACTCAACCCAGGATTTCCTCTCGAAATACACAACAAATCGAGCAACGGTTTTTTTCCCGATATTTTCCGGCTTTATTCTCAAAAACACTCGTTTGTAACATAAGTGTTTGACAGCTGATTATCAAAAGTTGTACTTTTGTTAGGATGATAACAGCCGAGTGGTGGCCCTACTAGCGATACTTCTTTAGCGCATACCAATTTAAGAAAATAAAATTAAGTTACATTTATTATTTTTAGTGATGTAACAAAAACCTTTTTTTAATTTGATAAAAAAACTTCCATATTAATTAAAAAAGCGTTTTTTTTTTGTTTTAATGAAAAAAATAAACAAAACAATTTATACTTCTAACAGAAGGAAAATGGACAGAGTCCAGTTTGCAGATTCAACTGTTTCTTTTTTATTAACTTTTAAACGTATAAATTCTAAACAAAATTGATATTTTTACATTTAGCGGCTAAAGTACTAATCGTAGAAGAAAAAGTTAATTAGCAATTTTGAAGATCTTTTAATACTCTACAAATTCGTTCTGAACATTTTTTTTAATCACCTTCAAAAGTTATAAGTGTCTAAAATTCTATTTTCATGATTATGCATAATATATTATTATAATATTAACTGTAGGAAAAAAAGATTAGGGACAATTTTGCAGGAAACTTGAAGCTCTATAAATAACGTACCAAGATTCTTCAACACACTCAATTAATCGCTGAATTTAAGCTAAAATAGCCTAACTTTTATGATATTCTTAATTTCATGATCCAGCTTTAGACTGCAAATAAATTTTATACTTTTGAAATACTGAAAATAATTTTAAACCTTGAGTCTGTTGAAGAATTTTGTGGAAAGCTATTTATAGAGCTTTGAGTTTCCTGCAAAATTGTCCCTAAACTTTTTTTCCTACATTGAATATTATAATAATAAATAATGCATAATAATTAAAAAATTTTTAGACACTTTTAACTTTTGAACTGTAGGTGATAAAAAAAATGTTTTGAACAAATTTGTAGGGCATTAAAAGATATTCAAAATTGCTAATTAACTTTTTCTTCTACGATTAGTACTTTAGCCGCTAAATGTAAAAATATCATTTTTTTTTTAGAATTTATACGTTTTAACGTTAATAAAAAAGAAAGAATCTACAAACTGGAGTCTGTAATATTTTTTGTAGATAATTTAATGCTCAAAAAAGACCAGTGATTGTTTATAAAAAAATGTTCTACTTAGTATGCAGGCGAAATAAATCTTAAAAAACTATTTTTCCATGTAAAATCAAGGGGAAAACTTAAAATTAATATGCTCAAGTGCTCAAATTTTGACATACTAAGTAAATTAAACATATCCAAAGCAATCGAATCAAATATAAAATATTATTAAAAATTAAAAGAAATAATTTTTATAACCATTTATGTAGGTGTCACAAAAATTGATTCTATCCTCCGTGAATCTGTTTTTGCTTTAAATTTTATGCAACGGATGGCGCTTTAATCATTTTAAATTAGCAAAAACCTCTGTTTACGACATTATAGATGCATGTGATTCCTGAAGGTCAGTTAGAATTTATATACAGAAGGTCAGTGCAGAATATATATGAGAGTGTTGCTGTTTTATAATTCATTAATTTGCTATATAAAAACCTATCCACCGTGAACACATATCAGAGTGCGTGCGACTTGAAAAAAAACGCGCTTGTTTTGATTTGGTCCTAAAAAAGTAACTACATATAATATTTTTGATTCAGCGCTTGATTTTTGAAAAAGCTACCAAAAGAACTTTTTTCATGATTTTTTAAATTCATGTAGAGTGGAATTAAAAAAAAACAATAGGAAATTCTTGTAGAACATTTATTCATTGGTGGTTAAGTCAGAACATTCCGTGGACCAAAAAAGAAAGCAAAAAAAATCGATTTTTTTATTACGGCATTCGTTAGGATTGAACGTTGCACGTTTTTCATCTAAAAATCTCAATACTAGAAACTTCAAGCTTCAAATTGCTTTTTTACGGCTCCAATAATAATTTTTAACAAAGATAAAATCGCAAACATTTTTTTTTATCCTTTAATTTTTTGTATAAGTGTAGAAGTTTTACATTGCTATTGGTTTCTAATGTGGAAACTACCAAAGAAGAAAGAAATTAGATTTTTTAGTCTTGGTCAAAATTTTCAATAATGAAAAATGTAATATATTCTACATTTTACTTTATTATTAATGTACATTTAACTCAAAATTTCATTTAAAAAAAAAACCGTCGATTTTTTTTATAAATATTTTATGTATGTCCAATTGTTTTTTAAAAAACATTATGGTCAAAAGATACAATAACTTATTTCAAAAATACAAAGGGATGTTTAAAAAAACATGCGAAATCCTAACCTCCGTGAAGCTCTAATATTCAAAATGACTTGGTGGCTTCCCAAAAACCCAATTTTAGACTAACAGTCAAACAACCAAACTAACTTCCCTGGACTAAAATTAGATATAGAGTATAAAATGAACTCACCACAAATCGAGTACTATCACAGGATCAGTGTTCTGCTTGTCGTTCTCGGAATTGTAGAAGATGATCTTCCTGCTGGAGACGACCACGTATTGGCGCTTCCAGCCGTGCCTCCTGATGTTCTGCTTCGACGGGATCGAGAGCCAGCCTTCGAACACCGACTCGGAATTGATTTCGTCGCCGTCGTTGTCCGCCGAACTCAGCGAAGCCGTCTCGCTGCTCACCGCCAGCTTCAGCTGCAGCTGCTCGATCTCAGAGTCTTTGCTGTCCAGTTCCATCTGAAGGCGCTGGCGGGCAGCCACTTCTTCGTTGAATTGCGCCTAAAAGTTTTGCAATATAAACTTCTTTTCAAAACGAAATGACTTTTTTGTTTCTCGAACTATTTTATTTTGGTCTGTGTTGTCTGCTAGCCTCACCCTCTGGCAATTCATGCTATACAGGGTGTATCACGGTCGATGGTAGGTTAGACGTTTATATGGAGAACGGCAAAAGATATCGAATTGAAATTTTTATAGCAATTATAATATCATTTAAACTATTTTTCTAAATTATTTTAAACAAAATTCCTCTTCCGGTTTTAACGGAAGTGATATCAACTTTGTTATTTTAAATGGATCATCATAATTTTTTTTACATTTTTAAATTCCTACTATCATTCCTTATAAAATGGCTATACCATGTCCTATACCTAAACTTAATAGTTTTTGAGTTATTAATCTTTTTTGTAAAATTTGGTCAGTTTCACCCTCAACAAAAAGAGCGTATAACTTTTTTAATATAAGGTTTGTTGATATTCGGTTGGATTTATTGAAATCCTAAAGCACTGTTTTAAAAGTTCCATGTAAATTATTATAATATTTCTAAAAAGATACTTGTAAAAAAATAATGTGAATGTAGCTAACTTAAAACAACAATAACTTTTTTATTCTCAATGGAACGCCCTATATATTTTTACATAATTAAATATGAAATTATAATACCTTTTCATTGATATAACCATTCCCTATACCTAAAGTTAATATTAAGAAATATATTTTACAATTAACCTAATAATATGAAGAAAAACTGATAAAATGTTGCTTATGTGTATTAATTTGGTATGAATAACAAAACTTTCCCGATATTTATTATTATTAAAATAAAGGAAAATAACTACTCAAAAGAAGTTGAAAATATTTATGCTTAATGGATAGGTAACCAAATTAAAGGTACAACATACAAAAAGTTTCTGCATTTTCTAGCAATAAGTTTGTTATATTGTCAATGAAGAATAAACAAGTTCATCAAAACTTCATTTGAATAGTGATTTTTAACTATTTTATTAACAATTTTTGTTAATTTAAAACATTATTTTTATTTAATTAATGTATTTTTAACCTTATTAGTAAATAATAATATACCTTTTAATGAAGGTACCGGGCGTTCAATCAGACCGTTTATACACATACCTACAAAACGACTTATTTACTTTTTGTTTCTGTGCTCTCTAAAAATAAATTAGTCAAAAATGACTAAATTAATAATTATTAGTAGCTGCTTTTAAACTTGTACCATGGTTAACCATGAAATATCATGGTATACCAAAAATTATTAAAGTGAAGCAGTTTTTGAGATATAGTCAATTCCATATTAAATGGAAAATTGACTATATCTCAAAATCTGTTTTACTTTCTTAACTTTTGACATTTTCAGATTCAGGGGACAATTTTACATAAGAATTGACTGTTAAATTTTGAGATACCATGGTATTCCATGGTTAACAATGGTACAAGTGAAAAAGCAGCCACTAACTATTAAATTAGTCATTTTTGACTAATTCATTTTTAGAGAGTGCTTTTATTTACAAACACCGAAAAAAAATATTCTTATTATTAATATTATTTTCTTGTCATATGATTTTTAAAACTCATTCGTAGATTACACTAGTATTGTTTATTAATTTAAATTAATATTAATATTTATTTAAAAATTTGAAATACATAATAAATAATAGGAATTGTAAAATATCTTTGTTATTATTAACTTTAGGTATAGGGAATAGTTATATCAATGAAAAGGTATTATAATTTCATATTTAATTATGTAAAAATATACAGGGCGTTCCATTGAAAATAAAAAAGTTATTGCTGTTTTAAGTTAGCTACATTCACATTGTTTTTTATCAAGTATCTTTTTAGAAATATTAAAATAAATTACATGGAATCTTTAAAAGAATGATTTAGGATTCCAATAAATCCAACTGGATATCAGCAAACCTAATAATAAAAAAGTTATAAGCTCTTTTTGTTGAGGGTGAAACTGACCGAATTTTACAAAAAAAATTAATAACTCAAAAACTATTAAGTTTAGGTATAGGACATGGTATAGCCATTTTATAAGGAATGATGGTAGGAATTTAAAAATGTAAAAAAAATATGATGATCCATTTAAAATAACAAAGTTGATATCACTTCCGTTAAAACCGGAAGAGGAATTTTGTTCAAAATAATTTAGAAAAATAGTTTAAATGATATTATAATTGCTATAAAAATTTCAATTCGAAATCTTTTGCCGTTCTCCATAAACGTCTAACCTACCATCGACCGTGATACACCCTGTACCGGTATGAAGCTCACGGTTCTTCAAGTGAATTTCCTACAGGGTGATATGTTAAACGGTGAAAAATTTCAATAACTTCATCCAAGCCCCGTTTGTAGAAAAATAATTTTTTTCCCGTTTTTACTTTGAAATAATGAAGTATTAGGTCTTACCTTAAAATGTTTTTCAAATTTTTCGAATTGGAATCTTAGCAACAAAAATATGATTTTTTTTTCAAAAGAGTACATTAACGGCTTTATTCGTAGGCAATACACTCAGTCTTTTTAGGAACAAGAAAATAAGATGGTGAAATAATGTTCCTTAAATAATTCTGAACAAGCGACAAGCAACAAACTTCCATTATTTTCAAAGGTCCTAAGCAAAGACCACTTTTTCAAAATAACATTTTGGTGAAAATTTGCGAAAACTAAACCTAAACCGATATTTACGTTCGTGACATGTTTTCTTCATAATTTTGACCTCCTGATTGTGATTCAGTTGTCAAATTTAAGTTTCAGATAAAACCAAAATCACCAAAAATCAAGATTCGAAAACAATTCCCGGCTGTTAAATGTCTCGATAAAATACGATTGCTGGTTTTTACTGTTTTTTTACTGTGTTTTGCATCTTTAGTACGTTATTATCATCTCGCTGAGTGATCAAATAGAGGATCAAATAAAAATTACACTCATGTGCAAAATAATCGATCCACACAAATTTTCGATGAATTTCAATCGCAAATAACTTTTTTATTTGATGTCGGATTTAAACGAATATTAAAGAATATTGTAGATAAATTAATGGACAATCACTCAAATTTAAAAAAAATACTAAAAAATAGACGTACGTTTATAATATACAGGTTTAAACAAAAATATGTTTTTTACCATAAGTTTAAGACACTCTGTAGAGTTTTGTTTTTGGTTTTCTTGATATATTTATTTTTGTGGAAAATATGGATTTTTTTGAAAAACATTGCAATTTCCAATATTTTTCCTGTATGAAGAACTAAGGTTGCTATGGTCCATCCATAGCCTATGGAGAATGACAGTGACAGTTTTGTTGAATCATCCCATACTTGGACATGTCATATACAGCTTTCAAAAGCTATCAAATTGTTTTTTGTAAAATAATGTGTTAATTTTGAGGTGTCTTCTTACTTTTAAAAATGTCTCCGACTGATGTTGCCCTTTGTACTTTACTTCTTATGACGTTTAAAACACTTGCCACGTAATACTGTGACCGTCAATCCTGGATTAAATTAATAGCTCTGGCAACATCAGTCGGAGACATATTCATTTTATAAAGTAAGAAGACACCTCAAAATTTAAACATTAATTTGCAAAAAACAATTTGATAGCTTTTGAAAGCCGTGTATGACATGTCCAAGTATGGGATGATTCAACAAAACTGTCACTGTCATCCTCCATAGCCTATGGATGGACCATAGCAACCTTAGTTCTTCATACAGAAAAATATTGGAAATTGCAATGTTTTTGAAAAAAATCCATATTTTCCACAAAAATAAATATATCGAGGTGAACCAAAAACAAAACTGTTAAGAATAGATGTGACTTGATAAATAAAACTTAATTTAGAACAATATACGGTTTTGCCACTCTACAGAGTGTCTTAAACTTATGGTAAAAAACATCTTTTTGTTTAAACCTGTATATTATAAACGTACGTCTATTTTTTAGTATTTTTTTAAAATGTGAGCGATTCTCCATTAATTTATCTACAATATTCTTTAATATTCGTTTAAATCCGACATCAAATAAAAAAGTTATTTGCGATTGAAATTCATCGAAAATTTGTGTGGATCGATTATTTTGCACGTGAGTGTAGTTCTTGAAAAACATTTAAAACGCATTATGAAGGATATTCTTGATTTTTTCAGTTTGCTTGTGTTTTTCCAAATTTCGAAGTTTTTTTGCATCAACCTATCTTACCCAAGTAACTTCCATTCTTCCTTTAAATGATTAAAATATCAATGCCAGACTTTGCTGCAGCTACGGGAATTAACATCTCCAAATCAACGGTTCGCATAAGATTGCACGAAACGGGACGCAAGTGTGGCTTTTGGAGGTGGAGGAGTTACTGTTTGGGGTGGAATGGCGATGATTGAAAAGAGTGAATGCTGAGAGATATAGAGATTTGGTTGTTAGTGATATCGAGGTCCCTTATGCTCAAAATGTTGCCAATAATTGGTGTTAGTGGACGACAATGCCCGTCCGCACCGCGCCAATATCGTAAATGAGTATTTAAGGGACCACCATATTGAGAAAATGAATTGGCCACCTTTGTCTCCGGATATGAATCCTATTGAGCATGTGTGGAGCAGGATGAAACTGAAGATGAAAGAGAGGGAAGGACGAATGGAGAATTTGGATGAATTGGTAGTTGATATTCAGGAAGAATGGAATACCCCAGAAATTTATAAGGAACTTGGTCTAGGGAATGCCCAGGAGGGTTAACGAATTATTACAGGTTAGAGGAGTGCCAACGAAATATTAAAAGTTATTATTGTTATTATTTGTTACATTTTTCTGTTGAATGTTGTAGTTTTGATTATGATTATATCTTCGCATAAAATTTTCCTAAATGAACAACAATATTTTTATTTAACTTTATTACCAATTAGGTAGGTACTTATCAGTGATAAGTTATCACTAGTGTGCAATGTAAATGTAAGTTAAATGTAACATTATCATAACCACTCAAATAATAAATTTCAGTAATTTCCCAATCTTCAAATGGCATTTTAATCATAAATATGCAAAAAACACGCCAGCAATCGGATTTTATTAAGACATTTAACAGCGGGGAATTTTTTTCGAATTTAGATTCTTGGTGATTTCGTTTTTATCTGAAACTTAAATTTGACAACTGAATCACAATCAGGAGGTCAAAATTATAAAGAAAACAGGTCACGAACGTAAATATCGGTTCAGGTTTAGTTTTCTTAAATTTTCACCAAAATGTTATTTTGAAAAAGTGGTCTTTGCTTAGGCCCCTCTGAAAATAATGAAAGTTTGTTGCTTGTCTCTTGTTCAAAATTATTCAAGGAACAATCTTTCACCATTTTGTTCTTGAAAAAGACCGAGTGTATTGCCTTCAAAAAACCCTTAAATGTACTCTTTTGGAGAGAAAAAATCATATTTTCGTTGCTAAGATTCCAATTCGAAAAATTTGAAAACCTTTTCAAGGTAAGACATTTTTCACCGTTTTACATATCACATTGTAGGAAATTTATTGAAAGAACCGTGAGCTTCATTCTATAGCCTGAATTGCCCGAGGATGGGGCTAGCAAACAACACAGACCAAAATAAAATCGTTCAAGAAACAAAAAAGTTATGTCGATATGATTTGAAATAAAAATTGAATTACCTTAATATCCTGTATATCATTTTGGTGTTTTACAATAGTTTGATTTAATTTCTCCTTTTCTTGACTTAATTCTTGCTGCATCTTTTTCAACTCCTTCTCTTTCCTTCTGAGATCGGAATTCGAAATCTTCGACTTGCTCTTGGTGTTATTCAAATCCTTTCTGTTCATAATTTCGTGCAACTTATTAACAGCTTGTTGCTTAAGCAACTGTTCCGTTTGAAGCTTGTGTTGCAACTTATCGAACTCCTTGAACTTCGCCATGTTTCTGTCGAACTCGTCTTGGACTCTTTGCAAGTCTCTCTTTAGTTCTTCATTTTCCTTTTCGCTCAGCTCGCAGATCTTCTTTCCGCTAGCCTCCCAGTCCCTCAACTGACCGATCACGCCTTCCTTAGCGTTGATCTCGTTGCGATACTTCGTCATTATGTCCTTCAACTCCAAATCCTTCATCGTCCTTTCCTTCTCCAAATCCGCGATGGTTTCTTCGGCGATGGACCTGGCCAACGCTTCCGAGTCGGCCCTGGCCAAAGCCAACTGACACTGATGCTTCAAAGAGGCCCTCTCCTCCTCGAACTCCCGATTGACGCGGTTCTTCTCGTCGAGCTCCTCCTTTAGCTCTTGCGTCTGAGTTTTGTAGAGCGTAGCGAAATACTGCTCAGCTTCCAAGGAATCTTGCAGCTCTTTCATTTGCAGCTGATCCATCTGCCAGTTTCTCTTCACTTTCACAAAGTCCTCTTCAATCAGTTTCTTGGTCTCTTGAATGGCCTGCAGCTCGGCCAATAAGGCAGTTTCTTTGGATTTTAGTTTGGCCAGTCCGCCTGCTTGCTGAGCAAACTCAGATTGCAGGATGCTTTTCTTTTGCTGTTCTTGTTCGATTTGGCTGTGCAGCGCTTTTACTTTTTCCATTTCTTGGCGGTATTCGCCCTCTAGTTTTTGCAATCTCTGCTGAATTTGTCGATAGTCTACTGAAAGCATGGAGATTTGGCGTTCCTTTTCTTGAGAATTGAGATCGGCTTTTTGTCTAGCGCTTTTTTCCTCGTTCAGTTTTGATTGTAAGGCTAGAAAGAGTTTAAAATTATTATATAAATTGTAGTTCTAGTGAAAATCGTCCTTTTTTACGCATCTTCCTTAAAAGTTATTTCATATTTTTTTACAAACCTTTATTTAGTATGTACAGGGTTAACGCGAGAATAATGGTTGCCATGGATAAAAAACTTTTACCCTAAAATAAACACATTTGGAACCAGAGCTGGGAAGGCTACTTCTGAATCTAGTTACTTTTCTAAGATACTTTAAACAAAATAACTTAGTTACCTCTGGTAACTAGATACTTTGAGTTAAAAGTATCTTTAGTTACAAAATACTTTAAAAAGTATCTAAGATACTATCCAAAAGTATCTAAGATACTAAACTGATCGAAAAAAGTTAAGCATATTTTTGAACAAAGTTGAAATCAAACTGGATACCGACTGATACCTAAAATGCGTTTTTTCGACTTCGTTCTTTTTGTCTAAGATTCTTTCATTTTTACGTTTTTATTACCAAATATTAAAATAAAGTATACAAGGCGTATACAATTGTATCGTTAAATTTATGTTTTGGTCAAAATATCTTAATATGCTTAACTTTATTCGATTAGTTTATATGAAAGTATCCAAGATCACAGACCACCAAAACAAATGGACGGCGCATTGCCATTCAATAACAATGCTTTGTTTGCGGTCAACAAACGGTCACAGTCTAAGCGTCAAATTGGAGATAGAATTTTATGTTTTCTTCCAGTGACGTCAACAAACGGTCACATTCTAAGCGTTAGATTGGCGATAGAATTTTATGTCTTCTTCCAGTGACGTATTGGGATTTAAAAAATAATAAGTAGGTAGGTACTTACAAACGATATTTCCATGTATTGTTATTTTTAGTAAAATATTATGTATTTAAACTTCATAATTAACTTAAACACGATAGAAATACACAAACGAAAACACAAAACAACAAGCTGTCAACCTTTTTCTATGCTGTCATATATGGCAAATTTACCAACGTTGTTAAAATTTAATTTTAATAATTATAAAATGATTTACTTTCTTTAAATACAGAAAAATATCTAAAGAAAATGATGAACAAATCCTTTTTACAATTTTTTTATTATTCAACCGAATTACTGGTAATTATTAATGTTCATTATGTTATGATGAACGTCCAAAAAGGCGTGTAATCTATACTTCTGACAACGTTGGAAGCCGTGTTTCTTTCGACGGTGTTTAGAATGTGAAACTATGCTTTACTCGCTTTTTAAACGTAAACAAATCCGTCCATTTGTTTTGGTGGTCTGTGTCCAAGATACTTTTGAGTAACTAAGATACTTTTAAGTAACTAAGATACTTGTGAGTAACTAAGTTACTTTTAAGTATGAATAAAAACTATAAAATTATGAAAATTCATCAAGTTGTAGGTTAGGTAATTACTTTGAATCATTCTGGAATTCCCCCAATTTTCTCTAAGAAAGTATCTAAGTTACACTGAAAAGTATCTGTTACTTTAAAAAGTATCTTAGTTACTTTAAAAACTATTTTAGTTACTTTAAAGTATCTAAGTTACTTGAATGTATCTTAGTTACTTTACCGAGTAACTTAGATACTTTTTTAGGTACAAGTTACATACTTTTCCAAATTAACTTAGTTAAAGATACTTTCTGTCCAATATAAAAAGTATCTAAGAAAATTTAAGTATCTAAATTACTTTCAAGTAACTTTTTTTTCAAGCTCTGTTTTGGAACACATATATTAGCGGTTTGTTAAAAATTAATAATAAAAACATGGTTATTTCAGGACGTGAGTTATTTATCCATAGTAACTATGATTTTTATTAAGCCAGGTTTTTGGTTCAAGTATATGTTATATATAAATTATAAATATTTAAAAATATACAGGATGTTCCATTTAAAAAAAATTTGTCAAAAAATATATAAAAAACACCCTGTACATAAGGATATGCCAAAAAAGGCGATATCGTTTGTTTTTCGCTCACATGAAAATTCCATAGAAAACTTCAAAATAAAAATTCACAATTTTAATTTTAAAAGGAGCATCATTGGGTTTTAAAATTTCCCATAGGAATAACACAAACGAATATTTTTTTCAAACCTGTCAAAACCAAAAATCGTTATAACTTTGTTATTTCTGGGAATTTTGAAAAAAAAAGTAAGTTTTATATGTAAACATACACATTTATCTACTTTCATCCAATTTGTGATTCGTTTTGCCTACTAGATTTTTGAGTGGTGGTATACCATCACCATCTTCATTATTACACTATGATAGTTCGAATTACTAACATTGAGTGTTGTCCACCTATATTATAATACCTAATTTTTGGCTGCTGATTTCAAAAATGACAATCGTTTTGCTCCAGGACGTATGGGATTCGAAATAATTGCGTTATACAATGCTCTGCCCAATTATCTCAAAATGTAAGTTTTTCATTAATATTTTGATTATTTATTAAATTATTTTGCCTTAAATCTATTTTGGATGTTCAGTATATTTTTGACGTTTTTTGTCAAAAATATACAGGGACTCCATACAAAGTCATCGGTAGATAAATGTCAAATATAAATTTTTTTGTTCCATTGTAGCCATATATTAATATAATTATAGTAGTATTTTATAAGGGATATTTAATAAAGCACTTTTCTGCAGAGAAGTGCTTTATTAAATACAAAAACTAAAATTATAATGCTTTAATGGTAAAAAGTATCATTTTTTTAAATTTTTGTGTCGTTTTTTTAATTACTAATTAAATTTAAAAAGCAACAAAGTAAATGTGTTTTGGTATAAGCATTATTCTTCGACTATTATTTGATATGTTTTAATCTCGAATCTTATTTATTAAGTCTTATCAAATTTAATATCAAATTGAAGTATAAAGGCGCCTTTATCTACTTTATCGTTCAAGCACACTAAAGTGCATCTATTATATAATTATTGACATTCAAAATTTAAACTTTAAATTGTATTTTTACTTGAAAGTAATTTTAAGAACCAAAAATAAAAAAAGAGCAGGAAATGGAAGTGGTAATGGAAGAGGCAGAGAAAGAGAAAGGTGACGAACATTTATGTCGTCGTTGTAAATTTGTTTTGTTTCTGTTGCGGTACCTTTACGCCCAAGAAAAACCAACGCAATATTTCATTACAAAATTTTATGAGATATATCTACTACTTTTTTTGCAGGAATATTAAATGGACCTGATATACGACGTTTAAGGAAAGATCAAGCATTCAAAAATGCTCTCAAAGTTGACGAGCTTGTCGCAAATGGCAGTGTTAAAGCTGTCATTGAAAATGTTCTTGGTTCATATCGGGACTAAAATTGGCGCCAATTCATTAAAAAAATGCTTACTGTTTTGTAAAAAATTAGCGTTAATATGTCATTTAAAATACATTTTCTTTTGATAAATTTGCCGAACTGATGAACATGGAGAACGATTTCACAAGGTAACTGCAAATCTAAAGTATTGGTAGATATCTATGGGTATAGCGGAAAGAAGTTGGATTCATTGCTAGGATACATTTGCTGGAATTTGCAGCAAAAGATGTACGACGATGATGAGGATTAAGCACAATAATACTATAATCCAATTCGATATTTGATACGATTTAATAAATTTAAGGTAGAAAAAAGCAAAATTATGCAATGCATTAAATTTTGAGGGCTTAGTTTGGATAAAAAATACTGAAACTGGTTTACTTTGCTGCCCTTTCAATTTAATACTTAGAGAAAAACTAATGACATTTTTGAAATCAGCGGCCCAAAATTAGTCAAACTAAGCTGGAGTACTTAATTTCTAAAACTATCATAGTGTTATATTCAAATAAATAAATATTAATAAATTGTTTACCCTTTATAATTCTTTCCATTAGTTCTGCATGTAACATTAGAAAATTATGATGAATATTTTTTTTAAGTAAAACCATAAATAACATACCTTTGACAACTTCCATGTTAGCTTCTTCCTTGTTGAGCATTCTGCTTTTCTCGGTTTCTTCATGCGCTCTGACCTCCTGCTGGTACATGCTCTTGGCCGTTTTCAACTCCAAATCCAAACCGGCGCATTCCTTCTCCAAATAAGACACCTTCTCGATCAACTGCGTGTTGTCCGCCGATATCTTGTTCTCCTTCTGGACGCTCCTCTCCAATTCCGCGTTCAAAGATTGAATTTTGTTCTCCAAAACCATCTGTTGATCGGAGGCCTGCGATCGCGAGTTCTTCTCTTGCATCAGCTGCGTTTGCAGCGAGTCCACTTCGGATTGCAGGGCGTCTCTCGTAAGCTGCAACGCTTGAATTTTGCCGTAGTATTCGTTCACTTTCAGTTCCGAATTGGATTTGGCCATCGTAAGCTCGTTTGCCTGCTTGCGCAGCTTTTGGCAGTTCTCCGTTTCCACTTTGAGCTTCTCTTGCATGTCGTTCACTTGCTTCTCCAGCATGTGTATTTTGTCGTTGTTCATTTCTCTCGTTCTCTTGATCTGCTCGTCTTCGAACCTACCCTTGAGTTCCGACAGAATTTTCTCCGTCTTCCTCCTCACTTCGCTCTCGCACTCGGCCTTCCTCTGCACCTCTTTGTAGTTGTGCTTCAAAATCGCGATGTCTTTTTCGTATTTGGCAGCTTCGTCGCGTATTTCCGTTTCCCTTTGAGCAACGCTGTCCAGTTGAGCGATGAGTATTCGTTGCTTGTTCTCCAAGGTTTCCACTTTGCCGCGCTCTTGCTCCAGCAAGTTTTCCAGTTTGGCCACGTCTTTGTTTTTGTAATGCTTGGCTCCGTCCACGCTGTCCGAGCTGAGCAGCTGATAGTCGGAATTGTAAGTGAACCCGACGAAGGGCAAATGGTTGCCGACGAAGTTGTTGGGCACCGGGAAGATCTCTTCGGGGCTTTCGTCCTTCTCGTAATCGTCAAAGTTGGATGTGTCGTCGTCGCCGCTCAACTCGGGCACCACTGGAGGAGCGGTGTCGCGCAGATTTTCGAACGTCCATTGCTCTTTGTTGATGAAGAACGGGTGGTTTTTAATCTCCTCCACGCTGTTCCTACCCAAACGTTTGGTTCTGTCGCAGAGCAAGCCTTGAATCAGCGACTTGGCCTCGTTGGAAATCTCCACGTCTTCAGGGAAAGTCAGGTTGTTTTCGTGGTACATAATCTTGTTGTACGTGCCCAACAAACTATCAGCGTAGAAGGGAGTTTCGCCAACCAACATCTCGTACACGAATATCCCTACGGACCACCAATCGCACTCCCTCCCGTAAATTCCTTTGCCGTGACTTTGCAGGACCTCCGGGGAAATGTAGTCGGGCGTGCCGACAACGTTGTTGGATCTGACGAGGCCGTCCTCGTCCATTCGCATGCACGTGCCGAAGTCGGCCAGTTTCAGGTGGCCGTACTTGTCCAACAGCATGTTGTCCGGTTTGACGTCCCGATGAACGAATCCCATCGAGTGGATGACGTCGAGAGCGAGAACGACCTCCATCGTGTAGAATTTCGCCCAAGTTTCGGGGATATCGTAGTTCGACATCAGGTTGACGATGTCGCCACCGGGCATGTAGTCCATCACCATGTAAAGGTGTTTTGCATCCTAATTTAGAAATTACACAATATAAGTAAAGTAGTAGTACCGTAAACACGGGTGACTTTAGCCCTTGTATGAAAAAATTAACATTTATAATTTGTTGGTCTAAACCTGTCAATTGAGCGATTCTATTGTGTTTATATTACAGGAAAATCAGTGTTTTAAAAAAATAAATGGGATTTATTACACTTAAAAGTTGTATATACAGGGTGTTATGTAATTAATGTTATATATTAAAATGGGTTGTTCCTTAGGGTCCATAAAGAAGCACCTAAAACTTTTTTTCTAAATTCCAAAGACTAAAAATAATTTATAATAACCTTTATCCTACCAAAAAGTACGCCACTGATCGACTAGGAACTTTAGGGTAATCTGGTTGCCTAATTTAATTTATTATGTTATGGTTTGTAACCCTGGTTAATAACAACAGCGTTTCCAAATTCTGTCAAAAAAGTTGACAAACATTGTTTAAATTTAGCTTAATTACAAAAATGATAAAATTAACAATGCAAATTGTCAATTTGGCGTTTTTATTAATTGTTGGTTATGTCATTTTTGTACTGAAGGTAAATTCAAACTAAATCTGCCAACTTTTATGACAGAATCTAGTGCATTTTTTTCAAATTTTAGGTTATGTGCTCAAATTGTAAATATTTTAACTAAGGGAAGTGCTTTTGGATTTATTTACACAAATTAATTGTTTAAAGTTTAACCTGTGAACTGGTCCCAATTTCATCTGAGTAAACAGAAAGAAAAAAACCGAGGAAAAAATTAATTTTGTGGTTATGGATTTTTTAAAATAGGTACTAAATTAATTTTCTAATCATTGCTTAAGCTAATAGCTGGATGAGTAAAGGGTAATTAGGGCATAAAACTTGTATTTATTGAGTTTTTATTTATTTTTTGCAAGAAAATTGTTTAGTAACAATTTTTTTACAACTGGCAACGCGCAGCTACTTTGTTGGTTGGTATCTATGTCCTCACAGAACACAAGTGTGCAGAGATAAACCAAGTGTGTAACCAGTGGCGTATCACAAAAAATATAAAAAACTTCTAATGCCTATTTCTTCTTTATCTTTGGAAAAATATTTTTTTAAATATTTTTCCTTTACTCCTTATGTCAAAAGGTATTCAGTATTTTAATATATAACATTAATTACATAACACCCTGTATTGCATTAGTGCAAAACTCTTAAAAATACACGCGTTTCAATTTCTATATTAAGCGCAATTCTTTGGAATGATGATCCTTGGTTAACTACAGGTCGATTTTTTATTATTTTTATCGGTAATTCCTTGCAATTGCTATTGTCTCAGAACTGCCAAACCACTGAGTTTAACAAAATTGACTGAATATTTTTTAAAGAAAATTGAATATTCTACAAAAAAGGTTTAATTGAAATTTCCCGTCAGATGAACCGTTTCCATAAAATCATGCCTTAAAAATTGGTATAGTTTTACATTTTCATCTTTTAACTTTGGAATTTTGTAATTCATGTAAAAATCAGTATCCAGAAAAAAACCAATGAGTATTCTTATGGGAAATCAAATGCTTTACAAAAAAGCCTCTTAACATTTTTAGCTAAATTTACTCAATCAAAAGTTATTCGAGGTTAAAGTTGAAGTCAAAACGAAATTCTTGTTTTTTCCTCTGTAGATTTATTTTTTTACGGGTGATAATTTGATTTTTTTTCTTTATAAATGTGTATTATATAACTAATTAACAATTTCCAATAAAAAAACAACATGATTGTTATTATTTAAACGGTAACAGTGAAAATAGTATTTTTGAAAGAAAATAGCTTCTCAAAGCGAAAAATTCGAATGTGTTATTTTTTTTTTAATTTTCAGTAATTTTATCAATAACATAAAGATTATCATCGATAAAAGAATTCAAGTTTTTAACTGACCCAAAAAAAATCTAGATCGAAAAAAACAAGAATTTCGTTTTGACTTCAACTTTAACCTTCAATAACTTTTGATGGAGTAAATTTAGCCAAAAATCTTAAGAGACTTTTTTTGTAGAGCATTTGATTTCCCAAAAGAATATAGGTTTTTTTCCAGGTACTTATTTTTACATGAATTACAAAATTCCAAAGTTAAAAGATCAAATTGTAAAACTATAACAATTTTTAAGGCATGATTGTAAGAAAACGGTTCATCTAACGGGAAATTCCAATTAAACCTTTTTTGTAGAATATTCAATTTTCTTTAAAAAATATTCAGTCAATTTTGTTAAACTCAGTGGTTTGGCAGTTCTGAGACAAAAACTCGCTCAGGAAAAAAAATCTAAAATTGCGATGATAGACCTCTTCATATTAATAATTATTATGGACTCAAACTTTCACCATAATTTTTTTTGTCACCTCAAACAATATTTTCGATATACTTTACAAAAAAAAATTTGGCACAGTCTAATATTTATATTTTTGAAATTTGTGTATTTTAAAAAAACTATATGTTATTTGATCAAACTAATCGTAATCACACTTACTTATTAGAATAGAATTATTACTAATAAAACAAACGAAAATTAACACTGTCTATAGTGGTATTATCAACCATGCCTTACTTTTATATAACATGCTTCCTAATATATTAGGCCTTAAAAATCTTAATATTAGAAAATTTAAACCAGCATTAAAAGAATATCTAGTAACTAAATGTGACTATAGCGTAAATGAATTTTTAATGTAAATCTTAAATAAAATGTATACTTTTTATACTCTGTATTTGTTAATAATAATTAAGTGTTAATTTAATATTATATCTACATATAGGTTTATTTTTTTATATTTAGTTTTTAAAGTTTTTTTGTTCTGACTTGTTCTCTGTTGTTATACAATCTTTTTTGAACTAATAAAGATATTTCTATTTCTATTGATTTAGACAATTTTATCTTATACAGGGTGAGTCGTTTAACTTGAAACTTTGAAATTTATCAGTTGGTATGCATTTTAAGAAAAAATGTTTAAAATAAAAATTAAATGAGTACTAAAATTGGTCCTCATACTCTCCTCCTTATAGGGGGAACAGGGGGTAACTTTAAAATTTCCAATAAAACATTGCAGATTCGGCTAAAAATAGGTAAATTTTGTCTAAAACATTTTTTCATATTTTTAATAGATGGCGATGTAATGATTCTGCAATAATTTTTCTATAAAAATATCACTTTTTTTGGTATTAATTATCTTATTAAATTAAATCTGATTTTTTAACTACCCACGATTTTTAACTAATATTTCAGTTCCCTTTGGTTTAAGTTTTATACATTATTTCATTCGGTGATAATTATCAATTGCGCACCATGGTCACTTTTTACCTGCCAGCATTAAATCCTTTAATTTAAAGGATTATTGTACTATTTTTAATAAAAATATTTCATTTAAAGTAAACATTTGCAAAACAAAAAGACCTCATTTCGTTAAGCAGTTACTCATAATGGAATTTTTAACAGTGGAAGAAAAAATAGAAATGATTTTGATTTATGTAGAAGCAGGCAGGAATCTTGATGATGCTGTTAATATCTACGCTCAGCGTTTTCCGGATAAAATTCGATCACGTACTTCATTTCACCGTACAGTCGAGCAGTTTACTACAAACAGGAGTGTTCAACCGAAAAAAAAGAGTTCGTCGAGCAACAGTCACAGGTGGAAATAATGAAATTAATGTATTAGCAGCAACGGCCGCTAATACTCATGCAAGCACACGAGAATTATCTAGAGCCTTCGGTGGTGTAGTAGTTAGCACTGCGGACTACAAGCCGAGAGGTCGTGGGTTCGAATCCCACCAGGGGTATGGCTGTTTATTTGTGTTTGTTATTGTGTACTTCTGTAATTGGGCCTGGTGCCTGTTGAAGGCACATTAAAAATAATAAAATAAATAAAATAAATAAAATTTGGGAATTTCCCAGAGCAGTGTTAGCAGAATATTAAAACGAAATAAATAAATTAATTTAAAAAATAAAACCAAGTATTTTATTCAAAAATTATTGGAGAATCGTATACAGAAGAAAAATTGATTTTTTTTATTACAGCGCCATCTATTACAAATATGAAAAAATAATACAGATATTTGCATCAACCATGTTTTATATACAGGTTGTCCCCACGTCTTAACAACAAATTATTTGATGAATTTTATAAAGATTTTGTTTTTACCAAATTTAAATATTTACAAAATTAAGCAAGATACAGACTGTATAGAATCAAGTAAGTAAGGCTGGAGACAAGGATGACAAATTATATTCTGATCAGAGAAAAAGTTGCCAGGTTGTTTTAAATCAGAAGAGAACGATTATAATTATTTAATAAATAATTAAATTTTATTTATTTGAAACTTTAAAAATATCAAAAAAATTAATATGTCAAAAATAATTTGATTTAGTTAATTTTCTTACTTTTAATATTAAAAAATAAGAAAAACAACCCTTTTAGGAAACAATAATAGCATATGGCAACAGCGCGGCATGCAGCCAGAAACAAGGGCATGCAGTTTGATCTACTGTGTTTGTTCAGTAGCTCCGACGCTGTCGTAGGGAAATGTGTATAGTTTTTACGAAATACATTTTCACCATTAACTGAACGTTCTAAGCATATGTTTAGAGTAGACTAATTTTTACCACTAAAACTTTGCACCTTCTAAGAACCTGCCTATAGGCCAGTTAGAAAATTCTTAGGATCATGCTATATGTCTTTTAAGAAGAAATATAGCATGATCCTAAGAATATTCTCACTGGAAGGTTTAAAAAAGAATAAAGAATCAGGGAGAGTTAAGTATAAAAAGTATTATTTTTTGGACACCGAGGATATAAAATAATTTTTTCACGATTCAAATAAAAAAGTTTTAAAATATTAACAAAAATAACAAATTTAAACCCTTTCAATCAAAAACTAATTTTAATTTATATTTTGTTTAAGGACTGTGTTTTTTGTTGTTGAATGTAGTGTATGATAGCTAAGCTATAGGTATAACTACATCCATTTGGGTAAGAAATTGTATTTTTTTGCACAGTAAGGCTTCTTTGCCTAAAATTTCGAAATTTTCTAATATAAAGTATTTATTCAAAGGCAAATTTAAAAATATTTATTTTTTATAAAAATATTAACACTTTCTTATTTTTATTGAAATAAAAACTGTCATAAATGCCTACTATACCCCTTAAAGTGAAACAATTTATTTAATGTATAATGTGTTGCCTAATAGTTGTCAAATGTATATAAATATAAATTTATTTCATAACATGGATTAAATGATTAAAATTTACAAAATAGGGGCCAATAAATACTTATTTTTTGCTTATATAAAAAAATATTTCAAAAAACTTGCATTTTTCAATGTTGGCAACGCGCTTTATCACGCCATTCAGTTCAACCTTCTTTATCTTTGATTTAGTCTACAACAACTTTATCTAGTTCATAGAAATGATATGAATCCATCATATAATCTAATCTATGGTTGACAATTGTCGTCTTTATCGAGTGTTGTGTATTTGTTGTTCAATACCTATATTTCAGGTGTTCCTGCAGCTTTTGTTTTCGAAGAAAAACATTGGTTTGTTTCCAGTTTTTGTTCAAGGTAAGGTTTATGCATGTTTGTCTGTTATTTGACGGTATCAAATCAAATTTCATTTGATATGTTTTTACACAATCAATTTTGTCTACGTTTATATAAAAATCGAAAGAATATTCATAAACATTAAATACATTGAGGCTGTAGATAAACTTTGGGGATTCCCTTGTAATAATTGTAAGGTCTTAGGGAATCCCCTAATTATTATATGGTCTAAGGGGATTCCCCATGAGATAATATTAGCCATGATATGATTGATATACAGGGTGTCTGGAAAATTGTAAACATAACATGTCACACGCAAAAAATACTCAATTTGGAAGCTAAATTATTGTCAAATTAACTTAATACAACTTTGCACTAAAACATTGATTCTATTAAAGTTATTTAAGCCTGATTTTCCTTCCTTCCTCCCGTAAAAGATGATCAATACGAAAACCGTGGTGCTGTTTATAGATTCCCGTACGGTAATATATAAACAGCACTACGGTTTTCGTATTGTTCATCTTTGATCCTTCCTTTTTAATTATAAAATTATTGCGATTAATCCTTTTAAGTGAAAGGACATTCTTAAAAAAATAAAATAAAGAAAATAAAATTCAATTTTTCAAACCCTTTTTGTATTTTATTTTAAAATTTACATTAATTTACATCTGTTGGTATTTTCTAAATGAGTCGCAGTCGTGCTGTGAGTTTTTAGATTTTAATAACGTTACCGAAAAGTCTTTTTGTAAAAGATTATCCTCAATTTTCTTTATCAAAATCTAAAAACATTTTATTTGCAGACGATATGGCCACCAAAACGATAGATCAGTTTACTGATGATCTTTTGAAAGAAAAAATATTCCACTGCCAGATTTGCGATGAACTTTGCACGTCCGATGTTTTCCTGGTCAAAGGTAAAGGAAATTTGTGTGCGAACTGTTTTGAAGAAAAGTGTGGGGAGGAAATGAAGTCCAGGGCTGAATTAAACACAGCCCTCATCTTAATTATGGCAAAGCTGATGCTGCCGTGCATATACCAATCCAGTGGTTGCGGTAAGAGGGTGGACTCCAAAAAGTACTCCAAGCACATTGCTACTTGCGATTTCAAAATAAAACCGTGCCCGATGAAAAATCTTGAGGGTTGTGATTGGAGTGGATGCAACTTCGAAGTAAGCGGACATTTATTGAAAAATCATCAAGAGCACGTCATTAAAAGTGAAAATAATATTTTTAAAGTTGAGTCGTCCTTGTCTGAACCTTTCAACGTAAAGATATTATCTGATGATTACCAAAATTGCATTCTAAAGACTTCAGTTGTTGATGATAAATTTTATTACGCTTTAAATCCGGTTGAAAAATCAGAAAAAAATATGGAATACTCGGTGAAGCACAAAGGTATTCAAACATCAAACCATTTAGTATTAAAAAGCGTTGGTACACTTACCAAACTGAATGGTATTTATAACGAAGAAAACCTGGATAAAAACCCCAACGCGACTGTGGTGGACATCGATCTGTTGAAACATTTTGCAGACGAAAAAAATATGATTTTAAACGAATTTGACTTAAAACCTGCAGAAATCGACAATAATACATTAAAACTATTGGAATGTCCAGTCTTTGTGAATACCATGCGACCGCCAATCTATAATTGCACCAACGGACATAGCATTTGCATGATATGCAAAGAACTAACAAATGAATGTCCCACATGTAAGGAAGGGTGGACCAGTTCAAGGTGTTACTTTATAGAAAATTTAACTTCAAACATCAAGTATCCATGCAAATACAGTAAATTGGGATGCAAAGAAATTGACATTGACAGGCAATTAAAGAAACACGAAGAAACATGTCCGTCGCATAACTATCAATGCCCGATGCATTGTTCTAAAACTGGAACCTTTGAATTTATTTTGAAACATGAACATGGGGATGATGAATTTACTGAAAAGATAATAAAAAACCAATTTTTTTTGGAAAGACTTACATGGAAGCTGTTTGATTCAAAATTATTTAGAATATCATATTATTTTTCGAAAAATATTTTATATTGGGCTGTCCAATTGGTTTGCTCCAATGAAAACCCCAAACTGTATACTTATGAAGTTAAAATTTCAAATCATAAACAGGCATTAGGATGGACATTAGTAAAAGATTCCACTTGCTTTAAAGAAATAACGCAGCGACCATTAGAAAAAAAATGGGACTGTTTGAATTATTCTTATCAAAACCCTATGACATTTAATGTTACTATTAAAAAAAGTAATTAATTAACTGTGCACCAAAAAAATATCTGAGTTGGGAGTCCATTTTTTATGGTCCCAACTTGTGACCATAAAAATGGATACAGTATTAAAAAAAATGAATATGTGTTTTGGGATTTTTCATATTAGGTCCAGTTTTAGAGAATTTAAGTTTTTATTTTAATTAATTTTTAATTTTTGTATACTGTATCCATTTTTCATGGTCCTAATCTGGATATTTTCATCAAATGTTATCGCACAGGTATTTATAACTTTTAACAAACTTTGTATTACTTTTGTTAATCCTTTATTATATTTAATATGAGTTCTGTGTTTTACTTTTTAATGCTATTTTTTCTACTCCCACCTTTAAAACGCGTACATGTTTCCATGACAATAAGTGACCTTTTAAATACACATTGACAGGTTGTGGCTTTATGGCGCTTTAGTCACGGGCTGAAGTTAGCAACAGGTTTTTAGTCACGGGCTGAAGTTAGTGCCTTTCTTGTAATATAATACTAAATGTGAAAATTATTTTATTATCTCAATACAAAAATACAAACGTATTTAATAGTTTCTCAACGCCAATATTTGAAAAGTTTATATGAACATTGTACTGACCTTTTAATTTCGCCGGCAGTAAACTATAACTTAAATTCGGACACGGACTCCACTGTAAAGTGCTCATAAAACATTCTCTTTACTTTCACTGTGGAAAACTGTCAATTTTCAAGAAATACATTTCGATTTATAACCTTTATAATCTGTGTTTATAAAATAAAAAAAATTGACATTTGACGGTGACACACAGATTCCCCTATTGTTTCATAGATGGCGCTGTATACAAATTTTTGATTTAAATCATTTTAAGATAATAATAAGTATTTGTCGTAGAAAAAGTATAGTATGCACCTCGTTTATAAACTTTTCTATACACTCGCTCGCAAGCTCGCTCGTTCCTAAATTAAATTCGTGTATAAAATGGCGTTTTTCAAACTTGAAACATAATACAGACTGTATAGAATCAAGTAAGTAAGGCTGGAGACAAGGATGACAAATTATATTCTGATTAGAGAAAAAGAAACAAACTTTAATTGGGCGTGGTTTAAACCAAGCCATTCGTAATTACGAACCATAGTTGCCAGGTTGTTTTAAATCAGAAGATAACGATTATAATTGTTTAATAAAAAGTTCAATTTTATTTGTTTGAAACTTTAAAAATGTCAAAAATAATTTGATTTAGTCAATTTTCTTACTTTTAATATTAAAAAATAAGAAAAACAACCCTTTTAGGAAACAATAATAGCATATGGCAACAGCGGCCTAACCTCACTTTTTTAGAATCTCATTGATTTATTACCTAAAGATTACATTAAATGTACTTACAATAATTATTATTGCTTTTAGAAGCAGTAATAGTTTGACAATAGCTAGCAACATGATTTAAGTAGAAATGGATTTTTGCTATTACATTGAATTAAATTAATTGTTTAATAAATAGGTGGGTATCTAATTTTAATTTGTTTGGATTTTTATTTAAAAAATAGATAGTTTGGAATGTTTAAGCTGTGTTTAACATTTAATTTCACTGAAAACTTAAAGCAAATTAAAACTTAAAGATAATTTAAATCGTAGGAAAAGAATCGTGCGTTTTCTTGGCTGCCTAACCTCACTTTTTGTTTTAGTGGCCGGGTTTGGCACTTGTTTTATTTAAGTGTATCTATTCGTTTTAATACACACTGTATAGCGCTTTACATATTTATTTTATTATTATTATAATTAACTCATTTTACCCTAATTTTTAATGCATTCTAATTAAAAACAAAGTTAATTAACATAAAACTACTAGTATTATTTAAAAAAAAATGAAATAGTTCTTTCATCCCTAAAAAATAAGTGTTCCCGTTGTACGTTCTAAACGAAATTAATTTTCGTACTTTTTCATGGTTTAAAGATTTTGAAATAATTATGAACCGCTAATATTATTTTCAGCTCTTATACCTGCTGTTTAACACGTTTGCAAGATTAAATTAGTTTCCTACCTGAAATGCAAAGTGCAGCTGCACAATCCACACGGACCTGGCGTGAGCCATGATGTGCCTCTCTTCCCAAAAGAAAGCAGAGTCGGACCGTTTGATGAGATCCGCTTTGCTGAGGCGTTTCATCGCGTAAACCTGCCGAGTGTACTTGTGCCTGACCAGCTGTACTTTGCCGAAAGCCCCTCTGCCTATCACCTTGATGTTCTCGAAATCGTCGGTCTTCATGCGCAGATTTATTATGTCGCTGGCGAACTCGTCATCTGAAATTTTGCAATTTTATTCATTTTCTCAAGTTACTTCGTTTATTTAGTTAAATTTGGACACATTTATTTGGTTGTTATTAAAGTAAACGGACAAAATGATTACGGTTAAATAAAGGGAAATTATTTTAAAAACATTGCAAAAATGTTATGACGTTTTTACAAAATAATGACAATGTTTTGCGTAAAATATTTTTATACGACACACTTCGCAAGTTTAAGACTTTTTTGGCCTTTTTTTTATACTATAATAATAATATAATATAATAGGTTAGACCATAGATAACAAAGCCTTAGACTGGGCCAAAAAAATCGACTATTTTTTTTGTAAATTTGTTTGGGGTGACAAAAAAAATTATGGTGAAAGAACATTTTTTGAAGAAAATTGTTGTACAAAAAAGGTTTGATTGGAATTTCCCGTCAGATGAACCTTTTTCTTACAATTATGCCTTAAAAATTGGTATAGTTTTACAATTTGATCTTTTAACTTTGGAATTTTGTAATTCATGTAAAAATCAGTACCCGGAAAAAAAACCGATAGATATTCTTATGGGAAATCAAATGCTCTACAAAAAAGTCTCCTAACATTTTTAGCTAAATTCACTCCATCAAAAGTTATTCAAGGTGAAATTTGAAATCAAAACGAAATTCTTGTTTTTTCCGCTCTAGATTTTTTTTTGGGTCAGTTAAAAACTTGATTTCTTTTATTGATGATAATCTTTGTTATTGATAAAATTACTTTAAGAAGCTATTTTCTTTAGAAAAAAATTATTTTCACTGTTACCTATTTAATCGTTTAAATAATAATAATCATGTTTTTTTTATTGAAAATTGTTAATTAGTTATATAATACACATTTCTAAAGAAAAAAGTCAAATTATCACCCATAATAGTATATTATGTATCAAGTTTGATAAACGCCATTTTAAAAACGAATTTAATTTAGGCACAAGCGAGCTTGCGAGCGAGTGCTTAAGTTAATGAGTGTATATAAAAGTTTATAAACGAGGTGCATACTATACTTTTTCTACGACAAATGCCTATTATTATCTTAAAATGATTTAAATAAAAAATTTGTATAGAGCGCCATCTATGAAACAACAGGGGAAACTGTCAAATGTCACATTTTTAAATTTTATAAACACAATTATAAAGGTTCGAAATGTATTGAAAATTGACAGTTTTTCACAGTGAAAGTAAAGGAAATGTTTTATAAGGACTTTACAGTAGAGTCCATGCCCGAATTTAAGTTATAGTTTACTGCCGGCGAAATTAAAAGGTCAGTACAATGTTTATATAAACTTTTCAAATATTGGCGTTGAGAAGCTATTTAATACTTTTGTATTTTTGTATTGAGATAATAAAATAATTTTCACATTTAGTATTATTTTACAAGAAAGGCACTTTATTTTAACGATTGTATGACATTTGACAACTGTCAACTAACTTAAAACTAACTTCAGCCCGTGACTAAAAACCTGTTGCTAACTTCAGCCCGTGACTAAAGCGCCATAAAGCCACAACTTGTCAATGAGTATTTAAAAGGTCACTTAGTGTCATGGAAACATGTACGATAAAGGGCGTTTTAAAGGTGGGAGTAGAAAAAAAAATATCTACAGAGGAAAAAACAAGAATTTCGTTTTGACTTCAACTTTAATCTTGAATAACTTTTGATTGAGTGAATTTGGCCAAAAATGTTAAGAGGCTTTTTTGTAAAGCAGTTGATTTCTCATAAGAATATTCATCGATTTTCACATGAATTACAAAATTCCAAAGTTAAAAGATCAAAATGTAAAACAATACCAATTTTTTAAGGCATGATTTTAAGGAAACGGTTCATCTGACGGGAAATTCCAATCAAAACTTTTTTGTAGAGCATTTAATTTACTTAAAAAAATATTTCTGAGTCAATTTTGTTAAACTCAATAGTTCTGAGTTCTGAGACAAAAAATTGCTGAGGAAAAAAAAATTAAAATTGCGATGATAAACCTCTTAATATTAATATTATGGACTCAAACTTTCACAATAATTTTTTTTGACCCCCCAAACCATATTTTTGATATACTTTAAAAAAAAATAATTCATTTTTTTGGCCCAGTCTAATAATAGGTATATAATATAATAATAGCTATAATAGGTAGAAAAATTGAATTTTATTTTAATGTTTAAGACCAAAGATAATATCTTTGTTTAAGACTAATAATTTATATAGGGTGTCGTGTAATAAGTTGTCAATCCTTGAGCGCGTTCGAAAACTCGCAAGAGTGCACTCTGGAATCCAGTAGTAAACTTGGAGTGTATCCAGAGTCTGGATACACTCCAAGTTAACTTTGCGCCTTTTATTTCACTGGTAACATTTATTAATATTTTTTATAAGTACGCTGATTTCGACAATGATTTTTGACATCATGACATGCATTGTTTTTATAATAATACCTTTTGAATGTTGATATAAACTAGTATTTACAGTTATTTATGTCAAAGGCCAAGAAATGAGTATTTTTGTGCTGATTCTAAAACAATGCAAAAATCCTTTTTGGTCGAATAACAGTAAAAGGCGAAAAATTAAAATTTGCGCTAGAGATTGCAACCCATAGATTGCAACATATTTTTTTTCTGATCGGCCTTTGTTTTGGAGATATCATAGGCATGAAATTTTCTAAACTTTTTTGCTTTAACATTAATAGTAAATTATGGAAATTGCTTTAAAACAAAAGTTATTGACAGTTCTCACATAGTATTGCTCCTAATTTTCAGTGTAAAAAAGATACAAACCTTATCATGAATTTAACTGTTACAATAATAAAATAAAGTTTTCATATGGCCTACTATTTGTTTTCTGTGAAACTTGACATTGAAAAGTTTGAATTATATCTTTCAAAAGTTAAAACCTCAAAAGTAAAGTCTTAAAAAAATATTTTGCATTTTTACTAAAAAATACAATAACGAATTTGAATTTTAATTTTTTGCGAATAAATGTATAAATCATCCTTTATTTTCTTTTGAAATAAAAGTAAAAAACGGCTTTGGATCAAGCAATACTATAAATGCCTAATTTTATGTTTAAAAAAATCCGGAAAAGCATGATTCAAAAAGTAAATAATATTCTAATACAGATTACAAAATACACTATTTCGTAATATTTGGGAAAAACCACCAAGGGTTTACTGTTTTAATAGCTATTTTCTTGTTTAATTTACCAATTTAAAATACCACAGTTAATTTTTGTTTCTTATGTGGGTATATTTTTTTATGTAAGACATTTATTTGTGCAATGTTTATCAAATATCAACTAACTCGAGTTACTTAATTTGTTTTTTATATGGGTGAATCTTACGAAATGTCCCCCGATGGTGTTACCCCGTGATATTTAATAAAACCAAATAAGTTTGACCTACACTTTTATTGTGTTTTGATCTTTCATAATTAAGTAGATATTACAGCTCAGGTTCCAGATTTTTAACCGCAATTAATTATTTTTTACAATGTTTTAAAAGTCTAAAACCTATCTTCCGTGACTGTTACTCTTTCTAGGTTAACCTATATGTTTTCAAATATCTGAGGTAGTAAAAGCATACTAAAAATATCAGTTCACTAAGTAAATTAAAGACATCCAAAGTAATCGAATCAAATATAAAATATTATTAAAAATAATATAATAATTTTTATAACCATTTTAATAGCAACGGATGGCGCTTTAATCATTTTAAATAAGCAAAAACCTCTGTTTACGAAATTATAGATGCATGTGATTCCTAAAGGTCAGTTAGAATTTATATGCAGATGAGAGTGTTGCTGCTTTATAATTCAAAAGTTTAAGTTCATTAATTTGCTATTTAAAAACCTATCCACCGTGAAGTGTAATATCTCAGTAAGTAGATTTTTTTTATAAATATTTTATGTATGTACAATTGTATTTTTTTTAAATATTAAGGTGACAAAAGATACAATAACTTATTACAAATATACAAAGGAATGTTTAAAAAAAAACATACGAAATCCCAACCTCCGTGAAGCTCTAATATTCAAAATGAATGATTTCTTAAAATTCTGGCATTAGTGCAGAACCACTTATGTTATTTTATTACTAGACCTGGTGGCTTCCCAAAAATAAAAAATAATTATTTTTACTTGGGGGACATCTCAATATATTCATATTCATTATACATACTACAAGGTAATTTAAAAAAAAAAATTTACTTTGTTTATTGACTAATAGTGGTTTGTTATTTTTTTCCCTCATGCTTTGGTCTTATCTTAAAAGCCTAATAATAATAATTAAATATACATATTTTAATAATTCTCAGAAGTTGCAGTATAAAGATTTCCTTATTTTAATCAATTTTAATTAATGTGGCAATTGCCACAATACCACATGCAATTTAATAAAAAATTAGGTAACCATTTAAGTCAAATACATTATTTTACCATTTACAAAAATTCCTACTTAAATACTATTATTGTTGTAGATAAAGTTTAAGAAATAAGACATAGCATTCCCAAACGCGGTAAAATATAAAATGAAATAAAATTGCAAATAATCAAATAGTCATGCAATATATTATAATTTTGGTATACCTATAATTAATATTATTTTTAATATTATTTTCATAATATGTTTATAAAACAAGAAATGGAATTTATTTCATAAATATTTAAAATATAAAAAAAACATTTAAGGAAATAAAATCTAATTATTTATATTAAAATTTAAGATCTATTTTGAAATATCCTGTACACATGGATGATAACATTAATAATTATTATTTCTGCTATAAGTGTAATAAATATTTTTGCCTTTAAACCCTTAAATCCATTTATCAAGGATTAATTAAAATATACCTATCATTAAAACAGATAAGATATGGTGAATAAAAATAAATAAATAAACTTACATCTGTTTAAGTAAACTTCAACATTTTTCATTTTCTTAATAGAAGGATGGTCACAATCTGTATACAAAGCTTGCACTGTATCCAGCAGTGAATCAATGTTTCCTCTACCTCTTGGATCTTGAATTTGCTCCTCCAGAAGACGAAGTCTCCTCTTCCGATCCTCATCATTTATGATATCCATAATTGATTGATTTATTTGCTAAAGTACTCTTTTTACTATGATATAGGTATATAATATAATTTCCTAGTCCTGAAAGCAAAATAACTATGATTAAATATAGTTTTTTTGGCCATATTTGCTAAAGAAACAAAATGTTTAAAGTAAATGGTGTTTTGAAAACAATTGCCACCTTGTTAAAGAAAATAATCATATCAATTAGGCACTATAATAAATTATGTTAATTGTTACATTTTAATATCATTGCGTTTATCTTTTCAGACAAATTGAAATTAAAAATTATCAGTGGAATACAACAGAGTTTAACACCCTATTTTTTAAAGAAATTATAATAATTGATTGTTCCTTTATTGACTATTACCACCTGTTAGTTATCTAACACCCTGTATATGCCCTATTTTAACCTCATGTTAAATTACATTTGAACATAAACCATTCAAAAGATTAGTAAACTATCGCAATTTATATAACTTTATTAAATAAATATTGTGATTTTGTGTAAATTTGAAGGTTCATAGAGCCGTCATCAGTATCAGAACAAAACTTATCGTTTCTTTGTATGAACTAGCAAAACAATATAATTACCTTAACATTACAAAAGCATGGAAGACGATTTTTTTCCTCTTTAAATTCATATGAATCACTAGGAACTACTCCACAAATAAGGAATATTCACCATACCACCGAAAAAAATCATATTTACTTAAGTTCAGCAGCCATTTTCATTAATCATCAACACTTTTCTACAACACTCGAATCTTTCGAAAATGTCCAAAAAGAAAACTTTCTTGCTGTCAAAAATGACAATCCATTGTTAGTAGAACTTTTAACCCATAGATGGCGCTAATTACGAGTGACATCTATTTTGTAAAATTACAAGTTTAAATGATAAAGTAGACTCCTATTTTTCTATTTGTTATAACCTCACAAATAAGAACGTTGTTTGACAGCCTCCAATGTAGTTTTTTAAAATACTTGTTTTCTGTTTTGTTGTGGAATTCTTAACAAAAACTTGTGCTAATTAATATGTTATGTGTTAAACGAAGTAATTGGACTTCTAATAAAGTGCCTAGGTGTGATAGTTATTTTAAGATACATGTTTTTATTTACTCACGTGGATGCTGTGCAACCTCAACCCAAAATAAAGTATTTATTAATTAATTAATGTGAATATGGATTCTAAATATAATATAGCGCATAGTAGCAAATCAACGGTAACAAAGTTCCAGATTAAATCAAAACCTATCCCCATTTTATTTAGTGGTAAAAATGGGCCGCCGTCGCCTAAAAAGGTTAAATTAAACGGAGATGACAAGAAAAAAATTACTTTTTCATCCAAGATTCTACAACCGAAGATAAGTATTCAAGAACAAAGAAGAAAACTGCCTGTGTTTCAACAGAGAAACAAACTTTTGGACATAATTAAACGACATAAAACCTTAATTATATTAGGAGAGACTGGAAGTGGGAAAACAACGCAAATACCTCAATACATTTACTCTGCAAGACTGCAAGAAAATGGGAAAATTGGCATCACACAGCCTCGCAGAGTTGCGGCAATTAGTGTAGCAATGAGAGTGGCTCAGGAACATGGAAATGGGGTATACATTTTAATTTTACAATTAGGATAAAATTTATATACACTTATAGCTAAAACAGAATTATTGTTTTTATAATTTTAAGAAACTGAAAAAGTAAGGTTATCTTATCATTGAAACCTGCTATTATAGTAGTTTCTAGTATTTGTAAGGCCATTTTAGCATTTATTAGATAAAAGTTTAAAGATTAAAGTTTAGCACTTAAATTATGTTTTAACAGAAATTTATTAAGTTAAATTTTTTTAAACTGAAAGCAATGGATAGTCAACAAAATATTTTAAATATAAAATGCGACAGTAAAAATTTATGTTTAAAAATATTAATTTTTAAAAGTTTTGGTTATAATATTTTATTCTACAAAATTATTGTTTAAATTTTTAAAGAGTCATTTAAATGATAGTTGATAAATTTTTAATACAAAAATTCTCACATTACATTTAAATGTAAGTTTTAAATTTTAAAGTAGTAATTTTTGGATTAAAAATTTAACGACAATCATTTAAATGACTCTTTACAAATTTAAACCAAATTTTTTTATTTTTAACAATTTTAAAGTGATATATTTTTAAGACAAATTTTATAACTTTACATTTAAATGTAAGTCGATAATTTTTAAATTACAAAGTGTAAATGTAGCTTTAGTAGAAGGCACAAGAGTCTGGGATCGGAGCCACGATGCAGCCAGTTTGATCCGCAGTGTTGCCAAATCGTGCTTGCTCCATAAATATTTGACGCGTTTTAGAAATTATCGTATTGAAATGTTTCTTTATTAAATAAATTTAATTGTAGAATAAGAACATTTTTAGTACCTATTGTAATAAGTTATTTTGACAATTAAAAAATTTTTTTCTAATTTTTAAGAGAATTTTTTTTTAAATGTAAAATTGTCGAATTAACTTACAAGTACAGTAGGCACTAAAATGTTGTTTTTCTAATATTAAATTTATGTAATAAATACCATAATTTGTAAAACGCCTAAAATATTTATGGAGCAAGCACGATTTGGCAACACTGCGGATCACACTGGCTGCATTGTGGCTCCGATCCCAGACTCTCGTGCCTTCTACTAAAGCTACGGTTACACTTTGTAATTTGAAAATTATCGACTTACATTTAAATGTAAAGTTATAAATTTTGTCTTAAAAATGTATCAATTTAAAATTGTTAAAAATAAAAGTTATTGGTTTAAATTTTTAAAGAGTCATTTAAATGATAGTTGATAAAATTTTAATGCAAAAATTACCACTTTAAAATTTAAAACTAACATTTAAATTTAATGTTCAAATTTTTTTTTTTAAATTTATCGACTATCATTTAAATGACTTTACAAATTCAAACCAATAATTTTGAAAAATAAGTTATTAAAATTCCATTTTTTAAAAATCAATATTTTTAAACTTAAACTTTTACAGTTGCATTTTATATTTAAAATATTGTTTGGTTTTCAATAGTTTTGAGTTTATAAAAATTTATCTTTTTAAACTGTTTTGGTAGAAAATCTTTTATATGTGTTTTTATTTTAAATGGATTGATACTATTGTTAAATACAAAAAAATTTAACTTTACCAAATTAATCTCAATAATTTTATAAAATATTTATTTAAGTTTACTAAATGCCACCCAAATAAATTATACTTGGGAAATTATTTTTATTAAAAAATAATAGTTGGAAATTTTTGCAAAAATAATATTGTTTAATACAGAAGTGAACTGTTAGTTAGTAAATTTTGCCTTTCAATACTTGATAGTTGAAAAGATTTTAAATTTATAAATGTAAACCTAAAATTTTAAACCAATAAAATTTTAAATTAAGAAATTATTTAATAAATTTATGTTAAAACGGATGGCACGCCGTTATTTGACTGAATTTCTATGGTTCAGTCAAACAAATTTCTTAAAACTGAGGTCTGTAATAAAAGTATTATAATAAAAAAAATTACTATAATTAATATATTGAGATGTCCCCCAAGTGAAAATAATTATTTTTTATTTTTGGTTGTTTCACTGTAAGTCTAGAATGGGGTTTTTGGGAAGCCACCAGGTCTAGTAATAACATAACATAAGTGGTTCTGCACTAATGCAAGAATTTTAAGAAATCATACATTTTGAATATTAGAGCTTCACTGAAGATAGCTTCACGGAGGTTAGGATTTCGTATTTCGGTTTTTTTTAAACATCCCTTTGTATATTTGAAATAAGTTATTGTGTATCTTTTGACAAATTAATATTTTTAAAAAATACAATTGTACATACATAAAATATTTATTAAAAAAATCAACTTACTGAGATATGACACTTCACGGTGGATAGGTTTTTAAATAGCAAATTAATGAACTTAAACTTTTGAATTATAAAACAGCAACACTCATCTGCATATAAATTCTAACTGACCTTCAGGAATCACATGCATCTATAATGTCGTAAACAGAGGTTTTTGCTTATTTAAAATGATTAAAGCGCCATTCGTTGCATAAAATTTAAAGCAAAAACAGACTCACGGAGGATAGAAACAATGTTTGTAACACCTACATAAATGGTTATAAAAATTATTTCTTTTAATTTTTTATAATATTTTATATTTGATTCGATTGCTTTGGATGTGTTTAATTTACTTAGTGAACTGATATTTTTAGTATGCTTTTACTACCTCAGATATTTGAAAACATATAGGTTAACCTAGAAAGAGTAACAGTCACGGAGGATAGGTTTTAGACTTTTAAAACATTGTAAAAAATAATTAATTGCGGTAAAAAATCTGGAACCTGAGCTGTAATATTTACTTGATTATAAAAGATCAAAACACAATAAAAGTGTAGGTGAAACTCATTTAGTTTTATTAAATATCACGGGGTAACACAATCGGGGGACATTTCGTGAGATTCACCCAAATAACAAGCTCTAAATTGGTTGGTTTGTTGGTTAGTTGGTTGGTTTTACTTTTATTTATTTACTAGCATTCATTATTTATATTTTGCAAGAATTTAATACTAAAAATAGAGCTAAATACCAATGCATATAATATTTATAGATGGAGGTGGGAGACTTGGTGGGTTATACAGTGAGATTTGAAGATGTTACTTCATCAAAAACTAAAATCAAATATTTGACTGATGGTATGATGTTAAGAGAAGCAATGTTTGATAAACTGTTAATGGAGTACACTGTGATCATATTGGATGAAGCCCATGAAAGAACTATACACACTGATGTGTTATTTGGAATTGTTAAAAGGGCCCAAAAAATTCGAATAGAAAAGAAAGTTACCCCATTAAAGGTAATAAAATAATATATTTAAGTACTTAGTTGTAATAAAAATTTGTAACATTAATTTAAAATTTGAATTTTCACACTAGTTCTCTAAAAATATACGCTAAAGAAGTATCGCTAGTAGCGCCACCACTCGGCTGTTATCATCGTAACAAAAGTACAACTTTTGATAATCAGCTGTCGAATATCGAAAAAAAAAAACCGTGGCACGATTTGTTGTGTTGTTGGGTGTATTTCGAGAGGAAATCCTGGGTTGAGTTTTTATCGGTTTTCCAATAAACAGTGTTAATCCGAATAAAGAAATAAATTTCATACAGTCTCTGTAAATATAAATTGTACCTATTAGATACAATAAATACACATTTTAGTAATGATTAACGTGAAAAGTGTAAACATTTCAATTCAGTAATAATCGTCAAACAAATAAGTCGTCTAAATTTAATCAGCATTTATCATTATTAAAAGCGTTAATTAAGAATTTTTTTTAATTATGTATTATATATAATATTATGTTGCCATGAATTCATGGTACATTTTGTTGATTAAAATGCAGTTGTCGGCGTTTTTTAGAGAACTCAAATATAAAAATGGTTGATTTTAAGGTTATGTTTGTGTAAAAATTATTGTTTACTAATTTCTTAAAAATGTCCAAACTAAAATATAAATTATATTAGGTAAAGTTATCATTAGTTAATTCTGCACCAACAAATGTACTTACCGAATTGAATCCTTTGGCAAAACATGAAAATGCAACGATTTAGTTCTTGAATTTTATTTACAATTAAAAACACAATAATTCACCATGATCCCTTAGATAAAATGCACACACTAACGTAACTTTATAAGCATTTAAGCGTTGAGTTTCTTAATCAATGATATAAAGAATAATCAATCGAAATCGATTATTAAAAAAGTTTTATTTTTTTCCTCGCAACGTAAAACACAAATAATGTGCGCGATTTAGCTGTGCAATTGAACAAAATTTGTTGAGTAAGACTTTTGCCTTCCTCTCTTTTGTAAAAAAAATACCTATTTATTTAAAAATTATGTACAGTTCGTATGCTTTAAATTTATTGTTGACAATACTTAAATTCACGCAATGCTTTTGAAGTCCACCAGATGGCGCGCGCGTTGCGAAAACCCGATACTTCTTTAGCGCATATACCCATATAAGTAAAATTTATTGCCACAAATTTTAAATATTTTGTATCATTTGTTTCAATCCCAAAGGACTAAGAAAAACATGACACTGGCATAAATTACCCAATTTACTTGTCAAAGTTGTTTTTGGGCTTATTATGGTCTTTTTTAGATAATAATAATGTCAGCTACAATGGATGTGGACCATTTTTCCAAATACTTTAACGACTGCCAAGCTGTTTATTTAGAAGGACGAACCTACCCTGTAAATATTTTTTATACACTCAAACCCCATGACGATTATCAATTAGCCTGTGTAAATGCATTTTTTAAAATACACAAAGAAGCACCACCTGAGTAAGCCAAATATCCCTAAAAATGATTTTATATTATTTATATTTTTAATTTTAGTCATGATGTTCTAATATTTTTAACTGGTCAAGAAGAAATTGAATCCGTAGCCCATCAAATAAGAACCTTGGCTAAAGAACCTGACGTTGAAGGTCCTATGGTCAGGGTGTTTTCTTTATATGCAGCTCAACCTAGTAACCAACAAATGGCAGTGTTTCAAACCACACCCACGAATACTAGGAAAGTCATTATTAGTACCAACATTGCAGAAACTAGTGTCACTATAGCAGGGATCAAGTATGTTATAGATGGAGGCATGGTAAAAGCAAGGTAAGCATTTTTATGATCCAGTGTTACAGTCTCTGTAAATATAAATTGTACCTATTAGATACAATAAATACACATTTTAGTAATGATTAACGTGAAAAGTGTAAACATTTCAATTCAGTAATAATCGTCAAACAAATAAGTCGTCTAAATTTAAACAGCATTAGCATTATTAAAAGCGTTGAATTTCAAAGTCTCCACTTATAATATTATGTTGCCATAAATTCGTAGGTATATTTTGTTGTTTAAAATGCAGTTGTCAGCGTTTTTTAGAGAATTCTCTAGTTAATTAACTTAAATATAAAAATGGTCGATTTTAAGGTTATGTTTGTGCAAAAATTATTTTTTACTAACTTCTTACAAATGTCCAAACTTAAATATAAATTATATTAGGTAAAGTTATCAATAGTTAATTTTGCACCAATAAATGTACTTACCGAATTGGATCCTTTGGCAAAACATGAAAATGCAACGATTTAGTTCTTGAAATTTATTTACAATTAAAAACACAATAATTTACCACGATTCTTTAGATAAAATACACATATTATATAAGCATTTAAGCGTTGAGTTTCTTATTCAATGATATAAGGAATAATCAATCAAAATCGAGTACTAAAAAAGTTTTTTAATTTTTTCCTTGCAACGTAAAACACGAATAACGTGCACGATTTAGCTGTGCAATTGAACAAAATTTGTCGAGTAAGACTTCTGCCTTCCTCTCTTTTGTGAAAAAACTACCTTTTTATTTAAAAATGATTTATAATCTGTGCTTTAAATGTATTGTTGACAATTCTTAAATTCTCGCAATGCATTCGAAGTCCACCAGATGGCGCGTGCGTTGCGATTTACCACATACTTCTACACATATACAAATCATTTCTAACTGAGACTGTTTCCATTTCATGGGGGTAAAGTAGGGGAAATTTTCTCACATGGTAGCGGGCATTGAGGCGCATTTAAGAAGTATAATAAATACTTTTTAATAAATTATATATAAATTGTATGAAAAAAAAGCATTTAACAATAATAAACTCATAAAATGATGATATTTTAGATTTTATAATGGCATATTTATAAATGCAAAAATTTGGCAACATCGTATTTTGATTACGATTATCGTATCATAGCACATACTGAGTATTTGTATCATAGCCAAAAAGTTTTTCTGATAGACATATAAATATGGGCCATTCCACGCGTAACGGATAGGATAGTTGCCGTGTTTTTATTTACAAAATAATATTGTTCTATTATATTACCAATGTCAAATTTTTATAAATAGTTCTAAACTAAAGCTGTTTAACAAGGTTTTTATTTGGCAAAATTAGGTATCGTGGTTGACTGTTTAATTCCTTAAAAACTAATAATTTAAAGCGTAACGGTCGGGACTTTGCAATAGTCCCGGTATGAATATATTTTACGCACACCAAAACAACAGATTTTCCCTCAGAAACGGGAAAAAGTCATCTATACAAAATATAGGCAATAAGTGTGGAAGTATGTGCGATTTACGTAGTAAAAGAACTATTTAAAAGTGAAAACTATTTTTTTATTAGTAAAAAATGCTGGTACTGATTCAAATAGTAGAATTTTGACTATTTAATTTTAAGAGAGTAGGTAAGAAAAATATTTTTTTGGCTTCCAGGACTTTTCATCCTTCAACCGGACTGGAACTGCTGAAAATCCAAAGGATATCGCAAGAGCAGTCCTGGCAAAGAGCGGGAAGAGCCGGCAGAGACTCGGAGGGATCGTGTTACAGAATATACACGAGATCGCAATTCGAAGCGATGCAAAAGTCGACGGTTCCCGAGATACAGCGCGCGAACCTGAACTCGGTCGCCATCCAGCTGCTGGCCATGGGCGTGCACGCCTTGACCTTCGATTTCATGGACAAACCGCCGAAAGAGGCGGTGGTGGCAGCCTTCGAGCAATTAAAAATGCTCGGCGCGGTGGAGTCGCTGAACGCGGCGCACCTCACGCCGCTGGGCACGAAGATGTCGAAGTTCCCGCTGGACCCGCGCTTCAGCAAGGTGCTGCTCAGCGCGCACCAGTTTTCATGCGTAGAAGAGTCGCTCACGGTGATCGCTCTTCTAAGTGCCGAATCTATTCTCATCAGTCCGCCGAACAAGCGGGAGCTCGCGCAGAAAGTAAGGCAAAAATTCACCTCCGGTTACGGCGACCACATAACTCTGTTAAATATATACAGGGAGTTTAACAGTATCGGGCAGAATAGCAGGAGGAATTGGTGCCACGAGCACTACATTAATTTGAGGAATATTTTGCACGCTAGGGAGATTAGGAATCAGCTGGAGGAAATCTGTAGGAGCTCCGACATACCCAACTCTTCCTGCGGAAGTAACATGGATCAATTGAGGAAAGCTCTTATCACGGGGCTATTTATGAATGTGGCAGAGCTGCACAGGGACAGGCAGTATATTACAGTAAGTATTTTTTACTAAATTTTAAAAAATTTCAAATGAAATTTTCAATCCGAAAGTTTCGCAATTTACTGAAAATTTCGCATAAATTTCACATGCGGCCTCCCCTGGGACCTTTAATAATAATTTACAACAGATTCCGAATCGACCAATAAGAACGAGTTATCAAGCGTCTGGGCGTGTTTGTTTAGTTCGGCTTTGATTTGAATACACTATAAGTAATTATTGTTACTCATATGCATAAATTAATTTAAATAATTTAATTCAGTTACCAATTTAATTTGTAAATTAAATCAGACTTTAAAATTTTTTTTAAAGTCATGATTAATTTAAACTTTTACTTTTGCTATAATTTCATCGGAAAACGGATAAAAATGCCTTTGGCTCATAAAATTTTGATGAAGTTTTTATAAGTAATTATTGTTACTCATATGCATAAATTAATTTAAATAATTTAATTCAGTTACCAATTTAATTTGTAAATTAAATCAGACTTTAAAATTTTTTTTAAAGTCATGATTAATTTAAACTTTTACTTTTGCTATAATTGCATCGGAAAACGGATAAAAATGCCTTTGGCTCATAAAATTTTGATGAAGTTTCTTCAATTTTCGTAAAATTTCAGAAAAATATTTAAAAAATAATAAATATATATAAATATAAAACAATGAAAGTGACACAATCTCATTAGCTTACCAAAAAGTGCTATATCTCTTTTAGTTTTAGTAATTTTAAAAATATTTTAAAAGGAAATCTCAAGAAATTTGTGGTAAACATAGGTATTTATATTATTGGTGCAGGGGCCCACAGAGAGGCAATTTGCCATGGTCCCCGAGTGGGCTAATTTCAATATTAATATACCTATAACACTTAAAGTGATTGAAATTTATTGAAAGTTTCAATAAATTTCATGAAATTTAGGAAATTTTAATAAATTTCATAAATGTCATGAAAATTTCAAGTGAAATTTCAAGTACAAGCAAAAAGTGAAATTTTCCCAACCCTACTTCTAACAGTAAATCATTAATTAAGGTGTAAAATCATTATTTGTTTTGCATTTAACTAAAAAAATTTCTTATAAAAAAAATAGTTCTCTTTAAAACAAATTAAAATAAATATGTACATCAATTCTCTTAAAACAAAACTAAAAATCAAACTTCTTAAAATGTAAAAATAATAAATTAGCTTATTTTCAAACGTTTGTTATTGTTCTAATTGACGGAATAGAACGTTCCCGATATTTAACTATGAATAGGTCTCTTGTTTGACTTAATTTTTTCTTCTGTTAAATATAAATAATTTGTTTTTATTTTTAGTTGGATAAAAAACAAACCGTTTTTATCCATCCCAGTTCCTCATTGCATGGACAACAACCGGGTCTAATTTTGTTTACCGAAGTAGTTCAAACGAGTAAGTGTTACTTACGTGGTTTGACGACAATAGAAAGTGAATGGTTGCAAGATATAGCGCCGGAGTATATCAGAACACATAATATAAAATGTACAAAAGAAAGTTGATGGTATTGTACAACTCACCTTTATTTAAATATTCAACTTGGATACAAAGATATATTACATTTATTATATTCCACATTGTAATTGTAAGATTTCAAATATACACACGTAAGAATTTAAAATTCGTATCTTTATTAAAAAAAAAAATTAGTATGCTTCAATTTTTTAAAATTGTTTTTAGCAAAATATTTTATTTTTTAAGGTAAGTTCGTTTTATAAAATTTCGTAACAAAATTGTTTTTATTTGATTGTATAAATTTGTTAACAGAAACTTATTTAAGTGCCAACAAATGTAATTTTACCTATACAAATTATATTTTGTTTACAAGTATGTGTATTATTCAAAAATTTGTCTATTCCCAGCTTTCCTATTTTATTCCAGGAATATTCTTCCCCAAGCAACAATTTAAGTATTTTTTACGTATTTGGGACTATTGAAGAAACTTACAAGTGTTTTGCGACAGTCGCCGGTCTATTTATATTACCAAGTTACGACTAAAGTGGGGAACAATTATTGAGTTCCAAAAAGGTAACAAATATGTCACTAGCTATAAACCCTGCTACTATTTGGAACGTAGCTGCTACGTTACTAAAACGTTTCAATACCGTTGCTAGAGCGTTATAATTACTTTTATTTATTTGTTTTTAGTTATATATTAACTGTCTTTGTCAAACTTATATTAGATTATACTATCCCTCCTTTTTTAAATGGGACCACTACGGACTTGGCTTTTCAATGTCGTCGTTTATTAAATATTTACTGGCAGTTTATAACTTCCAGAATAACAATATAATGTTTAATTAGGCAGGTAAATTTATAAACCTTTTAAATTTTACTGTTGAACTTATGAATTTAGTTTTTGTAAAATAAATGCGCTTCATCAATATTTAAGTATAAACAAATTATTTATTTAATAATGTTTATAAATAAAAAAATCTTAATATTTATTAATAATTTTTTATTTAATTATTAATATCGTCTATTACCAACAAAATTACTATTTATTAAAAAGTAAACAACCATTTACAAACAATTAATAGTATATTATGTATCAAGTTTGATAAACGCCATTTTATACACGAATTTAATGAGTGTATAGAAAAGTTTAGAAACGAGGTGCATACTATACTTTTTCTACGACAAATACTTATTATTATCTTAAAATGATTTAAATCAAAAATTTGTATAGAGCGCCATCTATGAAACAACAGGGGAAACTGTCAAATGTCACATTTTTACATTTTATAAACACAATTATAAAGGTTACAAATCGAAATGTATCTTGAAAATTGACATTTTTTCACAGTGAAAGTAAAGGAAATGTTTTATGATGACTTTACAGTGGAGTCCGTACCCGAATTTAAGTTATAGTTTACTGCCGGCGAAATTAAAAGGTCAGTACAATGTTCATATAAACTTTTCAAATATTGGGGTTAAGAAACTATTTAATATTTTTGTATTGAGATAATAAAATAATTTTTACATTTAGTATTATTTTACAAGAAAGGCACTTTATTTTAACGATTGTATGACATTTGACAACTGTCAACTAACTTAAAACTAACTAACTAACTGAATTCAGCCCGTGACTAAAGCGACATAAAGCCACAACTTGTCAATGTGTATTTAAAAGGTCACTTAAGTCACTAATTAGTGTCATGGAAACATACGATGTACGATAAAGGGCGTTTTAAAGGTGGGAGTAAAAAAAATAATTTATTATTTACATTACCACGTGGTACTGTACAGTAAAAAATGGCTGATAAGCATTTTCCTTTGAAGTAGTTTTCGCTACATTAAAGTTTCTTTCCACCTTAATTTACTTTACGGTAGTTTTGATTGGTACCATTAATGTTCCAAATACTAAAATAATAGCTTTTAAGTTATTAACTTTGTAGTTTTTAACTCATGTTCCAGTTTCGAGATTTTAACTTGCAAGGGGACTACAAAGTAAAAATAGTTATAATGTAATCTTCAGGCAGCAACCGAAAGTAACTGCTACAAATTAAATTTACTTTAAAGTTTTTTTTACTTATAACACCCTTTTTAAAGTTGCAAAATCTTAAGACTTAAAAATTCTTGGGGGCAACCAAGTTTTACTTAAATGTTTTTTACTTTATAGTATCCATTTAAGAAAAGGATGAACTTTCTGTTACAAAATATTGCTATTTAAAAGTTAGAATTACTTTTAAGTAAAAATTAAAGTAGCCGAAGATACACTCCCATTAAAAAGTTTGAGAACTGCTGCCCTGGACGTATGTCTGTGCTGAGTTCTTTGATCTGTGTGTTTTGTGCGTAGGTCGTAGATTATAGCCCAGAACATAAAGATATCTTCATCTGTCAAGTTCAAAAACGTTTCGAAAATTTTTATTTTCATCCTTCAAAATTGACAAGTGTTGCTGAATTTGAAAGTAAGTTATTTAAAACTCTACAATATTATTAAATCCCGATTTAATCCTTCAAATTAAATTGGTGGCAAATTATTTCGCAAAATTTCATCACCTAACCTTATTTCTAGAAGTTTCCGGGTCGTAAACAAATACGATAATGGCTCTAATGCTAGCAAGCAGACTTTGCAGGGCCCCTGTACTAAACAATGTCGCTGTAAAGAGCTTACCAAATTATGCAGCCAAACGAGTTTTTTCTGAAGAAGGCAAAGATGCCCTCGGTAGGGCAATCAGAAGAAGTCCCACTATTAAGGAAAGAGCCATGGCTCCTGCAGGAGACACAGGTACTATTTAACTAACTAATCTTTTAAAATAACTGACCATCACGAAATTTTATATTGGATACATAACCTTAATTTATTAATTATAAAATAATAATAATTAACGACTTTTATTGATCAAAAAAAAATAACCAACTGGACATCAACATAAAATATATTTTGTGATCTATGTACTATAACATAGTACAATACAAGTTTATGGGACAAGTAACCACTATAATGGGGTAAAAGTACTTGACCCTTTCATTTTTAATTTAGAATTTATCATCTTTTTCAGAATTCATAATGTTTTTGCATTTGTAACTTGTGAATTGTAGGTATCTCCTAAAATTCAAAAATTATTTTTTACACCAGAGTCATTCCATATGAAAACGCCGAAACTCGTTGCTCGACCATGTTGGATTTTGCTCAAATTTTTTAGAAATATTTATTAGGGTCCCAAATGACAAAATCCACCCTTATTTATTTTTTCGCATGTGTCAAATCCGGCCTATTCGAATAAAAATCTTAAAAACGTCATTTTAATGCTTTAATAATTTAAGCTGTAATTTTTTTCTATTAAAGATATTTTAAATTTTCTGATGTCATTTTAAAGCTAAAAAATAGTAGGTAGTTTTTATAAAAAATAAATAAATTCACTTAATCAATATTTCTAAATTATTACACGGTGCTGAAAAACGTGTATTTTACTAATTTTTCGTGTTTTTTAAATGCGTCCCATGTCTCGGCTGTTTAATATGAACAGCTAATTTTTTTCATATATAAATACATAGCAAAGACAAAATAAAACTTACAATTGACCCGTTTGGCATACGGATTCCAAAAAAAAAATTGCTTAAAATTTTAAAATTCTAGAAAATCGCATTATTTAGGCCATTATATAAGGATGTTGACTTCCAAATAGAATTATGAAATTTACAGGATAATTTGCTCTCACCTTAATGTTCAAATGCCTGGTAGTTTGGTTTTGTTATTTTCATCTTTGATGGTTATACAGTAGCTTTAAAAGGAGACAAATATTAAAATAATAAAAAGTCGCATTATTTAATCCATTATATGTATAAGTATGTTGACTTTAATATAGAAATATGACATTAACAGGATATTTATTCCTTATCTTGAAAATAAAATGCCTCTTTGACTTGTTTTGATATTTTCATCCATTTTGCTTTTACATGGGCTTTAAAAAAGGCTAACACATGAAAAATTAAAAAACGCTTCATTTTATCCTTTGTTAACTTCTAGATAGAAATATAAAACTTACAGGAAATTTAGTCCTTATCACAAAGTTTAAAAGCTTGTGTAGCTCATTTTGCTTTTTTTTGTAATTGTACAGATGCTTTAAAAACAGCAAAAATATAATAAAATTTAAAAAAATCGCATATGTTAAGTACCTACATAAATATGCATATGCATGCATAAGCCAAACAGGCATCATACACATTCTTCAAATAGAAAATTAAACAATAATCGTTTTTTAAATTTCAATATGTTTGCTCCTTTTAAAGCCCATATAAAAGCAAAATGGATGAAAATATCAAAATATGTTAAATATGCATTTAAACTTTAAGGTAAGGGCTAAATATCCTGTTCTGTATTTAAGTCATAAAATGGATGAAATAATGCGACTTTTTATTATTTCAATATTTGTCTCCTTTTAAAGCTACTGTATAACCTTCAAAGATGAAAATAACAAAACCAAACTACCAGGCATTTGAACATCAAGGTAGGGACTAATTATCCTGTACATTTCATAATTCTATTTGGAAGTCAACATCCTCATATAATGGCCTAAATAATGCGATTTTCTAGCATTTTAAAATTTTAAGCAATTTTTTTTTGGAATCCGTATGCCAAACGGGTCAATTGTAAGTTTTATTTTGTCTTTGGTATGAAAAAAATTAGCTGGTCATATTAAACAGCCGAGACATGGGACGCATTTAAAAAACACGAAAATTTAGTAAAATACACGTTTTTTCAGCACCGTGTAATTATTTAGAAATATTGATTGAGTAAATTTATATATTTTTTATAAATACTACTATTTTTTAGCTTTAAAATGACATCTTAAAATTTAAAATATCTTTAAAAAAAAAATTACAGCTTAAATTATTGAAGCATAAAAATGACGCTTTTAAAAAGTTTTAATTCGAATAGGCCGGGTTTGTCACATGCGAAAAATTAAATAAGGGTGGATTTTGTCCTTTGGGACAATGAATATTTCTATAAAATTTGAGCAAAATCCAAGATGGTCGAGCAACGAGTTTCGGAGTTTTCATATGAATTGACTTACCAGTAAGAAATATGTAGGTAACTAAGTTACCATAACTTCACTGAGGGTGGGTGAAATAATCAATTTCCTCATTGTTTATTTTATAACTCCAACCCATTGGCAGAATGCTGCTTTGCCCACAAGCTGAAGTTAGCTTTAAATTAAAATTGCAAAAAAGTGACATTTAAACAAATGTCAAATGTCAGATAAAATATGAAATGAAATATAATTTTTCTACCACCACTATGTAAAATTCACATTTCGTAATGGCATTGTTGCTTAGAAAATGAATCTTTTCATTGGCAAGGCAAAACTCGAATGTAAAGTGACATTTCTGTGTGAAAAGTAACAGAAAAAGAAATTAATTATTTTATTTTGTATTTGAAAATAATAAAAAATAAAAGGGTCGTAGAAAAAACATTTTATTTCACTTGTGAGAAAAGTCATATTTTGTATCAATTTATTATAATCAATTGACAACTTAGTTAACTTCTGGCCTGTGTAAAAAATGATTTTAATCTAAATATCTCAGTGCCACTAAAATTATGTGATAAACACTTCACTGATCACAAAACGATTTTGTTTGAATTTGAATCCAATAAAGATTGTCAAAAAAAAGACATACCTACACATAAAAAATAATTAACTAAGTACCACAAATTAAATAAATGTCTGTCTGACCACTTTAATAATAATAATAATAAATATAAAACAGTTGAAGTAAGTAGCTTTGAAAACCTTGTGAAAATACTAAACAAACTGATACAAGAAAACACAAAAACTAAAGCAAGATCCTTTACTAAATCAATTAAAGAAGGCTGGTATAAAGAAGAAGTAAGAGCAAAGACAAAGGAAAGAGATAAAATGTATAAAAAGAGTAAAAAGTCTCCAAGAAATGAACTGTATGAATTAAAACTTAAAAGATTAAGACAAAAGGTGAAAAAACTTGCTGCCCGCTTGCAGTATATAAATATTAAATATGGTGTTCCACAAGGTTCGGTTATCGGTCCACTACTCTTTTTGGTGTACATCAATGACCTTACCCAGTGCAATATAAATGGCGATATGGTGCTCTTTGCAGATGATATGGGTCTCTTTTATGCTGGTGAAAAGTGAAAAAGAAGTTTTTGAGATGGCTCAAAGAGACTTAATAACTATTAGTGAATGGACTAAAGACACCTAGTGTTTAATAAATCAAAATGTGATAATAATGCTTTAATATTAAATAATACAGTGCTAAAACAAGTACATAGTGCTAAGTATCTAGACAATTCCTTAAATTTTGCATACATTGGCTCCCACTTGATGTACCTTTCTGCGTTTTAAGGCTCTTCAAACTACCCAAAATAAACTTATAAAATTACTTTTTAATAAATCGCCTATAGAACTAACACAACTAAACTATACAACGAATTAAACATTTTAAATATTAATGAATCAATTAAATTGGACCGTGCAAAAATTATTTACAAAATAAAGAATAATTTAATTAATACAGATGTAACACTAACAAAAAACTGTTGTAAGGACAATTATTCCACAAGAAATAATTTACAATATTATGTACCATCTACAATTTCAAATTCTGGAAGAAAAAAAATTACTCAGACTGCCCTCAAATGGTTTAACAATCTCCCAGAACATGTCAAAAACCAAAAAAACTATTTGGCTCAAGAACATTATATATCAATATGAAATAATATGTAAATATCAGGGCTTCCACACATCCTAAAACTAAATCTTGAAAACTCCTAAAATTCTCCTAAAATTGCATTCAATCTCCTAAAACTCCTAAAATCCTAAAAATTAAATTTAAATAAGCCAACCTGACTGCGTTTAATTAAGGTAGTGCTAAAAAATTCTTTTTTAAAAAGCAATTTAAAAATATATATTTTTAGGTTCAATTTTATTAAATTAAATCACAACCAAATTTTTTCTTAAAAAAAAACAAAAAAAAAATTTACAAAATTGTTATTTTTAGCGAAATTTCGTTTTTTTAGTCAAAAATATACCGTGTTATATATCAAACAAAAGGATTTTTAATTTTCTTTTAAATGACAGCTAAAATAGTAAACAATCTAAAGAATGTTTTGCTGTATTTTGCAAACTTCATATTTTGTTATGAGATTTTTAAGTATTAAGATCCACATTACAATTAAATTGGTGAGAAGAATAATAATAATGCTTATTTTGTAATAAAGATTACAGAAAACGTCAGGTACATAGGTAAACAAAGAAAATATACCCCAATAAAGTGTTACAGACATCCAATGGATTTAAAATAATTTACACTAATACTAACAAATAAACTAATTAATAAATACAATTAAATTTTAAATTAAATTAAAGTTAAAATCTAAAAATTCTTGTACAGAATAAAACACAATTTTTATAAGTAATTGTTTCACAGTCTTTAAAAACAGACATCCAATGGATTTAAAATAATTTACACTAATACTAACAAATAAACTAATTAATAAATACAATTAAATTTTAAATTAAATTAAAGTTAAAATCTAAAAATTCTTGTACAGAATAAAACACAATTTTTATAAGTAATTGTTTCACAGTCTTTAAAAACATTTTATTATTTAGAACCTTAATGTCTTTTGGAATAAGAACATGTTACTGTGTACTGCAGTACAAGTCCAAAAATTTAATTTTGACAATTTATTTTTTAAAATCAATTTTAAAGTTTGAAATACATTTTTGTGAGAAGATATAAATTATTTTACATTATATGAATATTATATTCCATAAAATAGTTAAAATGTTCTAACAAAAATGCATTTAAAACTATAAAACTGATTTTTGAAATATTTTATCAAAAATTTTACTTTTGGACTTGTACTATTCTTAATCTTACCGATTCAATTACTGTTAGTTATTAACTAAACGGTTAACATATTTTTTCTTAAAATATAAAAATAACATCATTTGATTTTGGCCTAGTTTTTTTAGCCAAATCATCGACGCATTTTTTTAAATAAAATTAAAAGTATGGTGAAATTTATACTTGTAGATATATATGTACCTCAGATATATACAAAAGTAGTGATTTTACCTCACTTTTTTTATTTAAAAAACTCGTCCAGCGATTTGGCTTCTTATTTTTTAAGTTGTAAAGGATTGTTTTTATTTAGTTGAAGAAATTCATTTCTATAGTTTATTTCTCCTAAAATTTTACAAAAAACCTCCTAAATTCCTAAATAAAATTTGTAATTTAGCCGTGGGAGCCCTGAAATATAAAAGTAAAATTGTGATACTACTGTGATATTTTGAATTGTAACTCTTAATTATAAATATTTAATATTACCTATGTATTACCTATACTTATTCTTTTAAGGTTTAATAAATAAATTTAAAAAAAATCTCCATTTCTAAACCGTTTTAAGGTGACAATTATACCAAAAAAGTACTTTTTTTTCTTCCTTATAGACGTTTGGTTTTTTTTGTTTAGCTTTTAATATTGGAAGAAGTGCCTTAGCTGGAGGGTCTGTCTTGGGTATTGGAGCCCTTTGTTATTATGGTGTAGGTTTGGGTAAAGATGTTGGAGCTCTTGAAAAACATCAGTAAGTTTATATTTCTAGTGTAAAATACCTCTTTTTATCATTTCTATTCGTAGTTTGTGGCCACAATATGTAAAAGATCGTATTAAGACAACCTATTTATATTTTGGATCATCTTTGGTTGTTACTGCAGCTAGTGCTGTAGCAGCTGCTTCTTCCCCAGCTATTATGAATTTGGTTATGAGAAATGGATTTATGGTAAGTTTTTTATCTCTAGCGTGTATTCTAGGATTTTTACGTCCATATTTAATGATTAAAGGATTGCTCTTGCCAATAAGGTACTAAACATTCGAAAATATTTTGTGTTTGTTTTATAGCATTTTTTAAAAGATACCTATCGTATTTTGGACGTCTCTTTAAATGTACTTTTTATGTAAAAACTATTAAGAATAAATTTAACGAATGTGTTCACTAAAATTATAGTGAATCTTTAATTTTGACCCTTAAATTAGAACTATCCAATACGCTAAAGAAGTATCGCTAGTAGCGCCACCACTCGGTTGTTATCATCGTAACAAAATTACAAATTTTAATAATCAGCTGTCAAATGCTTATGTTACAAATGAAAAAAAAAACGTGGCTCGATTTGTTGTGTTGGGTGTATTTCGAGAGGAAATCCTAGGTTGAGTTTTTACCGGTTTTCCAATAAACAGTGTTAATCTGAATGAAGAAATAAATTGCATACAGTCTCTGTAAATATAAATTGTACATATTAGATACAATAAATACACATTTTATTAGTGATTAACGTGAAAAGTGTAAACATGTAGTTAATTCTGCACCAACAAATGTACTATGCTCCACACCTCAAAGTACCACCACGTGACCACGTACGGAACGCAATCTTTTAAAAATTTGACATTTAAGGTTTTTCAGGTTATGTATCTGTCAAAGTATAGTCAACGAAAGAAATAATATTTATAGTGTTACCGCTTATGTTTAAGCGTTAAAAGTTAATAAATCTTTATAGTATCACAATAACAATGGTTGGTTTAAGAATTTAGGAATATAAATACTGCATTTAATGAAATTCCAAATTGTAAGGTGCAATATAAGTGATATTTTTGTGCATTGGGTCTTCATTTCTCCATAAAATAGTTTTAACTAAACAGCATTTATTAAAAAAAATCTAACTTCTCTATTAATATTAAATGAAATAAGAATATCTGTATCAAAGGTAGGTTAATGTATTAGAACAACAAATATCATCTAATTTTGTATTTTAAGGTTAGAAAAATCTATTTTGACCAAAATAAATAAGTGGATTACTTGAAAGAGTGTGTTAATATGGTCATAAATAAATATAGGTATACTAAATAATTGTTGAATATAGTTCAAATTAAATTGAAGCTTTTATACTTTTAAGGACAAAACTTGTGCATACCTCTCAGCATACTTACTTTAAGTTAGATTATAAGAAAACAAACAATTTTTAGAGAAACTTGCAATGTGAAAATATTTAATACATGACATGTGATTTATTAAAATTTTTAAAGTTATAATGATTTTTTTGATGTAGATCAAATTCATTTAAAGCTTTTTAACTATTTGTATTTACAAAACTTTATGTAGGTACACTTTAAGCTGGATAAGAAAAACTACCACATTTTTAAATACCATATTATACAGTCTTTTAAATAATCCTAAATACTTATTTATTTTTGTCAAAATAAATTTTTCTAACCTTAAAATTACAAAATTAGATGATATTTTTGTATAATATATTAACCTATCTTTAATACAGATATTCTTATTCCATAATAGAGAAGCTAGATTTTTTTAAATAAATGCTGTTTAGTTATAATTATTTTATGGAGAAAACCAAATATTTGGACCAAATTCACAAAAATATTACTTATTTGGCACCATACACTTTAGAATTTCATTAAAAGCAGTATTTATATTCTTAAATTCTTAAACCATCCATTGTTATTGTAATGTTATAAAGATTTATACATTTTTAACGACTAAACATAATATTATTTCTTTCGTTGACTATACTTTGACAGATACATAACCTGAAAAGCCTTAAATGCCAAATTTTCAAAAGACTGCGTTCCGTACGTGGTCACGTGGTGGGACTTTGAGGTGTGGAGCATAGTACATACCGAATTGGATCCTTTGGCAAAACATGAAAATGCAATGATTTAGTTCTTGAATTTTATTTACAATTAAAAACGCAATAATTCACCATGATCCCTTAGATAAAATACACACACTAACCTAACTATATAAGCATTTAAGCGTTGAGTTTCCTAATCAATGATATAAAGAATAATCAATCAAAATCGAGTACTAAAAAAGTTTTTTACTTTTTTCCTTGCAACGTAAAACACAAATAGTAAGACTTCTGCCTTCCTCTCTTTTGTGAAAAAACTATCTATTTATTTAAAAATGATGTATAATCTGTGTTTTAAATGTATTGTTGCGAAAACCCGATACTTCTTTAGCGTATACATTAATTTTATTCAATGATAGTCCCTACAAAAAAAAAAAAAATAATTATTTTAGGGTATGGCTATTAGCTTAGCAGCTATAATGGGTACAGGTATGTTAGCCCAAGGTATCGAGTACAAAGAAGGATTTGGAGCTAAACAAATGGCTTGGTTGTTGCATACAGCCACCATGGGAGCCATGGTAGCCCCCTTGTGTTTTCTTGGTGGACCTTTGCTCATTAGAGCAGCTTGGTATACTGCTGGTGTTGTTGGAGGACTAAGCACAATTGCTGTAAGTATAGTATATATTTTTTATTGTTTTTTTAAATTATGGTAATTTTTTGTCTAGTAAAAGAGTCATTCCAAATAAAAACACCAAAGGGGGTGCGCTGCTTGGTTTTTTATTTTGATAAAAAAAATTGAGGATGATCTTTTAGGTATCAAATATGAAAATCCGTTGCCGTTTTAATTTTTGGATTCTTTACTTTTAATCGGCACCCTTTAGAAATCTGAAATCGTGTCAATTTCTTACTCTCCTATAGTGGGCCAGAACTTTTTTTCTGTGACAAATATTGAAATGATTTTAATTTTGTTTTATTTACTGTTCAGTAAGTGTGTTTTCGATATAAATTATTATTATCCAATTAGTTAATCTCATAAAAGAATGGTAAACCACTAAAGATTCATGATAATTTGCCAATTTTTGTGATTTTTGTCTGGCTTTTGTGCCTATTCTACTAAATCTAGAAAGTTATTTTTTTTCAGGTATCAAGTACTTATACAATAGAAAACGTAACTATTATTTTTAGTTTCTAGACTATCATTTTCTTTATTAAAAAAATTATTGAAATTTATTATTTGTGCGTATTTCTTTGGTAAATTTTGTATATAACATAATATGTCATATACAAAACTTTTTTAAATCACCAAAGGAATACCACAAATAATAATTATGAAATATTTTTGACAGTTCTGATATATTATGTATATGTATTATTATATATTATATACATTATAATGAAGTATTTAATTGGCTAATTGGTGTTTAAAGAAGAAGAATGTAAAAAATATATTCAAGATCCTTATGGTTTATATCGTAAAGTATAATAAGTGAAATTAATAAAGAGTTAATTTAAACGTACAAAAAATGCGTTAAGCAGTTTTTTGTCGGTTTCTTTCACAATTTAAACCAAGTTAGTCTTGTTCTAATATTTTAATCCCTTTAGTAAGGCACTGAATAGTTAAAAGTTATTTGTATGTATTTTAAATGTTAGTGTTGGAAAAAAATTTACACAATCTGTAAATACTTCTTTAAATTTTAGTTTTTGGGTAACTGGTTAAAATAAAATATGTTATAATAAAGGGGTTTATTTAGAATATTTTTTGGTTTTTGCTTATTTTTAACAATTTAAAACTTCTCAAAACTTAAATATTTTCTATGAAAAAGAGGTACAAAATTATGATATGTTCTTGCATTTTTAATTGCAATTAAATTCATAAATCTCGACACTCCGTCATTTATTACACTTGCAAACTTGCAAACTTTTTGAAATCACAATTTAAATACGCACAAATAATATTTATGAAATATTTTTGACAGTTCTGACATTTCTCTACCAAACATGAATTGATTAAATCAAAGCCATCTAAATTTTAAATTATAAATACAACTAACAATATCGCTTCTTAACTGCATTAAAAAAATTATTATATCTTTTACATGGATAAAAATAACAAAACAAGACTAACTAGACTGAAAAGATGAAGGTGGGGACTACATTTCCTGAAAGTTACAGATTTTTATTTTTTCCTCAACATAATGATTTCTGAGGGCAAAATTAGCTAATTTTGAAAATTATCAAGTTTCAATAATTTTTTTAATAAAGAAAATGATAGTCTAAAATAATAGTTACGTTTTCTATTGTATAAGTACTTAATACCTGAAAAAAAAATATTTTAGATAACTCTAGATTTAGCAGAATAGGCACAGGAGCCAGACAAAAATTACAAAAATTGACAAAGTATTAAAAATCTTTAGTGGTTTACCATTCTTTTATGAGATGAACTAATTAGATAATAATAATTAATATTGAAAACATACTTACTAGGCAGTAAAATAAAATTACAATCATTTCAATAATTGCCACAGAAAAAAAGTGTTAGCCTCTTATAAGAGAGTAAGAAAATGACACGATTTCATGTTTCTAAAGGGTGCCGATTAAAAATAAAGCAACTAAAAATTAAAACGGCAACGGTTTTTCATATATGATACCTAAAAGATCATCCTCAAATTTTTTCATTAGAATAAAGAATCATGCAGCGCAATTTTAAATTCATTTTTGGTGTTTTCATTTTATTTAAAAACATGTTTTTGGTTTAAAGGTTTGCGCCCCCAGTGAGCAATTTTTGTACATGGGTGGCCCCCTAGCAATGGGTCTTGGAGTTGTTTTTGTATCATCCATTGGTACAATGTTCTTTCCAGCCTCAACAGCCTTTGGTGCTGGTTTAGCCTCAGTTTCTATCTATGGAGGACTTTTACTTTTTTCTGGGTTCCTTCTGTATGATACACAAAGAATTATTACACAGGCTGAAAGTTATCCACCTTCACCTGGTATCTATGGAGTTAGACCCTATGACCCAATTAACGCGTAAGAAATATATATACAATATAAAAATAATATACATTTTGCTAAAATGTATGTTTTAGGTCTATTTCAATATATTTGGATACTTTGAACATATTTATTAGAATTGCTACAATTTTAGCTGGTGGTGGACAACAAAGAAAATAAATTTATGATTTATTATGTATAAGACCTTGTAAATAAATTTGTCTTTCATGTTATTACTTTACTCTAATTATTAGGTTACAATTAATTTATTTTATTAAAAGGACTTCTTTATTTATTTTTATCTTTTATTTAGCCACCCAAAATTATTAAAAATTTTTTAAAAAATTTATTAGGTTCCAAAACTTTCTAAATGAAGTTGTGAAGTGTTTTGATCTTTCCATTGGTTCCAGATTTTTAACCGCAATTAATTATTTTTTACAATGTTTTAAAAGTCTAAAACCTATCCTCCGTGACTGATACTCTTTCTAGGTTAACCTATATGTTTTCAAATATCTAAGGTAGTAAAAGCATATTAGAAATATCAGTTTACTAAGTAAATTAAACACATCCAAAGCAATCGAATCAAATATAAAATATTAAAAATTAAAAGAAATAATTTTTATAACCATTTATGTAGGTGTAACAAAAATTGATTCTATCCTCCGTGAATCTGTTTTTGCTTTAAATTTGGCGCTTTAATCATTTTAAATAAGCAAAAACCTCTGTTTTCGACATTATATATATATATATATATATATATATATATATATATATATATGTAAATATATGTGATTCCTAAAGGTCAGAATTTATATGCAGATGAGAGTGTTGCTGTTTTATAATTCAAAAGTTTAAGTTCATTAATTTGCTATTTAAAAACCTATCCACCGTGAAGTGTAATATCTCAGTAAGTAGTTTTTTTATAAATATTTTATGTATGTATAATTGTATTTTTTAAAAATATTAAGGTGTCAAAAGATACAATAACTTATTTTAAATATACAAAGGGATGTTTAAAAAAACATACAAAATCCTAACCTCCGTGAAGCTCTAATATTCAAAATGTATGATTTCTTAATATTCTTGCATTAGTGCAGAACCACTTATTTTATGTTATTACTAGACCTGGTGGCTTAAGGGAGGGAATTCCCAAAAACCAATTCTAGACTAACAGTGAAACAACAAAAAATAAAAAAAAAATATTTTCACTTGGGGGACATCTCATATATTTGTTCTTTAGTAGATTTGACCACCTAGTTAAATATAAATACTGCCTCAACAATTCTTTGGCTTGGCTAGGACACCCGCCCTTTCATTTAAGGCCCTTCTAAGTTGAGAGCATTTTCTAGAGTAAAATTTAAGATTGTATTTAAAAATCCCCTTAATATATTTTACGGTTTACTAGTTGGTAAAATAAAAAATACCTACCATAAGTGTAAATCTAGATATGATCATTTAGAAAAAGACCTAAGTATAGCTAATATCTACAATTGGCAAATTGGTGAAACCTGTCCTTTTTATTCGAAGCCACAGAATTATGTTTTACTTAATATGTAAAAATTTAAAAAATCCAAATTGTCAAAATCTTGGAAGTTGCTATATCTGTCCCTTAAGCTTATGCAGTTTTATCGCAATATTCACAATCATGATACATTTATTTTATTGCATTTTACTGTGTACCATTTTTATTTTACTACCTAATTTATAATTTATTGTGATATTTAATTTAATGTAAATTCTATACGGATTTTAAACTAAGCCAAATAAATAAATTCAAATAAATATAAAGGATATATTTTAGCGATATTATTGATGGACAAAAAATTAATCTATTGCTTATGAACTTTAAAACTTATATAAGTGGGATAAGCGCTTTATTAACGTACGCATGCGAAATTTGGGCAATCGCAAAAGTACGTTAATAAAGCGTTATCACACGTATATTGTACAAATTTTTATCTAGGCCTCTAAATGAAAAAATAAACGGTAATTATTTTTGTCTAAGACTTAATTTAGGGTTAATTTGGCATTTTGACTTTTTTATTTGATTGGTTAAAAGCAGAGAAAAACGCATGCGTTAATGAACTTCTTATCTCACTCAAAATGAGTGGGATAAGAAGTTCTTATCTCACTGGCGTAGATAAAAGTAATTATAACGCTCTAGCAACGATATTGGAACGTTCTAGTAACGAAGCAGCTACGTTCCAAATAGTAGCAGTGACATATTTGCTACCTTTTTGGAACTCAATAATTGTTCCCCACTTTAGTCGTAACTTAAGTTTCTTCAATAGTCCCATATATGTAACAATTACTTAAATTGTTACTTGTAAATTTATCATTAATTTATTTATGAATTTGTAAAAAGATACCTACCTAATTTTAATTAAAATAAGATATTTTTCTATAAATGTAGACAATTGTCACAAAAACTAAAATAAATGACTTAAAGAAAAAGATTATTACTTATTAACCAAAATTTCGTAATAAATCAATTTCATGAATGATTAACAGCCGAGTTTTGGACTTGCCTTATCTTAATTTGATTGTTTTTCTTACAACGTTTCGATTAGTAATTATCTCTTATGGTCTTCAGGTAATAATTATTATTATTGTCTTCAGTTAACTGACGAAATTAAAGATAATTACTAATCGAAACGTAAGAAAAACAATCAAATTAAGGTAATGCAAGTCCAAAATTCACCTGTTAATCATGCCCAGAAAAATTTCTTCAACCATCACATGTGCGGGCCATATGAACCTCAATTGATGACGCAAATGATGCATATATGCTTGCGGATTACAATCACGTTGTGACTGCAATATTCGTCAATTATGAACCTCATAATGTTATCTGGGCAGCAGTTAGACTTAGTTACACTTTGCTTCTGAAGATGCCATCTAGATTTTTTTTAATTTGAAAGTATTATTCTTATAATTTAAAATTCGTTTGGAATGGACTTGTGGAGGGATTGCAATATTAAAACAGAGTAAGTAATGTTTATGTAGTTTATTTAAGCATTTATATTCACAATTATTTAAATTTTTAGTATTATAATAAATAGTTGTCACTTTTTAAATGTTCGAGTAAGTTTAATATGATTCTTTGGATACATGTGCAGTCATAACCAAATTGTATTTAAGTAGTGTTGGGCTAAATAAACACTATGGCACATTCAAGTACATTATGAAATGATAAATGATAATTTTGTAAAGCTATATATTTGATGTTCTATTTAACACTAAGGAAAATATTCATTTTCGTTAGATTAAAATCCTCAGTGTGAGTCTAATATCTAAAACATGGCAAGTTTACTACTTAATAAAAGTATATGAATAATGAACTTTTGCCTTAACTTTATAAGCTGGTATATTCAAAGGGTGACTCTTAGTCCTACTTTTTTATATGTATGTACAATAAAAGCTTCAGTCAATTAAATACAATTAATTGCACTATGATAGTTCGAATTACTAACATTGAGTACGCCCACCTATATAACCTAATTTTGGGCTGCTGATTTCAAAAATACCACTCGTTTTGCTACAGGACGTCTAGGATTCGAAATAATTGCATAATAAAATGCTCTGCCGAATTATCTCAAAATGTAAGTTATTTTGTTAATATTTTGATTATTAAATTATTTTGCCTTAAATCTATTTTGGATGTTCAGCACAGATTCTAAAGGTTATGTTCAGTATATTTTTACGTTTTTTGTCAAAAGTATACAGAGACTCCATACAAAGTCATCAGTAGATAAATGTCAAATAGAAATTTTGTTTGTTCCATTGTTCCAACCTACTATACTGCCCTACTATGGAGAAAAGCAGTAACTGCTAAACAAGAAATTTGTGGAAAATTAGCATAAACTACATTTTGAAAAAAAGTAGTAGGTATTTAATTGATATTTTTAACTTATGAGATATTTGACTGCATTTCTGTGTTGAATTCGGTTACAAAATGTCCATAGCTTTACCATAGCACAAGAAAACGCATTTTGCATTTTTTTGCAGTTACTGCCTTTCTCCATACTATGGAGTCCATAGTAGGGCAGTATAGTAGTATTTTATAAGGGATATTTAATAAAGCACTTTTCTGCAGAGAAGTGCTTTATTAAATACCAAAACTAAAATTATGTTTTTTTGGTAAAAAGTATCATTTTTTGAAATTTTTGTGTCGTTTTTTTAATTACTAATTAAATTGAAAAGGCAACAAAGTAAATGGGTTTCTGTATAAGCATTACTCTTCGACTATTATTTTATATGTTTTTATTCACATCATGCCTAAAGTACCCAAAAATTTAATCTCGAATCTTATTTATTAAGTCTTATCAAAATTTAATATCAAATTGAAGTATAAAGGCGCCTTTATCTACTTTATCGTTCAAGCACACTAAATTATTACATTTAAAAGTTACTCTTTAAATTGTATTTTTACTTGAAAGTGATTTTAAGCACCAAAAATGAAAAAGAGCAGGAAATGGAAGTGGCAGAGAAAGAGAAAGGAGACGAACATTTATGTCGTCGTTGTAAATTAAACCTACGCCCAAGAAAAACCAACGCAATATTTCATTACAAAATTTTATGAGATATACCTACTACTTTAATTTTGCAGGAATATTAAATGGACCTGATATACGACGTTTAATGAAAGATCAAGCATTCAAAAATGCTCTCAAAGTTGACAAGCTTGTCGCATATGGCAGTGCTAAAGCTGTCATTAAAAATGTTCTTGGTTCATATGGGACCTAAAACTGGCGCCAATTCATTGAATAAATGCTCTTCGTTTTGCAAAGAATTAGCGTTAATTTGTCATTTAAAATACATTTTCTTTTTTTTCATCCTGATAAACATGGAGAACGATTTAACCAAGTAACTGCAAATCTAGAGCATTGGTAGATATCTATGGGTATAGCGGAAAGAAGTTGGATTCATTGCTAGGAGACATTTGCTGGAATTGGCAGCAAAAGATGTACGACGATGATGAGGATTAAGCACAATAATACTATAATCCAATTCGATATTTGATACGATTTAATAAATTTAAGGTGGAAAAAAGCAAAATTATGCAATGCATTAAATTTTGAGGGCTTAATTTGGATAAAAAATACTGAAACTTGTTTACTTTGTTGCCCTTTCAATTTAATAATTAAAATACCAACAAAAAACTTACATTTTGAGGTGATTGAGCAGAGCATTTTATTACGAAATTATTTTAAATCCCAGACATCCTAGAGAAAAACTAAAGACATTTTTGAATTCAGCGGCCCAAAATTAGTTAAACTAAGCTGGAGTACTTAATGTTAGGAAAAAAAAGTTTGTAAAACTATCATAGTGTTGTTTATCTCAAACTAATTAACAATTTCCTGTTAAATTTGTTTGTGATTCGACTGGGAAAGTCAATGGCATCCTACTGGTTGGACTTAACTGCCTTATTACCTTCTAATTTTTATGTATGCATTTAATTACGTATTTCATATTCTAAAAATCAATGCTTTAATTTATCCAATCAGAAGATACTGTGTGACTTAAATTATGGTGGAAAACACTTATGTAAGTAATGATATTTATATGTGAGAAACATTTAGATTTTAATGTTTATCTTGAGATATAATACACAACCAAATTCCAAATATACCAATCACTTAACATACATACAAATTATGTACAATCATTTGCGATTTTGTAAAAATAAACTACTGTGATATGTCAAAGTATAAAAATAAATAACTTACTAAAATTTTAATCTAAAAAATATCACTTAAAACAATGGGCTTGAAATTCCACAATAATTATGAATTATAGGAACATTTCCTACTTTTGTTCACATTCTTTTGATTATGTTAACTATACTTACCAAAATTTATTTAGACAAATTGTACTATCGAAAATCTAAATTTATTTATTTAGGATTTGGTAACATTCAAGGGCTTATTTAAGAATTAAAATGGCCTAAGCTCAAATATCATAAACGAAAAACAAACCTCCAAGCTAACAATACGTTGAGTTATATACACTTCAAAGAAAGTTCAAGACTTAAACTTAACGAGGTTACTTTTTGACAAGATTCGCTATCCTATGTAGGTGAGGTTTGACGCTACTGTTTAGCGCCGCCAATGGCGAAGAGGGGGCAGGCGAGGGGGGCGATACATTGTTATTTTGAGTCGGAGCCAGGTTTTGTTCCTTGAACACTTGTTCTTTTGCTCCCCTGAAACAAACATTTTACAATTAAATAACGGTGTTAAAGACAATACGCTAAAGAAGTATCGGGTTTTTTGCAACGCGCGCGCCATCTGGTGGACTTCAAAAGCATTGCGTGAATTTAAGAATTGTCAACCATACATTTAAAGCACAGATTATACATCATTTTTAAATAAATTTCGATTGATTATTCTTTATATCTTTGATTAAGAAACTCAACGCTTAAATGCTTAAATAGTTACGTTAGTGTGTGTATTTTATCAAAGGGATCTTGGTGTATTATTGTGTTTTTAATTGGAAATAAAATTCAAGAACTAAATCGTTGCATTTTCATGTTTTGCCAAAGGATCCAATTCGGTAAGTACACTTGTTGGTGCAGAATTAACTAATGATAACTTTACCTAATATAATTTATATTTAAGTTTGGACATTTTTAAGAAATTAGTAAAAAATTATTTTTGCACAAACATAACCTTAAAATCAACCATTTTTATGTATGAGTTCTCTAAAAAACGCCGACAACTGCATTTTAAACAGCAAAATATACCCATGGCAACATATATACATAATATAATGGTATTTTACCGTTGAGTGGAGACTTTAAAGAATTCTGAATCAACGCTTTTAATAATCCTAAATGCTATTTAGGATTATTAAAATATTTATTTGTTTGACGATTTTTACTGAATTGAAATGTTTACACTTTTCACGTTAATCACTACTAAAATGTGTATTTATTGTATCTAATAGGTACAATTTATATTTACAGATACTGTGTGCAATTTATTTCTTCATTCAGATTAACACTGTTTATTGGAAAACCATTAAAAACCCAGGATTTCCTCTCGAAATACACCCAACAACACAACAAATCGAGCCACGGTTTTTTTTTTCGATATTTTTTTTACGTTTTCCGTCTTTATTCTAAAAAACATTTGTTTATATACTTTTGTTACGATGCTTCTTTAGCGTATAGGCATATTTATGCCCACTTAAAATTAAGTTAATATACAGCAATAAGAAACATAGTTTTTTAGGAAATTGAACGCTGTACAAAAAAGCTCTCCCATGATTTTTTCAAAAATTCACTTATTTAAAAGTTATTTAAGGTTAACATAATTCAATAAAATCACATATTTTCAAAAATAAACAATTTATTTTCATAAAAATAATTATAATTTTGCAGTCAAAGTAAAAATATCGAAAAAATTACTATAAGTTTAACTATAATTATAGTTAAACTTATAGTAATTTTTTCGATATTTTTACTTTGACTGCAAAATTATAATTATTTTTATGAAAATAAATTGTTTATTTTTGAAAATATGTGATTTTATTGAATTATTGAAAAAATAAAAATTATTGAAAAGAGATTCCGATAAATTCAATTTTTTTTATTACATTAAACGGTACTAGTTTTTCTCAATTTTAGTACGAATACTTTTTTACATAATCTTTTTATTTCTGTGAAATTCTACAACATTTTATACGATTTTATAATCGAAAAATCATATGGCGTCTTTTCCTCAAAAAATACGGTTTATCAAGACCTATACTTTAAAAGAAATCCGGTTAAAATAGCACAATAAATAATAATAATAATAAGATTTTACAGAGGTGAGTCGCAAACAAATGGGTCACACTGTATTATAAATAACGCTCATGTGGTGGGCTCTATTTTCGAGACACCTTGTATACACGATAAAAACGAATTTCATAAATAACAAAATTTATTATAACCTCACTTTCTCCCGATTTTGAAGATCTTTATTGTATATTATGTTACCTCACTTTTTCTCAATTTAATGATTGGCCAAATCACAATTAATATTAAAATCAGCCAATGATGCCTAACAACGTAAATGAATTCATTATTCCCGTTGTTAGAAGAGGCCATTACCAAATGGTAACGATAATAATAGTATATAACATTATATTATATTATAATATAATAAAATGTTATATAATATAATTTATATAATTATATTTCATGATCATAGATATGTAAGTAGAATTTAGAATAAAAGTAAGTATTAGTTAACATTGGAATTAATTACGTAAAAAGTCATTATTAAAACAGTTTGGCATAAAAACTATATCTATTAAGGTTATTTTTGTTTAAATGGAGTTTATCTAAGAAACGACTTTTTTAAGAACAAATTTTAAACATTGTGGACAAAACTTTCTTAGAGTATTATATTGTAGTTAAAAGGTTTTCCGATGTATATAATAATTTTATGTTATATATTTATATACTTTTAAAGTATCACTCAAATTTAAAATTAACTCACTCACATACGATTGTGACACTCAACTCCAATTTATTTAAAATAAATTATTTTATTAACTTCACTATGGCAGTGTACAAAAATGGTGCAAGTGGTTTATCGCTATAAAATCGCCGTTAAAACTAAGAAGTCTTATATAACAGACCCAAGATCTAAGTTTTTTATTGCACCATTTAAATATTTTTTATTCCGACTTTCTGGAACAGATGCGTTTGTAACAAATTCGCTTACATTGTTTATCTTGATGTGAACTTAATGGAGTTTCCCTAGTTATTGCTTGATGAGCGGAGAGTCTGAACAAATTATACCATGTTCTTACTTGAAAGCATGAAATATATCCCTTTTTACAATCACTGGGAAAATGTGTGGAGAGGAAATAGTGTAAAATATAATTTTTTTCCTGACATTCCAGTTGACTTCACTGACTTTCCCTGACTAACATAAGCTTCCCTGACTTTTTACTAACTTACCCTGATTTAACAGAAAGATTAAACATAGCAATTTTTTTTAATTTTTAACATAACTATTATGAACAAATTTAGCAAAACTTTCGCATTACGACAGTAAACACTCCACGACTTTAATCACATTTTATTTTTCTAATAAACAAGCATTAACGTCATTTTTATTTTTTCACAAAAGAGAGGAAAGCAGAAGTCTTACTCGAAAAATTTTGTTCGCAAAGTTGCAATTGCACAGCTTAATAGCGCACGTTATTTGTGCAAGTAAAAACTGAAAAACTTGGTTTACTACTCGATTTAGATTTATTGTTCTTTATATGCTTATATAGTTACGTTTGTGTGTGTATTTTAGCCAAGTGATCATGGTGAATTATTGTTTTTAATTGTAAATGTAATTCATGGCAATATAATATTATTATTTTATATATTATACTATATATTTAACTTGAAACTTTTAAATATCTCAGTTAGTATGAATTTTACAAAAAAATGTTTAAATTAAAAATTAAATCGTTCGAGGGGGGAAATCAATCAGTACTAAAATTGGCCCTCATACTCTCCTCCTTATAGGGGGAACAGGGGGTAACTTTAAAATTTCCAATAGAACACCGTATTTTTTATTGCAGATTCGGATCATTCGACTAAAAATAGGTAGATTTTGTCAAAACCATTTTTTCATATCTGTAATAGATGGCGATGTAATAAAATAAATCAATTTTGTTCGATTTTTCTTCTGTATACGATTCTCCAATAATTTTTGAATAAAATACTTGGTTTTATTTTTTAAATTTATTTATTTATTTCGTTTTAATATTCTGCTAACACAGCTCTGGGATATTCCCAAATCCTAGATAATTTTCGTGTGCTTGCATGAGGATTAGCGGCCGTTGCTGCTAATACATTAATTTCATTATATCCACCTGTGACTGTTGCTCGACGAACTCTTTTTTTCGGTTGAACACTCCCGTTTGTAGTAAACTGCTCGACTGTGCAGTGAAATGAAATACGTGATCAAATTTTATCCGGAAAACGCTGAGCGTAGATATTTACAGCATCATCAAGATTCCTGTCTGCTTCTCCATAAATCAAAATCATTTCCATTTTTTCTTTTACTGTTAAAAAATCCATTATGAATAACTGCTTAACGAAAGGAGGTCTTTTTGTTTGCAAATTAATCTTTGAACTAATTTGATTAAATAATGCTAAACTATGTATAAATAGTTTCTTTATACCGCAATAATAATTATTATTTATAACTAAATACCATTTTTTTTACCTCAATTTGGATTAAATTAATTAATTGACAAAATAATGTTTTTACCTTGAATGAGGTATTTTTATTCAAAGTAGTACATTAATTCTTTAAATTAAAAGATTTGGGGCTGGCAGGTAAAAAGTGACCATGGTAATTATCACCGAATGAAATAATGTATAAAACTTAAACCAAAGGAAACTTAAATAATAACTAAAAAATCGTGGGAAAACATCAGATTTAATTTAATAAGATAATTATTACCAAAAAAGTGATATTTTTATAGAAAAATTATTGCAGAATCGTATAAGAAGAAAAATCGAACAAAATCTATTACAAATATTTTTAGTCAAATGATCCGAATCTGCAATAAAAAATAAGGTGTTCCATTGGAAATTTTAAAGTTACCCCCTGTTCCCCCTATAAGCAGGAGAGTATAAGAACCAATTTCAGTACTGATTGATTTCCCCCCTCGAATCATTTAATTTTTATTTTAAACATTTTTTCGTAAAATTAAGCTAAATGACTCACCATGTGTAATACATAATATAATACCGGTTTTTGGTCTTTTACCGTTGAGTGAATACTTTCTAAATTAACGCTTTTGCTAGTTCATCATGCAGTTTACCATTAACCATTAATAAAATTTGAATTTATTGTATCTAATAGGTACAATTGATATTTTGCAGGGACTTGTATGCAATTTATTTCTTTATTCTGATTCCCACTGTTAATTGGGAAACCCGTAAAAACTCAACCACGGAATTCCTCTAAAAAAACAACACAATAGTTACACGGTTTTGTTGTTGATATTCTTAACATTTTCTGGCCTCATTCTCAAAAACACTCGATGCTTCTTTAGCGTGTATTGTTTTTCTATGGTGCTAAATTTCGCCGTTTTACGCACTGCTTGTCTCAAGCGAATGATTGCTAATTAAAATTGCATGTTGTTCCAGTTTTACATTTTCAGGACACTATATAATTTACATTTACAAACTTAAATTTAAATTGTAAATATGCAATAAATGTACATTATGAAAACCCCATAATATATTTATGGAAATACCTCAGGAAATACTTAAATAGGAGAATAATACAGGCACACAAAATAAAAAAGTTATTGTCCACCAGATGAGACAAACATTTTTTTAGTGTATAGGAATGTTTATCTCCTCTGTTGGACAAGATCTTTTTTTTTATTTTGTGTGCCTATACATTAAAGAAGTATAGCTAGTAGCGCCACCACTCGGCTGTAATCATCGTAACAAAAGTACCACTGTTAAAAAAAATCGAAAAAAAAAAACCGTGGCACGATTTGTTGTGTTGTTGGGTGTATTACGAGAGGAAATCCTGGGTTGAGTTTTTATCGGTTTTCCAATAAATAGTGTTAATCCGAATGAAGAAATAAATAAATTTCATACAGTCCCTGTAAATATAAATCGTATCTATTAGATACAATAAATACACATTTTAGTAACGTGAAAAGTGTAAACATTTCAATTCAGTAATAATCATCGAACAAATAAGTCGTCTAAATTTAAACAGCATTTAGCATTATTAAAAGCGTTGATTAAAAAAGTCTCCACTCAACGGTAAAATACCATTATATTATGTATTATATATAATATTATGTTGCCATGAATTCGTAGGTATATTTTGTTGTTTAAAATGTAGCTGTCGGCGATTTTTCGAGAACTCAAATATAAAAATGGTTGATTTTAAGGTTATGTTTGTTCAAAAATTAATTTTTACTAATTTCCTAAAAAACTTAAATATAAATTATATTAGGTAAAGTTATTATTGGTTAATTCTGCACCAACAAATGTATAGTAAATTTAAAAGTAAACTACGTACACGTCATCAATCAGCTGATCGGGCACGGTTGTCAATGTGATGCTAAAATCCTTGCATCAAGGGAAAGTGGTAGTGCAACTACAGGGCGATAGATGGCGTTTACATGAATAATACCAAAATGTCAAGTCCTATATGATGCACCGCCAAAAGTATGTTTTAGCCATTTTTAAAGACATTTTCTGATATAAAACCCAAAAATTTTGCCATCTAAAGTCAGTCTCTGGTATATTATATATACCGTATATATATTATTATTTCATGTATCCAACATATATTTTGTTAAATATTCTAATATATAATTAATAATAATCCTATTTACCTCTCTAACAGCTGTTAAAGGTAACAAAGGTCCATTATTATCCCGTTCTGCCTCAAAATAGCGTATTAAGGATGACACCAACTCTTGACTCCGACTATTTAAATGCTTCGGCATTTTAAATATAGGAAACACAAAAAAACGATATATAACAATCACAAAAACGGCAATGAAAACTTAAACGATATAAAATAACACAAACAACAAACAAAATAAACGAAATAATACACGAATTAAACGAAATATTCAAAAACACAACTGACAGCTTCGAAATTCTAAAACGTCAAATTCTTTTATATGTGTCATTTAAATATGAAAAATTTGAATGTAAACATGACAACATCACAATTGTTGCCAACTTAATTTGGTTAAAATGCATTCAAATATTCAATTACAGACTTCGATTTAGTCATTTAGTGTTGGTACCAATGCGTAAAATTTTTGTTTTATTGATGACGTGTACGTAGTTTACTTTTAAATTTACTATACTTACCGAATTGGATCCTTTGGCAAAACATGAAAATGCAACGATTTAGTTCTTGAATTTTATTTACAATTAAAAACACAATAATTCACCATGATCCCTTAGATAAAATACACACACTAACGTAAGTATATAAGCATTTAAGCGTTGATTTTCTTAATCAATGATATAAAGAATAATCAATCGAAATCGAGTACAAAACCAGTTTTTTAATTTTTTCCTTGCAACGTAAAACACAAATAACGTGCGCGATTTAGCTGTGCAACTGAACAAAATTTGTCGAGTAAGACTTCTACCTTCCTCTCTTTTGTGAAAAAACTACCTATTTATTTAAAAATGATGTACAGTTTGTATTGCTTTAAATGTATTGTTGACAATTCTTAAATTCCACCAGATAGCGCGCGCGTTGCGAAAACCCGATACTTATTTAGCGTAAAAAGCAGTTTTGATATTTTATTTCAAGAACTATTTAAATTTAAATAACAAGTTAACTTACAAATATCTGGTCAAATCTTCAATATCTACGAGCATGGAGTCCTGCTCCATGTGCAGATCATCTCTGTCCATCAGATATTTCACGAGGTTTTCGTTAAGGGTTTCTATTTGAGTATGAAGATCGTTCACTATCACTTGCAGTTGAGCCACGTTCATTTCCGTCAGAATCTGTCTCGAGAGCCGTCGTTTCTCCTCGGGAAACGGTATACCCACCTTTTCGAGACTGTGCCTCACCATCTCTGTGATGGGGCTCTTCTTTTGTTTTTGTCGCTCAATCTGTAATGTTAAAAATCCCAATTTACAAAGGTTTGTTTCACAAAGAGCTGGGAGTATCTTGAAAAAAAGATACTTAAAAGTAACTTATAAACTTTATCTTAGATACTTTTTATATTGGACAGAAAGTATCTTTAACTAAGTTACTTTGGAAAAGTATCTTGTAACTTATATCTAAAAAAGTTACTCGATAATGTAACTAAGATACATTCAAGTAACTAAGATAACTTTTTAAAGAAACTAAGATACTTTTTAAAGTAACTTAGATACTTTCTTAGAGAAAATTGGGGGAATTCCAGAATTTGTATAATTTTTAAGTTTTTATTCAAACTTAAAAGTAACTTAGTTCCTCAAAAGTATCTTAGTTACTTAAAAGTATCTAAGTTACTCAAAAGTATCTTAGATACTTTTTAAAGTATCTTGTAACTAAAGAAGTTCAGAAGTAACTTTCCCAGCTTTGGTTTCACATATGTTTCAAGGATTGTTTTTTAACACAATGGTATATTCGACTTAACATTACTTAAATGTATATTACCATATCCTTAATTTTAAAATTATCTTGCGGTTTTCTGAATTTTTTTTCATGGTCAAAATATTTAATTATTTTTTAAATAATAACATAAATGTTTATTCTTAATTAAACTATTAAGTAATCCACTATTTTTTTTATTAAGAAGGTACATTGCTTTCATACTAAATGCGCTATGGCGAAAGGAACCAACTTGCAAAAACAAAATTTTATTTGTCATTTTATTTCATTTGATTTAAAAAACAGCTAATTTTCAAATTGATTTTATAATTATTTGGTATTTTAATGCAAAAGGCAGTATATACATGGGTGAATCTCACGAAATGTCCCCCGATAGTGTTACCCCGTGATATTTAATAAAACTAAATGAGTTTGACCTACACTTTTATTGTGTTTTGATCTTTCATAATTAAGTAGATATTACAGCTCATGTTCCAGATTTTTAACCTCAATTAATTATTTTTTACAATGTTTTAAAAGTCTAAAACCTATCCTCCGTGACTTTTTCTAGGTTACCCTATATGTTTTCAAATATCTGAGGTAAACTAAATGAGTTTGACCTACACTTTTATTGTGTTTTGATCTTTCATAATTAAGTAGATATTACAGCTCATGTTCCAGATTTTTAACCTCAATTAATTATTTTTTACAATGTTTTAAAAGTCTAAAACCTATCCTCCGTGACTTTTTCTAGGTTACCCTATATGTTTTCAAATATCTGAGGTAGTAAAAGCATACTAAAAATATAAGTTCACTAAGTAAATTAAACATCCAAAGCAATCGAATCAAATATAAAATATTATTAAAAATTAAAAGAAACAATTTTAATAACCATTTATTTAGGTGTTTTTATCATCCGTGAATCTGTTTTTGCTTTAAATTTTATGCAACGGATGATGCTTTAATCATTTTAAATAAGCAAAACCTGTTTACGACATTATAGATGCATGTGAATCCTGAAGGTCAGTTAGAATTTATATGCAGAGAGTGTTGCTGTTTTATAATTCAAAAGTTTAAGCTCATTAATTTGCTATTTAAAAACCTATCCACCGTGAAGTGTAATATCTCAGTAAGTAGATTTTTTTTATAAATATTTTATATATGTACAATTGGATTTTTAAAAAATATTAAGGTGTCAAAAGATACAATAACTTATTTCAAATATACAAAGGGATGATTTATAAAAAACATTCGAAATCCGCGAAGCTATCTTCCGTGAAGCTCTAATATCCAAAATGTATGATTTCTTAAAATTCTTGCATTAATACAGAACCACTTACATGTTATGTTATTACTAGACCTGGTGGCTTCCCAAAAACCCCATTCTAGACTAACAGTAAAAGAACCAAAAAAATCATTTTCACTTGGGGGACATCACAATATATTCACCTACATATATATTGTAAGTTACAATTTGGAACGTGAATTAAAAACGTAAAAAATAGGACGTAAACGCGACAACATTGCGAGTTGTTGATAGTTGGTTTCTATGGTAATACTTTTTGCTTTTGACAGTGACATTTCTATATGCAGTGTTATTTAATATATAAAAATGAGTTTTGAAAACGAATGAATCCACTACAAAGAAAAAAGTATTTAAAAAAAAGTAACAAAAAAACAAAGCAACAGGAAAAATGCAGTATGTTAAATGCAGAGAAAGTCTGAAGAGACGAGCAGAGAAGAAAACCATTGAATGTAGAAGGATTGTCTAATTATTTCACATAATAAATAACTTGCAGTCACCAAATAAATCAAACCAAATATCCCTAGCGTTCATAATCCAGTGTTGCCGGATCTTCTAGACCAGAATGACAGATTGATAATATTGGGTTTGAATGAAAAAAACTGGTTTCCTATACAAATATATACAAATGTATTGTCCCAAGTTAAGAGTTTCTAGGGAACGGAAAAGTATATCGATTTGAAATTTTTCTAAAATATTTGGAACAAAATACCACTTCCGGTTTGACCGGAAGTGACAACAACTTTGTTATTTCAAATAGAACACCCCATATATTTTTATATTTTTAAATCGTACATAAAATTCTAAGTAGTTTTCGTTAAAATTTGACAAATGCGCGTCAATCAAAAATAGCCTATAACTTTGTCGTTATTATGTTTGCGGATATGGGGGTTGAATTTTTGGAATCTTAAAACATTGTTTAAAATATTTAATGTTAATTCTTTAACATATACCAACAAATTACTTAAGAAAAACAATGGCAAATTAGGCAAAGTTGAAACGTTTATAACTTTTTTATTTTAAATATAACAGCCTGTACCTATGTTTTTACATAATCAAATAGGAAATTAAAAAAACATTTAGATTAAGAAATGCTTGAATGTAAATGGGGGACACTTTGAACATTTAGTAATAAATTAGTAATAAAAATTGTTCATTATTGCTTTAATAAATTGTTAGTTACGCATTCTTTTTGTTATTAAAATATTTCATAAAATAAATTTTATATGTTAATCTTTTTAATGAGCTATTGCTTCATCTAGTTGACATCCTACAAATTCGTTGATTTTTTTTTTAAATTAGCAAATACTGTTTGTATTACTTAAAAGTTTTAAAAATGTTTGGCTTGTGAATGTCACGGACTGCTATTTTATATCAGTAATGTTGTTTACAAAACACTTAGTCAACAAATTGTTTATAACAAACTGAAAAATTGACGGCATTAAATTTTGAACAATGAAAGATTACTGTCCGTTCAGGCTAAGTTGAGCGGTCTAAGGAATGTCACCCCGTCCATCATCTCTATGTTCAGGCACAATTAAATACATGTACTTCGGTAGCCGCTCTGTACTAACAAACGGCAAGCGGCTGCACTGATAAATCATCTTCTTGTTACCGAAATCTCGCGACGATTCGATGTTTAATTTAATTAACGGCCACATGATCCCCCACCAAAGCGCTCAACTTAGCCTGAACGGACTGTATGTGGTAACCATAGATACCGTCAACTCACCTGTCACTGGTTTCTTGATAAAAAATAATTACACTGGTTTACAAAATCGACAAAAAATGTATTTTCACCCATCAAACACGAAATTCACACTAATTTTTTTTTATGAAAGCGTTTTTGAAATATGAATTTTCAATTTTCGGAGGTGTTTTAACCTTTTTGTGTATAGCTTGAAATCTAATTGATTGATTTGGTCAAACAAGCTCTTAAATTAAAGGTATTTGAGCCCTTTAAAACTTTCTTTTACATACTTTTGATATCGGATAAGTATTTTGACGCTAGCGATTTTAATAACTTAAAAAATTCGTTTTTATGGCAAAAATTTGGGTCGAAAATTTACATATTGTCCTGGGAAAGGTTTAAATCAAACAGATAACTCCAGTTTGAATTTTTCTTCGTGAAGCTGACATTTTTACAAAGAAAAACATCTAATGTTGATAAAAATAAATGGAAAAATGGCGAAGTTATGAATTTTTTAGTGGAAGACCAAAATTCAGCTTGTTGTCGATTTTTATTTTATTTTTTTTCTTTTATTTTGTTATAATGAAAACCTAAATAAAGTGCATGAATGGAATTTTTTGAGTTTTTTACTTACCTACTTTTTTCACCAAAAACAAAATTCTTTTGTTACTCGTGTTGGCATATTGATATTTTACTGATATTTTATGATATTTCGACAAGGTATTTTTATCATGGTTTTATTTAGTTTATAAAAAGTGTAAAATGAGTAAAAGAAGTAGAGTTCGAGTGCGTAAATAACCCGCACAATCTGGGCGACGTAAGTGATGAGCACGGAGAACGTTTTCACCAGCAAATGAAGGCTATGGAGCGGCGGTATCACGGCTTCTGGGATGCAGCCATGATGGGTGATTACATTTGGTCCCTCATACGAGAAACGGAATACGAAAGCAACAAAAAACAAAGAAGTAGCCAGAATTTTTTTAAACCTATGCTTATTACAACAAAATAAAACTTTCAATTTCTTCAATGTTCAATATTTATTGTTTAATATTCAATATATAATTTAATTTTAATATTTAATGTTTAAAATAAAAATCAATGTTCAATATTAAAATTTTATATAATTCAATAAAATGAAGAAAAAACGTAAAAATTCTCGAAAAACTGAATTTTGGTTTTCCACTGAAAAATTCATAACTTCGCCATTTATCCATGGATTTTTATAAACAGCAGCTTATTTTTTCGCTTTAAGTATAATCTATACGTTAAATAAATCAAACTGGAATTATCTTTTCGATTTCTATCTTTCCCAGAATAATATGTAAATTTTCGACCTAGATTTTTGTAAAAAAAGGACTTTTTCAACTTCATAAAATCGCCAGTATCGAACTACTGAGCCGATACCAAAACTATACAAGAGCTAGAAAGTTATAGAGGGCTCAATTACCTTTCATTTAAGTGCTTGTTTGGTCAAATCGACCAATTGGGACTCGAAGTATACTCTAAAACGTCAAAACACCTCGCGTTTAGTGAGCCAAACTACTAAAGAAAAGCATAATGAGACATGGTGGGCAAAATGGATATAAACTAGTGTTATTAACTTAACGTATAGTTGCATCAATTGAAAGGTTTTTAATTTACTAGTTGATTAGGTAAAAACATACCAGGTGTTACATTTAAAATAAAAAAGTTATTAACATTTAGTTAGTCCAATTTGTCCTGGGTTTTCTCAGGTAATTTGTTAAAAAATGTTAAAGAATTAACATGGATTTTTTTAAACAATGTTTTAAGATTCCAAAAATTCCACCCCCATATCCGCAAACCTTAAATTTTTTCATAGCGACTAGTCGACTAATATCGTTCCCAAACTTGTAAGTTTTTTCTTAATATTTTGAATATTTATTAAATTATTTTGCCTTAAATCTATTTTGGATGTTCAGTAAATTTTTTACGTTTTTTGTCAAAAATATACAGCGACTCCATACAAAGTCATCGGCAGATAAATGTCAAATAGAATTTTTTTTGTTACATTGTAGTTAACACTTTCAATTTAATTAGTAATTAAAAAAACGACACAAAAATTTTAAAAAATGATACTTTTTACCAAAAAAACATTAAAATTTTATAAAGCACTTCTCTGCAGAAAAGTTCTTTATTAAATATCCCTTATATAATACTACTATATTATACAACACTTTTCTGCAGAGAAGTGCTTTATAAAGTTATAATGTTTTTTTGGTAAAAAGTATCATTTTTTAAAATTTTTGTGTCGTTTTTTTAATTACTAATTAAATTGAAAAGGCAACAAAGTAAATGGATTTTGGTATAAGCATTACTCTTCGACTATTATTTGATATGTTTTTATTCACATCATGCCTAAAGTACCCAAAAATTTAATCTCGAATCTTATTTATTAAGTCTTATCAAAATTTAATATCGAATTGAAGTATAAAGGCGCCTTTATCTACTTTATCGTTCAAGCACATTAAAGTTCATCTATTAATTATGGACTTTTAAAATTTAAATTTTAAATTGTATTTTTACTTGAAAGTGATTTTAAGAACCAAAAATGAAAAAAGAGCAGGAAATGGAAGTGGTAATAAAAGTGGCAGAGAAAGAGAAAGGAGACGAACATTTATGTCGTCGTTGTAAATGTGTTTTGTTTTTGTTGCGGTACCTTTACGCCCAAGAAAAACCAACGCAATATTTTATTACAAAATTGTATGAGATATATCTACTACTTTAATTTTGCAGGAATATTAAATGGACCTGATATACGACGTTTAATGAAAGATCAAGCATTCAAAAATGCTCTCAAAGTTGACGAGCTTGTCGCATATGGCAGTGTTAAAAGCTTAATTTGGATAAAAAATACTGAAACTTGTTTACTTTGTTGCCCTTTCAATTTAATAATTAAAACAAACAACAAAAAATGTCAAATAATGTTTTTTTTTACATAAAATACATTAAAATTTTAGTTTTAGTATTAAAAATGTCATATTGTTAAGATAAATATGATCTATTTGCCGTATACCAATTACTTTAGTACATTCAAGATAAATTTAAGCATTTAGGAAAAAAAAGTTTCTAAAACTATCATAGTGTAATTTTATAACAAATAGAAAATCTGGAAATACAAAACCGTTTTGAAAATAAGAAATATTGTTGGTCTTACCTCCATTTGCATTCGGGCCATCTCCTTGGCCTGCGCAAGTGCCATTCGAGCTTCAGTTTGCAGTCTAGCCTGTCTGGCAAAAAAATCAGTCTCTGTCATAGGCTCTTTGATTGGTTGCAGCAACGGTTGACTTATGTTCAAGGTTGCAGGCCTTTGGGCGGGCGCTGTTCCGTTGCTAATTTTTTGCTTATTGTACGCAGCGTTAGCGTTCTTTGGAGAAGTCTTTGGTTGCTTAGGGTTGGTCATCGGGCACTCGGAATCGGAGCTGGGGCTTTCCGTGTCGGAAGCCGTTTCGTTCATAAAGCAAATTTGCAGGTTCATGCCGCTCTGCAGTCGGGCCTGCAGACTGGGCTTGCGACCTGGGCGGTCCGTGTAGTAGTCGTCTTCCGAGCCCATTGCCAGTCTGCGGCGGATTTCTTCTCTGTCTGTACGCCTCTGCAAGAAAATAAACCAATTATACAGGCTGTTACTTTAATAGCTGGTTATGTCATTAGAGCTTAAGTAAAATATTGCTGTTAGTTTGGTAGACAGTTTAAAGTTACAACTTTACATTTTATCTCCACGCGGTCTATAATTTAAACTTTATTGTTGTCAATATTCGATAAAGAAATACCTTGTTATGGCCTAGGCCGATAAAAAAATGTATGAGGCAAGTAATTAGTTCGATTTTTTCTCGCTAGGGGTATTGTTTTGACAAATTAATCCTTTTCTAAGAAATTAACGTACTAAACTGGTTTAATTTATTTATTATAAGCACTAATTTGTTTGTTTTACTGTTAATGTTTAATATTTTATTATATATCATTAAATTATTGTAAAATTAAATATATATAATAAAACAAAAAGTGAGGTTAGGCAACCAAGAAAACGCACGATTCTTTTTCTACGATTTAAATTATCTTTAAGTTTTCAGTGAAATTAAATGTTAAACACAGCTTAAACATTCCAAACTACCTATTTTTTAAATAAAAATCCAAACAATTAATTGATTAATTGAAATTAGATAATACCTATTTATTAAAAAATAAATTGAATTCAATGTAATAGAAAAAATCCATTTCTACTTAAATCATGTAGCTAGGTATATGCCATTCGGCCAAAAAGTGCATTTTTGTGCTTCGCTCAAACCTTGAGCTTAGCACAAAAAGCCTTACTTCTTAACCTAATGACATAACATAACATAACTATTATATGCCATTAATATTTATGCAATTATCTTTTGACAAAGCCAAAATTTAAATTGAAAGATCAGTTTTTTTTCTCAAGATGTTTGACGTGCTGAATCCGTATTCGACTTTATAATAATTCTGAGTTTAAATTAGGGTTTAAGTGTCGTTTTTTCCCAGGCCTTTGAAAAATTAACTTTTTTGGGAAAAATTGAATTTTTTTTATAGACATTTGAAAAAAAGTGGCAATCAACAACTTAACATTATTTTAAATAAAAAAAATCCTTTATTGCAAAAAAAATAAAACTGAACATTAAATTAAATTTAAGAAAATAAACGTAAACGTGAAATATACTGTCTGTTGTTTTTTTTGTTGAAAAAAGGAGTCCATTAAAAATATCTAACTATAAAATAATGAATGATTTATAAAGTTAAATTACAAAATTATAATTTTATAAATCGAAGTGTTAAATAGAAGTTATGTTAATATAGCACCAAATATGTTTTTTGCGGCCCGGTAGAATATTCTTACTGAATTAAAATAAAAGGAATACTAATAGTGTTAAATTTCTGGTAAAACTTTCCTTTATTGCAATGATAAAAACTTATAAAAACGGTTGTCCGTAAAATTAACTCAAAATTCGTAAATTCGTGAGTTTTTTTAGCTTTCCGGTAAAACTTTGTACACATCATCTAGAATCAACTTTTGCAAAACAATTTAGAGTAACAAGCCTCATTCAGAAATAACAAATATTTCTGCTTAAAAGTATCGCATATTCAGTAGACTGGCCCAAAAAAATCGAATATTTTTTTAAAGTATATCGAAAATATTGTTTGGGGTGACAAAAAAAATATGGTGAAAGTTTAAGTCCATAATATTAATATTAAGCAATTTTAGATTTTTTTTTCCTGAGCGAGTTTTTGTCTCAGAACTCCCAAATCATTGAGTTTAACAAAATTGACTTAAGAATATTTTTTGAAGAAAACTGAATGCTCTACAAAAAAGGTTTGATTGGAATTTCCCGACAGATAAACCGTTTTCTTACAATCATGCCTTTAAAATTGGTATACTTTGGAATTTTGTAATTCATGTAAAAATGAGTACACGGAAAAAACCGATACATATTCTTATGGGAAATCAAATGCTCTACAAAAAAAGTCTCCTAACATTTTTGGCTAAATTCGCGCCATCAAAAGTTATTCAAGGTTAAATTTGAAGTCAAAACGAAATTCTTGTTTTTTCCGCTCTAGATTTTTTTTTTGGGTCAGTTAAAAACTTGAATTCATTTATCGATGATAATCTTTATGTTATTGATAAAATTACTGAAAATTAAAAAAAAATAACACATTCTAATTTTTTCGCTTTAAAAAGCAATTTTCTTTATAAAATATTATTTTCACTGTTAACTATTTAATCGTTTAAATAATAACAATCATGTTGTTTTTTCTTGGAAATTGATAATTAGTTATATAATACACATTTAAAAAGAAAAAAATCAAATTATCATCCATGAAAAAATAAATCTACATAGGAAAAAAACAAGAATTTCGTTTTGACTTCAACTTTAACCTTGAATAATTTTTGATTGAGTGAATTTAGCCAAAAGTGTTAAGAGACTTTTTTGTAGAGCATTTGATTTCCCATAAGAATATTCATCGGCGTTTTCCGGTACTGATTTTTACATGAATTACAAAATTCCAAAGTTAAAAGATGAAAATGTAAAATTATACCAATTTTTAAGGCATGATTTTAGGGAAACGGTTCATCTGAGGGAAAATTTCATTTTAACCTTTTTTGTAGAGCATTCAATTTCCTTAAAAAAATATATTTGAGTCAATTTTGTTAAACTCAATGGTTTGGGAGTTCTGACACAAAAACTTGCTCAGGAAAAAAAAATTAAAATTGCTATGATAGACCTCTTAATATTAATATTATGGACTCAAACATTCACAATCATTTTTTTTGTCAGCCCAAACCAAATTTTCGAAATACTTAAAAAAAAATAGTAGATTTTTTTGGCCCAGTCTAATATAAAGTGTGTGGATTTAACTACCTATTATAGGTACTTGTAAAAATATTTATTTTAAATTTTTCAAAGTCACTGCTCATAATTTCATCTGCTTGTTATATAAATAGCATTCACGATGAGAAACTTATATTTTGTTATACAGGGTGCGCAAAAAAAAATACAATTGTAAATTTTGCAAAATAAAAAATTGTTTTTTGAAGGTCTAATATGAAGAGCTTGTAAGGAGAAACCAAAAAGTCAAATTAAGTTTTTCTTGTGAGTTGTTGTTACTAAGATATTTGTTATTAAAAATAAAATCAATTCAGGTCCTAATTTGAGAAATTGACATTTTGGGATTATGAATCAAGGTTGTTGCTTTCAACTGACATGTCTACAATATCTACAATTATTTGTTAAAACTTGAAAACTAATATCTTAAATTTTCAAGTATCTTAGTATCAAAAACTCATATGAAAAAACTTCATTTGACTTTTTGATTTCTTTTTATCAACTCTATAAGTATTAGAGCTTCAAAAAAAAATATTTAAAATTTTTAAATTTTGAAATTCAGTATATTTGCTTACCCTGTACCACTAAATGGATGATGAAAAATGACTTTTTCTCGAAAAATTTAAAATAAATATTTTTACAAGTATAGTTAAGTCCATAAGTATTATTATTATTATTATTATTTGCTTTGTAGGTATATGTATAATTCCAGTTGATATGTACCTAATAAATTTTACCTAAAATAAATTTTACACCCTGTATTTATAACTTAAAACTCAATTATTATTATGAAAGGCCCTATATACAGTGTGTCCCAGAATATAGTTTAAATTAGGTTTAGACTTTGCTTGTCTTGAAGCTATACATAGCTTCAAGACAATATATTTTTAAATTTAAGATTTACAAGTACTGTACATAGTACCCCCAGCAAACAAAAAAAAAATTGGGCTAGAATTGTCCAAAGTTTTGTCTTTTTAACATCAAAAGTAAAAATTATCATTATTGTATCTTTGCTATTTACAGAATCAAACAACAAACAAATTATGTACTCCCAAAAGTCCAACTTTGACATTTAAATACAAATAATTAAGGTTATCTATCTGCCAGTTTAATACAAAATTATCGTTAAACTGACAATTTTAAATGTGAATGTGGGACTTTTGTGTGTGGAGCTAGTAGGTACCTTAATTACTTTGATTTCAATAGATTATAGTATTAAATATTTTCAAACCATAATCATAGGCCATATTATAATCTCCATACTGGGACACACTGTATATCAACACCTTTTATGACACAAATAAAAAATATTTAAAGCACTTTTTTTATCTCGGAACCAAATCAATATCAATAAACACTTGCAGCTCCTATTATAAATTTACAGTACTTATATCTTTAACACACAGGGTGTTAGAAAGATATAAGTTTAATGTTTTAACATACATCAAGACTGTTGGTATCATCATTAATCGTTATAACTCTAATAAACCTATCGACTATGTTTTGTTCATCGTAAGTAGGTGGTACATAAGGAAACCACTCCATATTCTCGTTTACTGCATTGTAGTCCATACTAAAAGTAGTCATCGAATAGGCCCGTGGTGACAGGAAATCATTGTCAAAATAATCTGGGTCTTCTTTGTGTGTCACTGTATAATATGTAGTTTTGCTTTTTTGCGCGAACTGGTTCTTTATTGTATTTATGTTCGATGAAAATCGTCGCGACTTGGACTTAAGGTTGTCGCTTAAGTTATTTGTGTGATTTTTAATGGCCGTAATTAAGTTATCGAACATTATAGCCGCGTTATTAACTTATAAACTGACTCGTACACTACTGAACCAATAACTTATGCATTTAATGGTAATGCAATCAATTAATTAATCGCTCGAATGGTATTTTTAAATCGGAGTCACGTTATTATTCTTTGTTTTGGCACATGGTTTATCAACTGTTTTACTACTTTGTTGTGGCGTCTCGATGACAAAGTCAGCCATTCACCGACCGCATCGCACTGACAAAGACGGAGATAGAACACGCTGTGCACCTGTCAGGTCTCCAAGGTTACGCGATTCACTAAAGAATTAAAGAGGGAGGCACTGATAAAAGCAGCGCTTCTTTTTGAATATTTCAAATCCAATTTGGTGATTAAATAAAAGCCGCGCTTTTATATTTCATGCTATCTCGACGGACACTCCACACAGGTTTGTTGAGAACTGTCTGAATAACAAATTAAAATTTATTTAACGATTA